GCTTTGGTTCAAACTTTTTTCCTCTTCTCCAAACGATGTACCATACATATATTGATTAGAGCAATTTTAATCCACCAGGCACTAGCTCTGTAGCTGAAGTACAATGAGCCCTATCTATTTTGGTAAACTCTGGTTCAAAGCTCTTTTTGTGTGAGTTTCAAACTTGAGATGATTATTTCAGCAATACTGTAACATAGTCACTATTTGTAATCTGAAAGAAGTCCCAGTTTATGATGGGTAATAAATGGATTCGTTTTTTTGTGTGAACTTTGAAGAGTTATATTTTATAAAATTTTAATGGTAGAGTTTTCAGATAGGGAAGAACAATATCTGCACAAGATTGCTAATTGTAAACTAGTTAACACCATTTTCATTGTGGTTTGAAAGCAGGATAGGACATAAATATAGAATGTTGAAATGAAGCACAGCTGAAATGTCACAACTTGTAATCATCTTAAACGGTATTTTCTTCTAGGATCTGAATTGTAAATGTAGTTTTATTTTGAAATGTGTGGTGGGTTGGGGTGGGCACGGGAGATGATGGGGAGGAAGAAAACGGGCTGCACAGCAAAGATTCAATGTTTGAAAGTATGCAGCGTTAAACTAAAAGAATATGATGCGATGGTCTCTTCCTAAAGTTCAACTTTATATATAGTTCAGCCCATGAAGAAAATCAGACAATCATTACTTGGTTAGTCCCCTAACACCTCAGAGTTTATTCAGTGAGTGGATATGCCAGGTTATCCAATCTGAAATAGGGTGAACTGGGGTACAATTGGCCTCTACCTGGAATTTCACACAAAAAAAACAAGAGAGGAACCAGGATTTATAAAACTAAACCCTGATAGAAGAAATCTGGAAGCAAACAAGTGGGAAAATGAGAATATTGACTTGAAAGGGAAAAAAAAAGTTGTATAGGTATTATGTGCACTTTGTGTTTGAAATAGAAATTGTAACAGATGTTCAGGCTCTTAGTGGAATATTAACAAAAGTTGCATTGATTCTCTCTTCAAATGCATTGAACCCACTGCTTTTACATTGAATTAATGGATGCACAGCTCTTCAGAAAGAGCTATTTAGTTGATTCCAAGTCTTCTGTTTCCTGATTTTTGTACAATCGTAGTATTGTAACAAAAGCTCATGATTTCCTTTGATACTAAAGTTCTCTCTAAAATAAATCCTAACTTGAAAATTCCAGCTGCTAAATCTTTAATTACTGTATATGAGGTTTGTATTTCTCTCCTTCGAAATTGGGGTTATTTTGGGCTGCGAAGCAAAAGCGCTGATACATGGTGAAATCACAGTTCTCAGTTCATGTTTCATTCAATGAAAATTAACCAGAAGCAACAAACTGTAGTTCCCATACACAATTAAGTTGACTGCTTTACCAAATAACTGACCCATTAACCTGACCTCAATAAACGGAAAAATGACAGCAACTGTAATCCAAAGTAAAATTAAAGAATACTGGTATGAAAAATTATGGAATAACAGCCAACATACCTTCAGGTTGGGGGGTGAGGCGGTGGGGTGGTAGATCATACATGACTAACCATACAATCGTTCTTGAAGAGGTGAATTGTCCACAAACACACAGTGACTCTACAATATATTCTGTGAAGCGTTTTAAGACGCGCTCACAGCATGAAAGGCACTGTATCAAATGTAAGGATTATGTAAATTGACGGGGGGAATCTACGATTTAGAATACCAGGACTTCCAAAAGGTCTTTGATAAAATTGTACTCCTTTGCAAAACTGTCAGTGAGTATCAAACGTAGAATATGTGCACAGATTATTAACTAGCTAAATAGAAGGAAGGGAGACCCATGGTTCAAATAAAGAAGGTAATGAGTGGATGGCCTCAGGAGTCCACGCTGAGATACTTCCTGTTAGCGCACAGTGATTATCATACTCAATGCAAGGTAGTAACATTTTGCAGATGACACCAAGTTACTGAGGGAGGAGAGTGAAATCGTAGAAGGCAGCCAGTATCTTCAAAGAAAACTCAATATGGTATATGGCAATCTGGGTAGATCATAGTTAAATGCAAAATACTGTAGATTAGGAATAAAACTAAGATACACATATATTCTATCGATTGGATAGAATTTCCCAAGGGTTATTGATCAGTTATTGGACTTGGGTGGGATTGGCATTGTTACTCAAATTAAAACTGACCTTAGAAAGTGCAAAATGGAACGTGTTTTGCTATTTAAGCATTGTAATGTAATTTGAAACTAACATGATGTTAATCTGCCAAAACAGCCATACTTGTTTGGAATTCATTACATGAAAATAAGAGGCTTGTAGATGATTAGGAATTGGATGTTGTAATCGTTTTCTTTGGCCAGCTATGCACTTCTCCTTACTCTTTTTGGAGTGTTACAGGACTGACATGTTGGGAGAAATTCTGGTGACGTGGCTTTTGGAGTCATTTGAATTCCAAAATTGTGCTGCAGGCTGTAACTATCTCCAACCTCACATCTGCTTTGGAATTTGGTGGTTTAAGTAATCAATGGATTTTCAGTTCAAGAAAAAATATTCTTGGGTGATATTGTGAAAGAATATATGTTGCATACACTGAAGTAAAAATACTGGTAAAGGGCTCCTTTTGTTTGTTATGCAGCTCCCACTATAACGAGGCCACAGTTGAAAAACTGTATTGTATATCTTGACAGTAGCAGCAGTTTCTCGATAGACAGCAGAGCTATGAAGTGCAGAGGTTACTTTAAAGCCCCAGAGGCTGCTACTGCCAGGAGCACAGTGTGTTATCTCAGATTAATTTATAAAATTCCTGAACTGTGAGAGCATGTTGAGCATTGAATAGGCCCTTCACTAAATCATGTCAACTCTCAGAGCAGAGAATTCTATGTAGGGCATACAGTGTATTGCACGAGGAGCTGCTGGCAGCTCTTCACCATAGAAAATGAAGCACTCAGTCACACACTTGCATTATTGTTTGTGCACACGTCTGTCTCAATTAAAATGGTTCCACGTTGCAGAGATTATTAAAAAAAAGTACTTTTTCCAGATGTGTACGGCAACTATTCTACAACTAAGAAAATCAATTGCTCTGGGAAGCTGTCCTGCATGGGGGGTGCTATATAAATGAAATTGTTGTAAGAATTTGCATCACACCATACTGTTTATAAAGATAAAACACTTCCCCTCTCCAAGTGTAAAAGTATTGTGTTTTGCTGATAGGATTTTTTTTGTTATAAGACACTGATAAAATCATAACTGTATAAAATGACAATATTTTAATTATTTTAACAATTGTGATTATTCAGAATTTTGCATTGGTTTAAGTTATTGGTGACGTGGAGCATTTTCTTTACATAGATTCGGAAAAGCATAAATGAAGTCCATTGGCATATCAAATGCAAGGATTATTATTATATGGATATATAGTGCATTTTTTTATATGTTGCTTGTCTTTGAGATGTCAGTATGTTGTGGAGGAGATCCATTTGTGTGGATGTACTGCTTTTGACTGTAAAGGCATGTACAGTCAAAAGCACATATTTGTACAGATATGTGCAAATTTTAAAGGGGCATTATCGAATATCAGGAAATGCTTGAATAACATTAGGATACACTATCAGGAAACACGTTGAAGCAGTCTGTATAGATGGGTTCATTTGGAAGATGAATTTCTGGAAAGAAAAGGAATTAAAGGATGAAAGGTGGAAAATCAAATTGAGATACCCTTTTTTATCCAAAGATGATTTTCTGTTGCAAAATGTGATTTCCTGTTGCTGAAGGCATTCTGTCCTTTTGAAGGCAAAATAAAAGAATGGATGACTGGAGGCGTAAGAGTGGATGGAGTGAATTGATGAGATCGTTGTTGGCACTGATGAGGCAGAGTCACTCCTAAAGATTTTTTGACATTGATCCACACAAACCTATAAGATGCACAGTGTTAAAATTCCTCCAATAAAAAAGCAAAAATGTAGCAGTGATACCCAAAGGCTTAACCAACCTGCAGCAACATATTAGCTGAAATTGTGAGTCCACAAACCATTGTTGAAAGAAGGTTATATGTTGTGAGTGATTTTTGTTTTAGCAAAATCATCATTGAAGGTAACTCTTGGAAGGAATTGGTTACTGTAAATGATGTTTATGCTGGAAACTGGTATGGGGCATTGAGGCTGGGTGGGTAGTAACAGTGAAGAATGCTTTGGCCTACCTTGAGTTGTCACACTACTTATGTTGTTTGTTGTGTTTCACTTTTGTTTAGGTTGTAGTAATTGTTAAGGTACTATGAAAGTACGATGTAGATTGTACCACTGGAATAATTCTTGATTTGCTATATTATTCAATGTGTTTCGAAAAGGAAAGGATTGTTATAAGTGATCACCTTTTCAGAAATATGCGAAAGGGTGTGTTGAATTTATTATTTCAGTAAAACATGCAAAAAAAGTTATTTTTAAAAATCTTACTCTATTTTGATTTTAAAAAAATAGATTATTTTGCAGACTTCATGGCTGTCAGAAATGTTTCCATACAGTTAATGGCAGATTAATCTTATCATTCACTATCTAAAACTTATTTGACTTTTATCAGAAGTCACTCATTTCCTGACAGAGTGGCAGAGGAACAAAAGGTCTTACTTACATAATGGAAGCTCATTGATAGATAACTCAGCTATACATGGGGCTCACCAATCATTTGCCTCTTTTGCGGCTTTGTACACACACAGACCCACTCAGCCAGAAAATAGCTATATACTAATTATGTAATTCATATTTGATCATCCATTGTTCATTGTATATTTTTGTGTAGTATTCTGGAGCCTTAAATGAACCATCTTTGATCTGCAATCAAATAGCCAACAAACAGTGAAGTTGCTGTCCCTATACAACAACAACTTGCATTTATGTAGCGCTCTTCACGCAGGGTAGCATCCGAAAGCGCAGACTCCCCCAGGTAGTTCTTAAAGAATGTCTTTTGACTTTTTCTCTCCTCTTCTCCCCCCCCCCCCGCCCTTTATTTCAGATCTATCCAGGAATAGACTAATAGAAATTCCTTCTGAAGTTTGTTACTTTGTGTCATTGGAAAGCCTTAACCTGTATCAGAACTGTATACGAAGTATTCCAGAGACCGTTTTAAACCTACAGTCTTTAAACTTCTTAAATATCAGGTATGTGAGTTTTCATTTTTTTTGATACAACCATATAGTCTAAAAGGTTTATTGTTTTGTTGTAAACTGAATAAAATGTAATTGTTTTACTTTATGGTTAATACCAGAATTACTCTAATGGTGTGAAATTTAGCATCAGTACCTAATCAGTCATTCTAAGGAAATGTGCAGAAGCCTAACAATGAATTAAGGGATCATTTTACATCTTCGTTTATTGTGCATTAACCTAAATACTTGCTGTGTATTGGCTTTAAATCTCATGTTTTATATAAATCCCAATTTCACTCCACACCAGTAATAGCTTTGATATGTTCCATACTTAATGATTTCATATTTTGTTGTTGCGTAACTCTGGAAATTTTATTTGATTTTACAAGCTCTTCAATTAGAGAGACAAGCTTATTGTTTTGTATTTTCTTTTCCACAGTCGAAATCAACTCACCACATTACCTGGACATATCTGTCATCTCCCATTGAAAGTTCTAATAGCAAGTAACAACAAACTAGTATCACTGCCTGAGGAAATAAGATTACTGCGACACTTAACCGAACTAGTAAGTACAGGGAGAGTCCCATTGGTTAACTGAAGTGTTTTCTCAGTTTTTAGAATGCAGAATATTTATTAAGCACCTCTATCCTTTTTATTCTTTTTTGTTGGCTTGCCTGCCTTCTCTCATAGTAGTCCCATCGATGCTTCTGATGTGTTGATAAAAAAAAAATTGTTATTAACCTTTGTTTTTTTTCATGCTTTTCTACCCTCTTAATCTACCTTTTTTAATTTGCTTATGTCTTTTGTATTTCTCCTGCTTTTGTCAATTGCTTGCACTGGCTTCCATATCTAAAATATTAAATTTACATTACAGTGTTAGAAAATATTTATTGAAACATTTAGGAGATATGTTGATACAAGTATTAAACTGTGCAAAGACGATGTACTTTGCATTACACTTCCCTAAAGCAGCTTTCTTCGTTGAGAGTTTAATGTTTCCATCAGAACTTTTTTTTAGTCCTGGACTTTATAAATTCAGGGTTTTTGAATGCTGTGCATTTGTCTGCATATGTAAGTGTTTTTTAAGTAAGGCATTGCAAACTGCTGTCAAGTTGAGAGGAAATGTCTAAGACTGCCCTGAGTCCCTGTGTTTATCCTGTGTGTGTCTAATTTCCTGTGAGAATCTAATCTGGCAAATTGACACTTCAGCTGGTATAGCTACTGCAAAAATAAGAAAGTCAGCAAGAAGGAAAAGAGAATGAATTCTTAAAGCAAGGAGCTGCTCTGGGCTCCAATTAGAAATTGTATTTAAGGAAGCCCAGTTTCAGGTAAGCCAACCGCATGTAAACTGGTTTCTTTTTCTGTTCTGTAGGATGTCAGCTGTAATGAGATACAGGTTTTACCACCACAAGTTGGGAATCTGGAGATACTAAGGGATCTGAACATCAGAAGGAATCATTTAGTTACACTACCAGAAGGTTGGTCCTTTTGTGAACAATAACCCGTGCCAATTTGTGGTTCTTATTAACTCAAAATCATAAAATTGCTTGGTGTATGTGCCAAGCAGATATTCACTTAAAGTGTTCCATTAGCTCCAGAAGCTTTCTTGCAAGCTATGTGAGCAACAGTGTAATGACTGTTCACATATGAAGCATTACTTACTGTAATTCAGTGCCTTGGGACATCCTCCTAACGTGAAAGGTGCTTTACAAATGCCATTTTGTTGTTGTTTGTTGCAATACATTTACTGTTGATGATTCCAAGGTCACAGTTAGAGGATAGCACTTTAAATGCCTTAAAGTCCACACTCGCACTGTCCCTAAACAACACTTGAGAATTCTAGGGGGCAGGGGGAAGAGGAAGGCTATGGACTAGTGTCTACAAGCAGCTGGGCTGGGAGTGCTGAAACCATGTCAACTGTAAGACCCTTACAGAGACTACACTTCATCTCTGTGATCCAGGTTGAATTGCTTCAGCTTCCTCTGATATTTAGTTGCTTTAAAGAGTTCTAATTACCAAGAATGTTCTTGTAATCGATTGTGTTTTAAATTTAGGATATATTACATTTAATTCTGAAGGACTCAAGTAAACCCCTTTGCTTTAGTGAAAGTATTGGTGAGCTCTTAAGTTCAATTTCAATTAGATTTTAGATTCTTGTTGTAGAGTGTATTTAGAGCACAATTCTGCTATCTGCTGTGCAGGATTCCAGCTAATAACCTGTTTCTTTATTAGAACTTGCAGACTTGCCACTTGTGCGACTGGATTTTTCTTGTAATAAAGTTACTACAATCCCAGTCTGTTACCGAAACCTTCGTCACCTACAGACAATCGTATTGGATAATAATCCTCTACAATCTCCACCAGCACAGGTTAGTCTGTAAACAGGAGGATTTATTTTATTTTACATTTCACTTACTGTATTAAACCTTGCCCACTTCATTGGCCAACTTCATCTGGTGCTTTTTGTTCACCGTAAGTGATGCTATATTCACCGATCTGTTAACCAATGATATTGTTTTATGAGCTCCATAAATATGTTTTTTTCTTCTTCTAGATTTGTATCAAGGGAAAAGTCCACATATTCAAATACCTGAATATCGAAGCATGTAAAAGTGTGCCTGACCTGCCGGAATATGATAGAACCAGATCAATTGGTTTCAATTCATGGTTAGTATTCAAAGTGTTTTAATGTGGGAGCAAAAATAAATAAGTAACAAAAGTAGCCCTGAGTAGCAATATTGGTACCCAGGAGCATGATATGTGCTGGAAATATGGGGCTCATAAATAAATGGTGGAGGGATATATTGGCATCATTGATGGCCCTATCCACCCCACCATCGGCAGATGGGCTTTCAGCCACTCTATCCTCCCGTTCTGGAACTCCATCCTGGAGTCCCTCCGACTCACTCCCTCACTACATATAAGCAAATTATATTCAGGGAGGGACAATGGATGAAAAATGTACATTCAGTTTTCTTCCATGAAAATGTTGCTCTTTTAATTCAGTCTGTATTTGATGGTAGTAGACATCTTACACTGCAATTTAAATATACTTGGCTCTTAACAAACTGGGTATGATTTAAAAAGAAATAAATTAGCTTCAGCAGTTTGAAAACTGACAAATCAAGCACCTTTTTTGTGTGCTCCACATGATTCTCATAGTAAAGTGAGGTAACAGAAGCAGTCGTCAGATCATAGAATTTTATAGCACAGAAGGAGACCATTTGGCCCATCATGCTTGTGTTGGCTCTTTAAAAGAGCTACCAACAAATCCCATTCTTTTTTAAGTACCTATCTAATTCCTTTTTGAAAGCTATTGTCGAATTTGCTTCCACAAGCCTTTCAGGCAGTGAATTCCAGACCGTAGCAACTCTTTAGGTAAAGAAAAATCTCATCTCCCCTCTGGTTCTTTTGCCAATTATCTTCAATCTGTGTCTTCTGGTTACCAACCCACCAGCCAGAGGAAATAGTTTCTCCCTATCTACTCTTATCAAAACCCCTCATAATTTTGAACACCTCTACCAAATCTCCCTTCAATCTTCTCCAAGGAGAATAACCCCAGTCTCTCTAGTCTGTCCACATAATTGTAGTCCCTCATCTCCGGTATCATTCTTGTAAATCTTCTATGCAAGCTCTCCAAGGGCCTAACATCCTGCAGTTTTGAAACCCTTTAAAAAGGAACAATTGAACCAGAACGTCTCACCTATCTAAGATGTGTGTGGCAGGTTTTGTTGAATGATGGTAGACTATCATTTATACATAGTGACATGTTATGTGTCACTTGTATGTAGCTCCAGGCTTACCTGTAACTTTTATATATAGTGACAGGTTTGTGGTTCAGGAAGTTTCTGACGCTTGCTGTACTGCCATCTTGCCATATATCATTTGACTATCAATGTTGAGCTCTGAGAGTGGCCTGGAGCCCTTGCATGGTTCCAACCTCCTCGTTGTCTGTGCAAGTCAGGAACGTGATGTTGATGGGTAGTGTGGTAGTGTTTTTAAGATAATGAAACGTTTTGAGAGAATTAATAGTGGAAAACTCTTCCTGCTGTTAGGGATTTGAAGACAAGAGGGAGTGAATTACAATTGTGAAGTAAAGGAGAAGTTTGGAAGAACTTATTGCTTTAGAGGGCTGTCAGGATACCGAATCATATGTCACGGTGGCTGTTGGAACACAGTTGATTGGGGAATTTAAAAAATAATTGAACAAATACATCCAGATGAATGATTTTAGAGGAATTGGGGTGGATTGAGACTTGGAGGAGTGAACAATTACAGGAAAAAATGGGTCAAATGGACTCCCAATTATGTTATACATTTCTATGGTTCTATGTGTAAAAGTAAAGCATTGTCTTTAAGACACTTACAAGATCTCACCTTATTAAAAAGAAAGCAGTCTTATAAAAAATATTCTCTGCTCCTGGTGTTAGTTGATTCTCCAGTTTGCCACTTTCTATCTAAGCAGAAGAAGCAAATAATATGAATCGTCTGCAGATGCCAAGAGTTCAGCTAATCCTGCAGACTGTTGTGAAATGACTGCATGTCATGCTCACTATTCATGATTGAATTACTTTAGTTCATCTCAACCAAAATTATCTCTTCCATAAGCTTTCTAAAAATTCTTGTTAGTAACTGGTTTGAATTGTAAAACACATAGTAAGTATAAAACACTGCCTTATAGTCCCCTTCCAGAGAAAGCCGAGTATAGAAATAAAACATTACATTCTGTTATAAGTGGTTTGTCTTCTGATTTTTAGCTTGAAGGCTTTTTCGTATTTTGTTATTATAGTAGAATGCAATTGAATCTAAAATTGTTGCAGACAAAGCACAACATTTCATGATCAGTTTACAAAAAACATTTTGCTTTCAACCTGTCTCAACACAGGAAAGTGGCATTGGCAAGCAGCAGTGGTTAGTGTTCCAGGTTAGGAGTTCTGTCTGGGTATGCGAGAGCCTGCTGAGAGTTCTTCAATTTGTCTGCATTTTCAAGCTGTTGGTGACAGCTGAGATATTGTCTCACATCAGCAGTGGTATACCTGCCAGATTCAGGCCCTTTTTGCTTGCCCAGAATTCTCATTGCACTATTAATGCAGTTAGATGTAATGGAGTGGGTCCAGTGCTATTGTAACTAAATTCTAAGACAAGAATCCTGCTGGGGGATTACAGAAAAGTCTAAGATTTTTTAAATGTTACATTTTAAAAAAAAACTTCTGAATAGCCTTCAATGTATTTTCTTCATTTCATTTTAATTGGATACTGGAATTCTGGAAAAAGTAGATCAGTTGCCATTCAAGATTAGTCAATTTCTGTAACCTTCATGGGTGCCAAGATTTCTGCAGTGAGAGAGATCAGCGATTATACTGGGTCTATGTACAAGTAGGTCTGTTCTTAAATTGACCAACACAGCATGGAATCAATTATGAAGCTTGACACATCTGGGCGAGGGAAGGGAAAATCCACGCAGCGTTTCTGCTGTTGATTATTATCAAGTGTTTTGTAGATGTTTGGTGAGGATAGGATTGGACTCCAATGGCTGAAGCTCTCTGTCTTAGCTTAGTGTAAAAAAAGTTGGTTCTTGGGCAAAGTACCAAAAGACTGCTGGTAACCATGGAAATGTGTCCCAAGTATCAGCTGCTGCCTGTAAGAAAAGGGGGGGAAAAAAGTAATACATGAATTTAGGATTTTATTTCTGTTGCCTACCTCCTAGAGATCAAGCCTGTGATCCAGTTCTCTAAAGAGACATACACATAATTAGCAAATACTGTATTTATGATCAAGAAATTACGTAAATCAAGTAACTTTTCTCCTTTTCTGTTTGAGGTTTCTTGGCAATGATTTTCGAGAGGCTGACTTCCTCATGTGCAATTGGTATGATTACAGCTTCATAACAAAAGGATGTTAAAATAGGGTTTCATCATACTAAAACAAAAATGGGGAAGGGGAAAAACCAATGGAATGAGCTGTTCCTTCCATAGTGGTAAACCTCTTAAAGATTGTGGTGTCCCAGTGTTAGCCGCAACATTTGTAAACTGCACTAATGGGGTTAAAATCCAGAAGCAAAGCAGTAAGGAAAAAGAAAGCTTGGATCAAAAGCTTATAGTTAATGTATTCCTGCTGTTCTTGTGTAGTGTATTTGTATGTAGCATGTTGCACCTGAATAGTCAGACAATCTGTCGTGAGCACTCTGTCCTTTAAAAATAGTCATGAGCAGGTGTAAAACGTGGCACCAATTTATTATGTGATTTAGTTTTCTTAGTAATAGGCCCTCTCCCAGACTAGTCCATTGAAGGTCAGCAATTCAGTGTAGGGAATCATTGTGTTGTAACCATCTGTTACTTCAGAGTCGGGCTCTAAAACAGGTTGACTAGGAAATCCAGCATGCATCACTTAGATGCTGACATGTGCAGCTATAGTTAAGGAACCATTTGTTAATAGATATTGATCTGATATTTTCTCATTTAATTTGCTGTTAACTAACTAGAAATGGTCCGGTGTGGTCTCAGCTTGTTAATCTTTAAGAGTGAAATTTCAATATTGCTAATAAATAAATGCTTCTGATTAGTTTCTGTATTTTTTTCAAACTTGCTCATCAATTAAAACTTGGCTTGTTTGGTGTTTTCTCTTTTTAAAGTCATGAAGACTATATCTTGGGCCGACCATATGGAGCTCTGGATTCTGGCTTCAACAGTGTTGACAGTGGCGATAAGAGATGGTCGGGAAATGAGGTGAGTTAATCTGGTACTTTTACAAACTAATCTCATGCAAACTCTCAGAGCATTAGGATACTCTTAAGAATGGTGAGGGGGTTCTTTGCGTGTCAGATACCTGGCTGACCAACATAATAGATGATTTCAGTGGTGCGCTCCAAGGCACACATGCTAGTAGAGGGGTAACAATGCTTCAACTTAACCTGTATTAACTTGTAAGTTATTTTTGCTGTCAAGTCTCGCAACTCTCCCAACATTTTTACCAATTGGTTGGCCTCTTTCTGTGCTATCTGGACTGTCAGCTTAACCTACCAGCTTGTCTCTCCTTCAGTTATATAATTTATCAAGTTCTCCCTTGTGTCGCTCCATTCATTGACATGTGTGAAAATATCTGCTCATATTTTTCTCACCTTTCACATCACTTCAACTAGCCAATTCTTCTCCATACAATATTCTTTTTCTCTTGTTCTGCCTTTTTACCTCTCTCCCAATTCATTACTTGGCTTGCCATTAATATTATCATATGAATTTCTCTTCAAATTTGCGATATCCATTCGAATGAGGATCGATTGTGACTGCAGCACTAGTTCCAGGATTATAGCTTTACACATTCAAAATACAGCATCACTAAGAATTGAAATAACCCTCATGTCAGATACATAGCTGAAACTTTAGCTACCTTTTGATGTATCTATGAAACCTATTGTCTCTTGTTGCAGCCGACAGATGAGTTTTCTGACCTCCCACAACGAGTAGCTGAAATTGCAAAAGGGCAACGACGGGAGGTTCAGAATCTTGAACATCGAGCAGCACCATTAGTGACAAATGGAGCAGGTAATGATAATATAATAATCCTTGCATTTGATATAGTGCTTTTCACGTCTTCAAGGCATCTCAAAGTGCTTCACAGAATGTACTGTAAAGTGATTTGACTGTATATTTGTGGGTGAAACGTAGCAGCCAGGTAAGTTGAGAGCTTGCATAGTCATTGGGTGCTGCAATGGAGAGTGATTTGGTGGGTTTGTACGTTGCTCGATAATATATAACATCTAAAGTTAGAAAAGCTTGGAAACTGACCTGATGGTTCAATAATAAAGATGCCATCCAGAGTCAGGAATGCCTTGGGTTCAGTCATTGATCTCTGTTAAGCTAGCTGATCTTAACAAACATTTACAAATAACTTTTGTCTTTGTACCAGTTGAACATGACTTGGACCAGATTGATTACATTGACAGCTGTGCTACAGAGGAGGAAGAGGAAGTAAGATTGTCGAAGGGGGCAGATTCCAGCAGCCTCAGTTCACAGTTCATTGCATATATAGAACGACGGAGTGTCAACCATGAGGTAACCTCTTCCCGAGATCCTTGACTAGTGACATTGCTATTTTTTGCAATTATTGAAACAACTATAAACAAACACCTAGCTCTCCTCATACACAACATAAAGTGAGCTCTACCTGTTTAGATGAGCTCTGACATTAAAAGATCCTATGGCACTATTTGGGAAAAAAGAAGGAAGTTTCGTCCATTTCCCAGCCAGCTGTTTGTGACATGTTGATGTGCCCTTAATGGCTAGCGCATTCACCTACACAGTCACCACACACTTAACAGTAAAATCCCATGAAACACTTTGAGATGTTTCGACCATGTGATAAAGTGCTATATCAAATACAAGGATTATTAATGACTCCTTTTTGCTGTACTCTGTGTGTCTGTTTTTTCTTTTGGACTGCGCACACAGCTCTAGTAATGGACAGGTCTTTACACAGCTCTGGTGATGGGTGCTCACACACCTTTGCAGGTTCTCAGTGCTATGACAGCAGGTGTCCAAACAGCTCTGGGGTGGCAATATTCAAGCAACTCTGGTGGCAAACCTTTTAACTTATTTTTAATCACTTTTATAACAACTTTTATTTTTACAGCGCTAACTTCTTCACTAGAGTTGGTTGAACCAAGTTTTCTTTTAAGATGTTGGATAATCTCTCCTGAGACTGTGTAGTATTTTATTGCTATTTTCTGATCTGAAGTTTATGGGCAGTTAACACAAATGTCTGTGCCTACCATTCAAACATACCAGTTCAAAAAGAGCATAGTAAATTCTCCGCATTTCACATACTGGTAGATCTTGGGAACAGTTGGAAATTGCATCTCATGGGTTCACAGTTGCACTATTTTGAGAAAAGGCATGAAAATGAATTGTTCTAATGGTGAGACTTGCTTCTCTTCTAAAGGGATTTCTAGTGAAGCCTAAGGCCATTGGGGATGCACACCGAGCCGAAAATGGAAGGAGCTGGTCGCAACAGTTCAGGTACTGGCTTCAACATCATCTTGTAGAGAATGAGAGGAAAGTGACCGCGAGTTTGATTGAATACTTAATAACACTATGGATTTAATAGCCCCCAAAATGGCTTGATATTATGAAATAAAACAGAAAAGGGAGAGAATTTGACGACGCTACCCTCCAAGGCTTTGGGTTGCATGGTTAACAAGATCGTGAGAAGAACTCCTGCTTTCAGGGACTGGTCAGCCCTTTAAGTCCTGCTGACAAACTAGGAGTAATGCTGCTTATTCTGCCTTATCCAACATATACCCCATACTGATTTTATGCATTTTTTTTTAGGAATGAGCCCGTTGTTTCACGGAGACCTGAAACCTTACAATTGTGGCAGGACAGTGAGGGACAGCAGACACTAAAGGATCGGTAAACTTAATTTAACACTAATGATTGATTGCTTTAAAGGGGAAGGGCAATTTGGTTGTGAAACTTACTGTGCTGAATAATGCAGAAATGTTAAACTGAGAGTGACTTAGTGATGACTGTAAGATTACTTCGAAAGTATGAGTCTATATCATACTGGAATCATGTTTAACATTTATTGTTGTTGGGTGCTTTTTTTAAAAAGGGGAAGTTGTGTATGCCACTAAAGAAAACTAAATTAGCTATGTTTGAACTGCTGTCCTGATCTATTCCACCAGTTTAACAAAAAGGGTTGATTATTCGGGTAGTTTGTCCGCGTTGAGTACTTCTGCTTCTTCCTTTAATCTTGACGCAAAGAAAAAAGCTGAACTGATTGCTGCACTAATTTTCCAGCCAGTTCAGTAACCAAGTAAGTAATTTATGGTGAAAGTAATACCACTAGAAAAATATTCCTGATTCAGTACAGTTTTACTATTTATAGTTTGAAAATTACATAATATTGTCTTTATTTTTCTTCTATGGTTGAACGGTGATACAAAGATTGTGAACATCTTCCTTATTTTGTCAGTTAGCAACAAAATGACAGGATTTCTTTTACTTTTTTTGCAGTGGATTTTCAGAAGCCGGCTTGATGTCTCAGCCTCCATCTAGTGGCCAATATCAGGTAATTATAACAGATGATAATACAGTATTTAAATAGTTTTTTTATTTGTGTCATCTGTTTGGGCAGTTTGTATAATGTCTGGAACAAAGTCATTTTGATATTACTCTCAGCTTTACTTTTGTTAACTTGGAGCCAGCCTCCTGGGTCACCAAGAGGCAAAGCTTTTTCCAAAGCCCAGTCTTTTTGCTACATATCTGATATGACCATTCATGCTCCCAGCAGACATAATGTAAACTCTGCATAGGCTGACAGAATGTTGCTACTGTACACAAATGAAATTTTACAATATAGTTTTTTTGTTTTGTTCTCTGAAAGTCAGTGGACACCAGAATTTATTTTGAAATAAATGACACATTCCAAAGAGTTTGACAAATGTTTTCTGATTGTACATGAAGCAGTGATGTCAACTGGGATTAAACTCACTGTTTTGTAATGTGTCTAAAATGCTGGATTGTTCTACTCTCTGGGCTTCTTGCTCTCTCCAGACCAAAACAGAGTTTTCTCATGAAGAAGGCTTCATATAACTGAATAGAAATATCTTTCTGACTAAAGATCATTCTTTTATTTAAACCTGATTTTGGTTAATAGTTTAAGATTACACAGCCTGTTCAGAATATAATGTCTGTCCAGTCTAGTAGATTGCAGTACTTTTTTTTAAACAAAATCTATATTTATTTGTTGATAAATATTTATGCTTATTACAGTACATACAGTATATCTTAATACTGTACTGATACCATTAGCAGCAGCCAAGTATACAGTAAGTCACCTCATTGGCAGTGCATGCATCGGCAAAAAACAGAATTCTTATTGACAAGCACGCTTATTTGGCAGCTCAGGTTAGGGACATGTGTAATAGAGATACTCTGGAATTAGGCAAGTAGGAGATGCATTCCCTCAGGGAAGGAGTGCACATTTCATTCCAATAAATATCTCAGGACGTTCTAAGCATAAGTGGGATGCATGGAAGTCTAAGTATGGTTTGGATGCTCTTAAGCATGGTGACATGTGTCAAACATCAGCTGATCAAAAAAAATTTTATACTCCAATAGAAGGTGTTGTCTCCAATGTTCTTTCTCCTTATGGTGAATGCTTTTTGACTATACGGTAGGTTGACATGATCCTGTTTTGTTGGGGGTTTAAATTGAAAATTGTGAATTTTTCTCTGATTAATGACGCATATGTACGTTTTCGAAATAGTTGTGTCTAAATCCAGAAAGAGAATGCCATTACAATTGTTTTTCTTCCTACTGATCCAAATATATGGACAATGAATACTAGAATTGAAAATGATTGCTCAGCATTCCCTCATTTTCTCAAGAAACTAAACCTTGTCTTGAGAGTAAACTCCCACAGTTTTATATCTCCTAATTACAGTGCCCTCGATGTGTCAAAGTTTCACACGATAATGAAAGCAAGAAATTCTGTGGAGGTATTAGTCAAGAAGAAACAAAACTTTTTTGTTACTTTTGTTGGCAGACATTTGGCACAGACTGAGATAAGTTGTGAGTGGTCAGGGAGTATCTTCATGCAGTTATATACAGTACATATGAGTTGAAGCAGCATTGAAGTGGCAAGATAGAGACGAGTGGAGGGATTGTAGGGTATCTAAACCATAGGTTATCTGAACACAGTAACAGAGTGATAATTTTATGTTGGGTGTGTCCGTGAATAATGAGCACCTGAAACAGATCTAATTTCATGAAATTGTGTTTTCCCCTAAATAAACTTAAATCCATTTTCTCTCACACTGAATGTATTAGTTGGGTGTCTGTTTCACTCAGGGACCTCATCTAAATGGTCATTCATGTGTAAAACTACAGCGAGTGTTGACAGGCTATTCCACAATGAGCATCACAGTTAAATCTGTTCTCATCTGACACAATATACATGTGCATTTCAGCAGGGTTTATCATATTGCCAAAGGCGAATATTTTGTGAAAATAATGCTTCAACTCCTTTTATCCTGACCTCTTTTGTTTTGTTGGGTCACGGTTTATTGATCTACTGATGCACTACATTACACAATCGTTGGAAATGACTAGGTGAGATGAGTGGCAAATGAGGCTGGTAAGGTTCCTCCTCAGAATAGAAAATTAGTAGGTAACTAGGCACCTTATATAGGGTTACAGTGGGATCGAGTGAAATGGGACATGTCACTTGACCAATGTAAAGAGGCAACAAGAATTCTTAATTGCAAATTCTCATTGTTGATGCGTTTAAGCTGCTAAAGGAAACCTTGCAACAAATTAGATCCAGATGGCTGGTGAGCAGATTAAATGGTTTAACTGCTCTGCTTGCCAGACATCAAACGTGGGCTGCACAGAGCAAGAGTTGCAAAGGAGACGCGAGCATCTAGTAGTGGAACGGACTCGGAGAGAGGCTCAACTCGCTGCCCAGCAATACCAGGAGGAGAGAATTCGAACGAAACAGATTCAAAAAGAAGCTGTCCTCGACTTTGTGAGAGTAAGTTCCAGTGTTTGAAAGATAGCTGTATAGTCCTAGTTAAAGAAAACCTATAAATTGTGATTTGATGTCACTGAAAATATAGGTGAAATTTGTGACACTGAATTTCGATCTATTTCAAAAAAAGTTCCAGAACCTATTTTTTCCCAATTAATTTTCTTCTCTCTCCTCATCTACTGAAGAAGCTGACGTCCTGGAATATAGTTCAATGGCCACCTCCTGAGGTTCAGCCCAAGCTGCCTTTGTTCATGTTGTTCCTTCAAATGAAATGTTCAGTCAAGGTCTCTTCTCGTTCAGGCGGATATACTTCATAGCAGTAGTGTTTAAACAGCATAGTTCTTATATTTCCAGTAGATGTCAATACTACCAGATAGTATTATTATATGAGAGCCAGCCAGTATCTCAAAGTTTGTCAGATCAATGGAACAGATAAGAAATGAACCACAATCACCATAAATCCTTTTGACTTTTCAGGAACATTCAGGTTTTGCTCTTCTGTGAGCAGGGATTCTTCAAACAGAAAGTAGACTGTGTAGTTCTGTGAAGGATCTTAACTATGAACTCCATGTCACTGCTAGATGCATGCACTGAATAAGCTTCCCTCAGTCCTTCCTTGCATGTGACAACATTGTGGGTTGTACTGCTGTGGTTCTATTTTCAGACAAGGTATTTTTGAATTCTAATATTGATTAATGCCATATGTTTGGCTGAACTGCAAACAACCATGAATATCAGGATGAAATACTGGGAACAAGCAGCATATTGATCAGCGTCTAAAAGGGTTATGTTTCAGGAAGCACTTCGGGTCTTGTGAAACATTAACTTATCTCTCTCAGATGCTGTATATTTACATCCTTTTTTTAATCCTTGCATTTTATGTAGCACCTTTCATGTTGAAGGGATGTCTCAAAACTCTTTGCAGATTTACTTTAAAGTGAAGTCACTGTATTTTGTCAAATTCTAGTTATTGTGTATCTCTTATCAATCATTAGGACAAGGAAATGTAATCGAAAGAATTTCATTGTTAGAGAACTACAAATTTAAATTCAACAAAACATGGTGAAGGAGCTTTAAGTTGTGGGTGTGAAGGGTGTTGCTGTGTGGAAAGTAATTGTGTTTTAAGTGTCTGAAGTAGAATGACCTGAGTTGGAGCGAGTGTATACAAAATAATCCAAAGTGTAGTCTATGCAGCTGCTATTTCAGAGAGGGACTGATATAATAAATGATATAATATAAACAGACTGATTTAATATAGACCTACTGAAGCTGTTTTCTGTGATTTCCCTGCAGCAGAAGAGTGCACAGAGTCCTCAGAAACAGAGTCCATCAGACAGTGATCATAGCAACGTAAGTCCTAAAAATAGTTTTAATTGAAGAGAATTACTATGGAAGACCTTTGCTGAATTCTCCATAGCAAAATGAAACATAACTTTTCATTTCAGGCAACCAGGGCAAAGCAGTAAACTAATGATAAGCCAGAATAAAAAAAAGAGCAGATCATTTTTGACAAACTGACCCTACTCTAAAGAATATATTTACTTTAAAAACATAATAATTTAATGGGGTTTGTCATATTTTAAAGCAACTCTAACGCATTTTAATAGATTCCCTAGAGTGCATATGCATGTATGTATATCAAGTTGTCCTGATTGAGAGCCTTTCCATTCCAGAAATGAGAGGTAGCTCACCATGGCTTTTGCAAGGCACATTGGTGTCATTTGAGTTTCCTTTTCAGATGTGGTGCCTAAAATGTATTAGTGAATACATTTCTTTGGAAAGTAGTAAATTTTATTGCTGGCGTTCGTGTTATAGGATATTATTTATGGAATTACAAACAGACAACAAATGTTCACCGCTCAGAGGTTTCCTTCGTTGAAAGAAGAATGCTAATGATGTGCCCTGATCTCTGTTTGCCTGTAGTTGTGAGAATGCCATCTATTTTGGCACAGTTACATCTTCTGGACTTATTTCCTCCCCTGTGAATTTAATTTCCCCTACTATTTAATTTGTCTGGCTTTACATTTACATTCCATTCCTCTATTTCCATGCATGTGCAAAATTAATTTAGGTCAATGGTTTCTTGCCTATTAATATTTTTCTCAAAGCAGTATCTCCCTTGTCATTTGCTCTGGAAATATATTTTTATAGTTGTGCTTTAATATTGAGGATGGGATGAATCTAGTTCACAGAGATCCTCAGCATTTAAAGCAGCAATAATTGGGTCTTCCTATATCTGTGTGCTACATGCTTTAGTGCTATGAGACCTGGGTACACAGCGCCCCCAGTTCCACCTTAATGAGGTGAAGCACCTTTTAGATTAGTCCAGTAGTCTTTCACCTCTTGTTTTAAAAGGTCGAAGACGACTGGATTGTTGGAAGAATAAAACTTGATTTATTCAGTATTTTAAATTCTGGTAACTCAGTTGGCTTTTTAATTTTAAAAAGATCCAAAATACTTATATTGAAAAAGCTATATTTCCCAGTAACTTTACACACCTCACTATGCTACACTGTTTGCCTGGGTCCTGAAGTATATTACACTGAGGATCCATTACATGTTTTATGTATGCATGTGTTATCTCACCCCCTTCCCCCTCACCAGCACCAAGCAAGCATTCAGTAACACTTGCATCTTGTCCATGGACACAAAGGTGAAGAATTGGATAAATTCAAAGTAAATTTCTACTTTGAATTTATACTTTGAATTAGCTGTGAACTGAGCTAAAGGTACATGGGTAACAGTTTTCCTGAGTCTTTATGGGTAAAACGGGTTGTATGATTCTAAATTACTGCATTTGGGCTTGAATTTTGGGCCCCTAAATATGTCAACCTTTTGTCCTGGCAGTAAGTGTTACATTTGTGTTACTTAGCTTACCCCTCTTCAGGCAACGGTTTCCTTGTCCTGAGGTGCCTACATTGATTGTTTGTGCTGTGTTTTGTTTTATTCATCTCTCTTTCTCCCCCTTCCCCACCACCAGCTTCCCAAATCTTTCCTTACCAGACGATCCCAGCACACAGACGATAGCGCCTTGTTAGTGGTAAGAGAGTGCCTGCATGGAATGGCCTGTTTGTATCTAGAAGCATAGAACTTAGACATCGGCATGATACGTCAACTGAACAATCGATAGCTAAAGCTTTGCTGAATAGCGCAACCCACATGCAATAGAAGGATTGTGTGTTCCTCTTTCCCAGGAGCTTGGCTTGGAAACTACATCAGCTAGTCCTGTGAGATTGTTACTGTTCAGGGATATTTCTCCATTTCTGTCATAGTAATTATTTTCTGGGGCACTTTTTTTTTGAAGATATGGGTGCTGTGAACTCTGTTCTCATCATAATTACTCACAAGTAGCAAGGCAAGCGTGGAACAGATTCCTTATAGGACTAGAGTTGGGCAGAAGCTTCAAACTTGGGATTACTGTTGTCACAAGGCCTAGGACTTGCAAAAGTAACCAGTGGCTCATCTTCAGTACCAAGCAGGATTTCTGTTATACTGTTTGTGGAAGTGGAGTTTCCTTCTACAGTGACAGGAAAAACAGGCATCAACTGCTGATTAAAATGTATCGCGGGAACCCGGTCACGTATCCTGATCTTTGGCTAGAAGATCAGATGTCTTCTTTGTTTCTGTGTTCTTATCCTCCACCCACCCCCACCACCCACCCATGTGAATGTGCATTTGACCACACACATGGTCAGAAAACAGTTAGACCTTACATGAAACAGAATTTACTTCTTTCTTGTTGGATATTGGTAGATATCACATTGTAAGCCCCATATACAGAACCGATAAAATGTGGTAAGGAGGAGTTTGGATGTTTTTTGATGTTTGGAACCTCTGATGTATGACATATTTGATCTGGGTTAAAGAGCTGGAATGAAACCACAGCATGCTATCAAAGGTGACTCCGAATTAAAGGGGAATAGAACACAGCTTGGCCCTGGTTGGTTGAATTCTTAGCACCACCGATAACAGGAGGTTGAGCTTCGGAGTTGGGGATTCTAAAGAAAAATCTGGAGTAAAGCCATTCAAGTTCAAAATAAAATTGGTATCTCTGACCAGTATTAAGTCTAGCTGCAGACAGATGAAAATGTGAATCTGAATTTACCATTTCTCCCCCCCAACCCCCCACCCCCCAAAAAAAATGTTAACAAATTGGAGGCTGGGAGGGAGGAAAGTGCTGTGGATTGTGCTATTCACATTTGTTTTACCTAGCAGTGAATGTTATATCTGTTAATTGATTCTAACTTCAATCAGTAGCTAGTAGCACTGTTGAACTCACCTGAGCAAATACTGTAATTTCTGCCCGTGTTGCATGAACTCAACACTTGCAATATGTCCAGTAACCAATAGACTGCTCTCTGGTGCAGCACCATCCACATACTGCAGAATACTCTGTTTGCAGAAGTCTTTAGGTTATCCAGGTTACAAAATGGTAAGAGGTCCAAAGTTATTTTACTGGGGACTGATCCAGGTCCGTCAGGTGCTAAAATATGCCCCAATGGTCTAGATTGTTACAGTTCTGTTTTGTCCCTTTTGTGTACCACTAAACTTTATTTACCTGGCCAAAATTTCTCTATTCAAGTTTGTAAAAGCATTGTGTTTTTGTTTGAGTACTTGCCTAATCCATACCTCATATGCATTATTTATGTATTTCATTTTTTTTTCTTTTTGTGTTTTGTAAATGTAATCATCAGAAAATGTATTCCTTCCATAATTTCCATACACTTTTCCTGTGTTCTGTCTTATTTTCAGTTTCTTTTTCTCTTCTACTACTATTGTGTCTCCAGCACTCTTCAAATTATCCATAATGGTCAAACCAACCTATAAACATGCTCAGAAGTAGGCATTCTGTTACTGGGGCACCTATTTGGTAGAAACTAAGTATTACAATTCATTGCAACAGGAGCCTGTCATTTATCAGTTCACTTATTAATGTTTCTGGCTAGTTAGAATCTAAAATAAGGACCAGATCTCAGAGCATTGGAATTATATTACTGTTCTTAGGCTACTGGACATTGATTTTTAATCAATAAATCAAGGGAGAATGAAATTCTAAAATAAATACTTTCTCTTTAAAATATTCCTGTTTCCCAACTGCTTCCACATCAGCAGTTTACAAAATAGATTAGTCCAAATATATTTTAAATGGTCAAAAACTCTAGAACCAGTGGATACAAATTAAAACTTGGGTAAGGGTAGATATGTCACGTGCAAGGATTATTATTACTATTATGGATAGTCGGGTTTAATTATTTTAGTGTGAAGTATTTTGCACATATTCACATGCAGAGAAAGGTGAAGGCACAGTCTCATTTGAGGAAAGCTAATAAAATCTATGGAAGTTTGTGTGAAGTTCATCGTAGTACGCAGCAGAACTCCCAGGCTGTGTTCAAGTGAAAACAAAATTCTTGAATCAACATCATTAGGAGAGAATTTTCAAATCATTATTTTCAGCGATGGATGATGCACTTCCTCGTTGTTGATGTGGAAAGGTCGGATAGTTAACCTGAATTTGTCCACTTTTTTTCCAGCTCACTGCCTTCAGTTATTCTTCTAAGTGATTGTTATTTGTGATGTAGATTCATAATTGAATTGCTGTACAAAAAGAAGGCTGTTGAAATGAGACAGAATGCAGTTGCCACCTTTTTCCAAGACTACACCTCGCTGATAATTTTCAGGCTCTTGGCCCTCTTGTCTTAAAGCTTTCTTCTGTGCTTCTTTCTGTAACAGAATGGCTTTGAACCGCACTTCTTCTTTGAGATTGACAGTAACACCAATACCATTAAGCGGAGGCCTGGCTCACACAGCAAGGTGATTGAGCAGCTTTTGCACTGTGTGTGGCTTTGTGTAGCATGTGATTTGTGTTTCTGCATGAAATTGTATTTGACCATTGATGCATCTCACCAGACCAAAATCTTCACTGTGTAACACTAACCTGTCATTAGGTTTACACTGTTATTTTATATGCATTCAGGGAGGTCTATTTGTGATAGTGAGTGTTAGCACATTTATTTAAATGCCAAAGCCATTGAAGCCAAGTCTCATCATGCTATTATCAGACATGAACATGCAAGTGCGCACAAACATAACACACACTAAGTAGGAGTTATTAAATAGCGATCCAGTATGGACCCTAGCTGTTCATTTCTTCTTTCTGTCGCAAAAGTTTTGAGACCAAATTATTATCCATACTGCTGTCTTTATTAAAATCAGCTACGTAGCACAGGGTGGAGATGAAATCTGTGACCTTCCACATTTTGGTGATTCGTTTTCATGACAGCCAGTGTCACTAACAAATGAGCCAACAGGTGACATAGAAATAAAATAAGGAGTGTATGCGATATTCACTGGGACACTCCAAACTCAGTGTGGGTGCATGAGCTGTAAGAGACAATAACAAATTACATTTCTATAGCGCATTTCACGTCAGGAGGACGTCCCAAGGCATTGGACAGTCAGGGATCCCCGCCTGAGCTGGTGGTTGGGATCAGGTGGGGTGGAGGGTAGTGGTAGGAGGGTGTCCGAAGGCACAGTCGAAGAGGAGGGTCTTGGAGACAAGGGAGGGAACGAAGCGGAGGGATTCGGATAGAGTTCCAGAAGATGGGGGCAGAAAGGCCTGCCTGCCAATGGTGGGGTGGTCAAAGCGGGGGACGTGAAGTAGGGTTTTATAAAATGCTGAATTGTAAATATCTAAAAAGGAGAAATTTTAAAAGTGCTAGAGATAAACCAGGGGAATGGGACTAAACAATTAACTGTTTCAGAAAGCTGGCACAGGCTCAATGTGTCAAATGCCGCTTTCTTTCTTTTAAATGTAACACTTTACCATGCAGCATACTCTTAACGTATAATTTTCATTAATTGTATGTTTTTCTGCTTTAAAACCGTTAAATTATACCCATACATTTCTTTTCATTCCCAAGTAGCTGGTTTATAACCTCCCTGAAATCTATCCTTTCATCTGTCTCTTATTCTCTTTCTATCGCTGACTCAGAAAAAAAAATCTTCATGGTGACTAGGTTACCCTAACAGTACATGCCACAACTAACGTTGGGTGTAACCTAAGCAGGGAACTAAGCACTTGAGGAAGTCCTATTTATCCAAGTGAAATATTTTTCATTACTAATGCATAACTAATGTGATTATATCTGCTACCTGGCCTGAATAAAGAGTCTATGTTGGTCCTGTGTGTGCAAATCCTGTCACTGTCAAATATGCTAATTCCTATACAGAACTGTAATATGTCAAATGCTGGTCTTCGTTCAGTTTCCACAGGACTCCAGTGGTGCTTGTTTAGTAAATGTTAACTCATGCTCTTGCAGATGGGTGACCTCTACTTTGAATTAAGAGAAATATGCAATATCCCTTCTTTCTGCACTTGAGCATGCTTGTAGGAATTAATGTTTCATTTGTGAAATGCACAACAAGATTTGTGTATAGCAAGTACCCAGATATGTCTTGGGCAAATCCTCTTGAATTCCACTCGGAGCTGATCTCACACAACTTCCACGAAGTCAGATTTTGACTAAACGAAGCTCCTGATACCTGGCAGGAGTTCCATATTAGAGTGGAGATCCCAATGGTCAACATAAGATGCATCCAGGTACCTGCAAGATATGCTACTTATAAAACCTTTTGGAAAATTAGACCCGATTGTCACACAAAATACATGACATAAATATAGTTAGCATCATTTAAAGACTGATACAAGTCCCTGCCCCCTTATGTTCTGCAATACAGATTGTTGTGAAACGTTCATCAGCACTTCTGAAAACTAACTGAAATGCTATTTGGTATGACAGACAGTATATTTCGTGCCTTTGGTCCTAAGAGGATTAAGAATCTAAACCTGTGACTAAAGACATGAAATACAACTGTATGTTATATGTGCTAGCAAGATGACCAAATTGCAGTGTAATTTAGTGTTGTGTTTGAGTAGAAATGTTTTACCATTCCAAATGTTTACTGTGCAAATAATGAAAACAAATAAAACAAAAAAAGGCAAATTAACTGTAGATTAATAATTACATTCTGAAAAACTTCACAGAAATTAAATTTTAATAAGTGACTATGTCAATTTCCATCATCGTAATAATAATCCTTGGTATAGCGCCTAATCACGTCTGAGAAAACTCAAAAGAGTTTCACTGAATATACTGTAAAGTGAGTTGAGTACATTTTGTGGACAAAATGCAGCAGCCAATTGCACACAGCAATGCCCCACAAACAGTCGTGGATTCAGTGATCAAATTATTATTTCTATATTTTAGAGAGATGGGCAGACATTGATGTGATGTTCTGTTCCACTTCATACACAGAAGAAGGCTGCAACATTTTCTTGTTGTAGGAGAGATGTTTTTGTGCAAGTTGATCCTGGTGAATCGAAATGAATGCTAGCATATCGGTTGGACATTTCAAACAGATCAAAATGCATGAGATGTACACTAGTCCATCAGATCTTTACCTGATCTACGTTGAAGGAAGTCTTAGGCCAGTAAAAGACATTGACCACACTACTGAGATTCTTGTTTTTTTTAAAAAGTACAATTTTCATCCCATTGGCTCTCTACTCCCTTTCCGGCCTCCTTATGTTGAAATGTGGTTCCACGGACACTGGTTGCCCTCTGGTACTCCACCCAAGTGGATATTGTTCGTGTGTTAGCTTTGGCAGTGAATATCAGCCGGCCACTCGACTGTCGACACTGTTAAGGTTGAGCCTGACCTCTCCCCACCAAGCTACCAGTATAGGGTGGGAAAGAGAGGTGAGAAGCAGGAAGCCTGTCTGGTTTTACCCTCCATATCCTTGAGAAGGCCAGTGCCAATTTAGCTTCCCCTTACAGCTCCAGCTGAGACCAGAAAACTTAGCATGGACCGGGATTCAAATAGCGAGCCCCTGGTCTAAACTGCATCTACCCACTCCACCATTGGAGTTTTTATTGCTGAAAATATACTGGAGCAGAGCTTAAAATTTGAAGAAACGTTGAAAACATTTCACCCACCACTGCTGTCTGTCAAAGCCCTTCTTAATTTAGAATCTTTATTCTTTCTCCTGTTTCTCATATTGTCTCCTTTCTCCTTCTGCCACTTACTATTGGAAATGAACCGATAGTTTGTCTTTGATATGGCCCATACTTCTACCATCAAATTGTTTTATTTGGTCTCAACTACCTGAAGTACTAAGTGGCTGTTCGAACAACCATGTAAATGTACTATGGAACCCTTTTATTGCACCAATATGCTGTCCAAACCTGTGGTAATTTATAATAGCAATCCTTGTATTTCAGTGTTCAGCACACCATTAAAAAAAAACACTTTAAATGAATCCTGGAGAATGAAAAGTCTCTAAGGAATGTGGGATTTATTCAGGTGGCCTGCTTTTCAAGTAGGTATTCCTGGAGGTAACGATTGGCCTATCACCCCTGGGCTGGATTGGAATAGTTTCAGATATTTACCAGGCTAGTGTTTGCCCGTGAGTTTGTTTAATATACTTAACAACAGTCAGAAAATGAGCTTCATAAGAATAAGTATTGCACATTTCGGTCTTTTGGAAACTTATGACCAAAAGAAATAGCATAAGTGGATGTTGCTGCCTAGTAGAACTATTGAAAATGCTCCCCTTATAGTTAACATCTGCAGTGTGATGCGTTCATTGTGTGATGAAATTGGTAGGATCAAGCTGCACCACTGAGCTGCACCACCACACTGAGCATGTCCACACGATTTATGGATCCATTCCATTTCAAAAGTAATCCAGAGAAGAGGAATTGGAACTATATTTATTTTGTTTCGAATTGCATTCCCAGCATTTGTGCTGTGGTACATCACCTCAAGTGACCCAGTTGAGGTAAAGACAAACCTTCTTCACCATAATTCATATCCTTGATTACCATGAATAAATGACAGGTAACTAGGTCATGAATCATTGGAGTGAATTAAATTTGATCCATCTTTCAGATTTTGATCCTCTGTAATCTAAATGAGCCTTAACTGTGCTTCTTTGACCCTGATTCATTTACTGGTCATAGTTAAGTGGATGGTTCCTAGATCGGCCTGGGTCTCTGCTGTGTCCGTTCTTCGTGAATACACGGTACTGATTTTCTGCCGCAGTAAAAGATGCTTAACTTTCTTTTTCCTCATAGAGTGAAGAGCGAGCTCCTTTGACACATAGTGCCTCTGTTACGCAGCCACCTGCCCACACAGGTAAGAGGAAACCAATTTAATTCTTCTTCAGCATATTTGTTCAAAGTGATTGTGTATGCAGATTTTCTTTTCTGCTTTTTCTTGAGCTGCAGGATGATCTTGTTGACAGTAAGATGCTTGTTTTGTTTTAGCAATGGTTTTGATAAACCTGAATGCAGGTTGAAACAAAAGCTCCATTATAACATTTTGTCATTTCCGATTTTAAACAAATTCAGTTTGCTTAGCATTATTTGTTTGCCAGACACTAGTCTCAAAAAAGGAAAGTACAGTGGAATCCACTTTTGCAGGATACCTGTTAACCCCAAACGTCAGATAGATCGATTTAGATCGATCGACACCGCTTAAGCTGGAAAAAACAACCATCCCCAATGTGTCCAGCTTAACCGGCTTCCACTGTACTTGTGTTTTTGTTTACATTTCAAAATTTATGTTCTTGCAAAATAATTTTGTTGCTGATTTTGAAAATGGCATGCATTCATTGCAAAGGGATATTGTGATTTTCAGGGTTTCAAATCATACCTTATGAAATTAAATGGAAGTTTTACTCTCAGTGAATCAGCCTATGAATTTCTAACCTTTTTAAGGATCGCCATTGTCCTGCATTGCATTATTGTCATGGACAACATTTAAACCTGTGAACTTGACTAATCATTAACTGATATGAAACTAAGAAGCATACACTCACCATAAAGCTTGCCCATCACTGTTAAACTACTACTGCATGACATTTATATCCTGTCTTAATATTGCAATATTACTCTGTTGTGTTAGCTTGTGATTTACTAGTTTATTTTTTTCTCTCATTTCTATGTCCACTTCTTGCTTTCACTGGTTATTAATTAACCCTGTTTCTCAATCTTATCAAATCTTGATCACTCTCTTGCACTATCTCTGGCTGCAGCTCACCCTTCCCCTCCATATCCCGGTCCTCCTTCCCCTTCTTACAAACAGCCCACACCTGCTTGCCGGCCTGAAAGCTACCTCTTCAGAGCAGCCATGAGAGATGAACTTAAGAAAGGTAGGTTTGGCATAGGAGTGAGTTTTCTGTAACCCATAGCTTAACAGCAGCAACATTTATACATGCATATCTCATGTGCACAGGATTTCCAGCAGGTAAATTGGAGAGGAGAGGGCCTTTCAGTTCTTGAGCTAGCTGAGCAACAGAAGAATGAACTCCATGGCTACTGTTTGGTTACTACAATGTCAATTCAATCTGCATCACTTACCTGTTTCTGAGGTGGACACTTGGACATATGTGTGCAGTTTTAGAGAAAATGTCAGTTCCACAGAGAGGGTGTAGCATAGATCCACTTGTGACGATCCTCCGGGCTCAGGCTGGCTCCATGTTGAAAGCAGAATGAGCAGTCAATTCTTTGTAGTGCTGCAATACTTGAACCATGTCCTATACGGGTTCAACAATGAGACTTGGAGGAGTCAGCATTTCACCGTATAAAATGGATGATTATTTGGTTCTGTATGCGTTTTATTTTTTAAAACAAACTACAGAATGAAGGGAGGGTAGAAGATGCGCTTGCAAACAGGGAGCTATTTATGGAAATTGGATCTTTCACATAATTTCTCCTATTGTTTGTAGATGAGACTACCTCTGCCTGCTCCTCCACTATCCCCAACCAGGACACTGGAGACACATTACTACAGAACCGAAAGCGATACGAGGATGAAGAGAGAGTGATAGAGCAGTTACGAAAGGTAATGAATTACAGAGTGGCTAATGAGATTTGGTGCAACACTGCCTAGATCATCTCACAAGAAACTAGGCACATTGATGTGTCCAATGTGTTTTTAATATAATTTACTTAAAATTCAATCTCCCTCCCTGGTCATTCACATTAACTCTTCAAACGTGAGTAGATTGTCTCTCTCTTCACCTCACTTTGGCTCATCAAGTTGCTAAATTTGTTCCCCTCACTGCAGGCTATTTAAAGGTAATATTTATCTTTAAAAAATCTCTAAATATCTGAAAGTTTCTTTCCAATGTTACAGAACATTGAATCCCGGTTGAAGGTTTCTCTCCCGAATGACCTTGCATCAGCACTTACAGATGGTGTCGTGCTCTGCCATCTGGCTAATCATGTGAGACCACGCTCCGTGCCCAGTATTCATGTCCCATCCCCAGCAGTGGTAAGTACACAACTTTGTAAGGGAGTTGATCAGTGTATAGCGGTGATTGCATTGCTCTGTGAGGGAGTGGATCATTGTTCGGTGGTGAGTGCACCGCTCTCTATGGCAGTCTTTGTTTGAAGGGATCTCACTGCACCCTCACTCTCTGAGTTGACTTTATTTTTAGAATCCAAGTTTCACCAGTCTTTACTTTTCAACATATTTGTAACTTATTTATACTATTTTATAGAAGGATCATTGTATTTCAAGGATTTGGCATTGATTAATAAATGTTTTAATGGTTTTTCTATTTCTGCTTACAGCCCAAACTGACTATGGCAAAATGCAGACGAAACGTGGAGAATTTCTTGGAGGCTTCTAAGAGAATTGGTGTTCCACAGGTAAGTGTGCAGAGTACCAGGTAAAGGATTCTGTCGTTCAGGAGATCATGCCGAAATTATCTGTGCATTACTCTCAAGACAGTCGAGTATTTTTCTATAAGTGCAGGAAATACGCCTAGTTGTCATCATAACTGAAATATTTGCATTTCAATGTCTTCAGTTAAAAATGCACTATTCAGAAACTCTGGTTTTCTAACTTAATGTGAACCAAATTACTTTTTAGCAAATATTTATATCTTTATGCAAACTCTTGCTTGGGAGAATTCCTTTCAGTGGTATCATTCTGGCAACTGGGGAAGGGTTGACTGAGTCTTTGACCAGTGACCTAATAAATCTTTTGCCTGCATTTAAAGTCGCATGTGCTGAAGGACAGGCTTTGAACTCTCTAAAAAGCTGTAAATAATATTCCTTAACCATATTTAGACGAGAATGTAACATTTCTGCTTTCTTTATTCTTATTGACTGGTATTTGAGAAATCCAACTGAATAAATGTATGCATAAATTTCTCCCAGATTAAATCCTGTCTAGAGCATACAGCCACCATCAGACAGAATTCCATCTCCATTAGCTGGGAGGGTAGAGCCAGGTTGGGAACAAGCAGATGCCATCAGGGAGGGAACTTCAGTGGTTGACAAAAACAGTCCCCACTGTTTATGACTTATGACTGTTGTGTCTGTAGCATTCTATTCAATGAGAACCCCAACAAATTACTCGTAATATAATAATAATCCTTGCATTTGATATAGCGCCTTGCCATGCCTTCAAGACGTCTCAAAGCACTTCACAGGATATACTGTAAAATGAATTCACTGTGTAATCAGTGTAGAACAACTGAGAACTTCTCAGGAAGTTTGATAATATCTTATAGTCATTCAACTAAAAGGCTTTTCGAATCAATCTTGTATACTCTGCCTATGCATTTGGTTGCTGATCTCTAAACACACAGTGGTTGGTGTGCATTACAACTGTCTGATTGCAATCTAATATGTTTAAATGAACTTAAAATGCAGCAAAAAAAAAGCCTGAACAAAACTGCTAGTATCCATCTGGAAGGATTCATGAATTTCCATGATCTAATTGAGCACCAAGGTTGTAATTCACTCGTTCCCTTGATCTTTCTGCAAAGTATATCTTTAAATTTTCACTTAAAAATATTTAAACTTCCACTTAAATTCCTGTTTTGGGGTGAGGTACGTGTTAAAGGTGGAATCCATCATTATAATATTGTATCTGTTTCCTTATTAATTGGAATTAATATGGTAAGAGTTCCTGAAGATAACAGCATGTGTGACTCCTTAAGTGTTAAAAGTAAATCCATCAATCACAGACATTTTGACTTTTTCTGAAAGATATCCTGTAAAAAAAAGTAACACATTGTAATAGGGATTATAGCTAAAATCTACAGTTTGTTAATTCTGCTCAAGGGCTGATCACGAATAGCCTATGGGCACATTCTTGCCAATTCCCCTCCCTGAGGGGAAGTGCTCACAATTCATTCCTTCCTGATGAGACTCTACTTGGAAAATAATAATCACTGAGATAGCTCCACTAATGGATTGCCAGCAGCTACATATTTTACAAGAACAACAACTTGCATTCACGGCAGCTCAGAGTGCTTAAAAATTTGCCATAAAAATTAAGATTGTTGGGTATTAAAGCAAAACAACTTGGTGTGTACTTCTGCAGAATGCATTCAAGTGGTTTTGACCATTTCCTAAAAGCACTTATTGGGATAAACAATAACAAAGGGTGAAAGGGTGGTGGAAGCTGATTCGATAACAACTTTTAAGAGAGAAGTAGATATTTATTTGAGGAGGACAAGTTTGCAGGGCTATGGGGAGAGCGCGGGGGAGTGAGATTGATTTGGATAGCTCTTTTAAAAGAGACGGTACAGACACGATGGCCCGAATTGCTCCTTCTGTGCTGTATGATTCCATGAACAAATTACATTTACACAGCACCTTTCCTGTCGGGAGGGGGTCCCAAGGTGCTGGACAGTCAGGGATTTGGACCCAAACCGGGAGTTGAGATCAGGAGGGATGGAAGACAGGGAGGGTAGGAGGGAGACCGAAGGCTCGGTCGAAGAGGAGGGTCCTGAGACGTACCTTGAAGGAGACAATGGAGGGAGCAAGGCGAAGGGACTGTGGAATGGAGTTCCAAAGGCTGATCGTCAATAGTGGGGCAGGCTAGGCGGTGGACATGGAGCAGTCCAGAGTATGCTGAGCAGAGACAATAGTTTCCCAAAAAACTCATAGAGTAAGAGTTGTTACTTTTGTAGGGAGGGGAAAGAAAAAGAGACATTGAAACCAGCGCTTTGACTGCCACATTGTCCTTTTCCAGCGTGAACAAAAACAGACCCCATTCCATTTATTGTGGTTAGAAACACAAACTTTGTTCAACAGCACAAATACCTGTAGCTTAGTTTTAATTTTTCATTCAGGCACCGTCTCTTAAATCAATATTATGGTATAATCTTAAGAATTAAAAGCCATGAATTACTGTGATCCCTTTCTTATAGTAAACAAGGAGAAATTTGTAATTGCAAACTGGAACTAGAATTATTGCCCATTTAAACTGAATACTGACTTGGCAATTAATCTTGCACCTTGTGTTTATTCTGCATGCCCTGTAAAACAGAACAGAGATTAATTCTTTAGTAAATGCTGCATGCTGAGTTTCTCGACTAATTTTTCTCTATCGTTTCTCTCCTGCACTCACTGAAACTTGGGAAGGATGACCTTTGCTCCTCATCTGATGTGCTCCAAGCCAACTTCCTCAGCACTCAAAAGACGGTTGACACTCTGCTGACTTTGGGAGAGAGCACAGCCTGCCCTGTATTCATGCCTCTTTCTGCCCAGCTTGCAGGCTTTGCTTTCTTTTACATCAGTGTGATGCTGCTGCTTTTCACTCTGTACCACTTGATCACTGTGTTCTAACCAGAAGTGAAAGTATGTATACAAGAGAGAAGCAGATTCTAATAGGTGCACCACATGTGGCCGTTAGCTCAGAAAGGGTTCATGGATGATATTTCTAAACGTTCTCACCAGAGATTAATAATTTATTTCCAGTCAAGATTTTGCCTCAGACGAGAAACTCCAAACATTTGGACCAGAAGCCATTTCCAGTGCCTTTCAGTGAATTTCCTGGAGTTTAAAATCCAGACTGTATTCATTTGTAATAATTCTTTACTGACATGAGAAGAGCTTTTTAATCATGCTATCAAGATAATTTTGTGCTTAATTGCTAGTATACGTATTACCAAAATAACAAGATATATATATAGTTTTGTTAAGACACTAATGCGGAAAGTTTGGGGTTCATGTCAATGGAAGCTCGACTGAGAGTTTCACTATTACAGTTTATTTGGAACCTTTATTTGCTTTTAGAGGTGAGACTTTCCCAGGTTGAATTCCCAGAGGTGAAAGGATATCGTTTAACACCTATGCCTTCAAAAACTCTTTTCAGGTTCTTATTTTTAGTCTGGTCTACCCAAAAATGAACTCTTCCAACAGCCTCCCACTTCCTGGGGTTAAAGCCATTCTGACAATAGGATTTGGTGTCAGTACCTCCAAAGCTTCATCAGTCAGCAACTCGATTCTCTCAGGTCCTGCAATGCCAATGCTGAAACTAATATTTGTAGAAATATTTAAACAAGGATTTATCCTTGTTCTGTACTATGAGGAAATATAAGCATAAATATGTTATGCCGATGTGGGGTTAAAGTTCAAATACGTGCCTGTGTCCCTCCTTCACTACAGTATCGCAGCTGCATTAAATTAACAGCTTATTAATAGTTAAAGATCACAGCAAAGGTACCTAATTTAAGAGGGGAATAAGTGGTTGGTACCATTGTTGTTAAACCGAATGGAAAGGTGTCTTTAATCCTGTCAACATCTAGTTTGGTCATTTCAGAAAAATAGATTAGTAGAAGCAGACTGGTGTGGAGATTGTCAAAAAGATTGGTGTGGAGAGTCTTTAGAAAATGAGACTGATGTGCAGATGACTGTATCATGATGTCAATTGGGAAAATGCACCTTGGACTGCCTGCAGTGATTTGAGAGAACTCCGTAAGACGAGTAAATAGATGTTGAGATGATACTGAAGAAAGCCCCAGATATTCTCTGGTATCATAAGCATCTTAATCGATCCATTGTGTGCTACAATCCAAATAGCAGAACTTACTCTCCTTTCACAAAACAGGGGCATCTTAACCCTGGGAAATACAGTGATGATGCATTTTGTTTGACAGGTTCAATCATTCCAAGAAAGGTTTGGATAATTCCTTGATATGAAGTATGAGGGATTTTTTTATTTAATTGCCATAAACTGTTTTTCCTGTTTCGTAAATAAAAATAAACCTTGATCCTGCTGAATAAGTCAAATAGTACTATATTTTTAACCATGGAACAAGTTATATTGTGTGCCAATGACCTGCATACCTAGCATTCAATTTCTTCATTAAAATCTCTACAGTTACTTCAGATGGTTCAGCACTGATGGAGAATTTGTGCCTTTTGAAAACCTTACATTTTCATTCAGAGTATTAGGATCATAGGAACCAGAGGCGGCCATTTGGCCCATTTACTTTGTTTCAACAATTTATTTGATAACCAAGTTTTGGATATCATTTCCTTACCTTTTTTTCATTCCCCATAATACCATTAATTCTCAATTAACTCAACTATCTTCCACTTAAATGGCCTTCTTCGTTCAAACCAATCTTGTGGTCATATGAAGATAACAATATGGTTTACATAAGGCGCATAATAACTGTGTAAATGCTCCTGGATATAGTTGTGAGTCAGCTCAAACCTAAAAGCAAAGTCCTGATTATAATCTGATTTTATCTAATTTGTCTGTTGATGTAACTGGGGAAATGCAAACTCTGCTCAGCCTCTTTCCTATGTTTTTTTAAACATTAAGACGTCTGTTTTTTTTAAAGTATCCGTAGTATTGTTGTTAATAAATTTGTTAAATTTAGGTTCTCATTCAATGTAATGCAACACAATTTCCATAAATGTTATTAGGATAATTCAACCATCTGGATAAGTACTATGTAAAGTTAAAGTGTTTTAAAAAAAACTTTGTGTGTGATGGCAAAGCTATCAGGGTGCCACCTATAATTTTCTTAAGTGATCAGGAAGTTTTTAACTGATAAATTTGGAACTAGTCTGAAGATTTTTTTGCCTGTTAAGTGCAGAACAATTTGTACTCTAATCTACTCTCCAATTGAATCCGGTGTAATATGTATCACTCAGAGCTTTCATTTGCGGCATTTTTTCATTCAAGTTGAAGGAATGTTAGATTTTATTATAAATGTAATGTAGAAATGAAAAGCCTAGAAATCCATCTGGCCAGATCTAAAATATGGAAAATCTGAAACAATACTCATACTCTCTCTCATACCCCTGAATCTCTGCTCTTAGCAAAAAACTACCCGACTCATCAAATTTGCCCACACCGTCCATTGAATTTTGCAGCTTGGATTTGCAAAACATAAATTAATTAGACTTTTGAATGGAACTTAACCCAACTTTGTTTCCAGTTAGATTTTTTTTATCCTTAAGACATGCACATTTGTGATTTTGTACTTTCTTTTTCCCCACTGAAGATGGAAATAAGTGGGCTGCAAAAATCAGCCTATGGCAGTATGATGTGTTTCTGTTTGCAGTACTGACATTTGTTAGTATCAGTCTGGCCATCGATGGGTCAGAATCAGCATTTTATATTCTTTCATACTTCTGATGCTTCCCTCTCTTCCTGGTATTTGGTATTGTGCCTCATTAATCCATCTGTATGTGAACAATTGTGATTACCAATTTGGTGTTTTTGTTTTGTCATTTTTTGTTTTATAAAAAATCCTCCTTTTTTTAAGTTTGGTTTATCTTTTTGTATGTGTGTCATTTGTTAATTTTGTCTTTCCCTGTTTTCCTTCCCATCTCTTTTCTTTTATTCCCCTCCCCGTTTCCCTTTTTTATTTCATTTAGGAGCGGTTGTGTCTGCCCCTTCACATTCTAGAAGAGAAAGGACTGGCACAAGTAGCTGTGACTGTACAAACTCTGCTCGAATTCGCCCCTACCAAACAGCACCATTTATCAACTGTCTAGAGACTGCAAGTAATCTGCAACTCAGCCATGAAACACTGTAACATCACCATAGAATTTGTTCCAAACTGGTCTCCACGGTGATCACAGTTATCACATTCACATCCAGTACGTGCATGTTGAAATTGTGAAAAATTGTCAATTAGCCAATCTGCTAAACTTATCAGTAAACAATACCTCTTGGAACTGTGATTATGTAAGGTCACCATTCCATTTGTGTGCATAGTTAGGTGTAGAAATACGAAACTTTGTACGGACATTGCAGATACAGTTAACATCCGACACCTTTGATTTACAAATTCCTCTCTCCAGATAGTAAAACTCGCTATCCAATATAGAAGACTGTAAATGAAGGGCTTGCTTGAACACAAAATCTCTACTTGCAGCGATCACCATCAACCCATGGGACATAAGTTCAGCTTAGTTTTTATTTGTGTGTGTATGTGTTTGTGTTCATCCATTCAGCATCTTTCAGACAATAGTAAGAATCCAGAATCTTACCTTATTTAAATTGTGTTCACTTTTTTTTAAAAGTGTCATTCACTTAAAATCAAAATTATTCAAGGATGAGATAGTTGGATCAAAGGGCCTTCTTCACCCAAATCGTGTGAATTGCTCCCAAGTAATATAAAGTTTCATAATTATCCAACAGTTGCCCCTGTAGTGCAAAAAAAAGGCGATAATAATTCTCATGCTTACTTCAAATGTGTGAGGGTGTGCTATCCTGACTAGTGCTGGATTCTAAAGCTAACTGAAGCTAAGATTTTATTATAGGAGTGTACTCCCATCTCGAAGGAGGTGTGAAACCAGCAACACGTTGAGGGCATTGTGTTATATGTGTTAATTTTATTATCACTAGAGTATTTTATTTTTTTAATCTTAGATTTTTATTTCAGTCAACAAAACATTTGTATGAGGTAAATTAAACACTTTTAGGTTCTCATTCAAGAGATGGTTGTTGCATGGTTAGTAAATATTGGTGCAAACATAGCAGAAACAATAGTTGCTGTGAATCATCAATTCTCTGAACCCTCCCTTTGTTTTCCAGTTTAGACTAAGAAATAACCCCAGTACACCGTTCCAAAATATTCTGACTTTGATCCAACTGACATTTATAAGACATTAACACATATAAGCCTGTACAGACATGGATTTTGCATCCCTTCATCTCTAATACTTGGGTCAGGCTGCTTCTGAGTAACGGCCCTTTATTTGAGGTTGGTTCCAGATAGCAAGCCATATTTTTTACTTATTTTTGGGGATGCAGTAAATGTATTCCTATTTCACACATATTGAGGGAGTTTGGCTCAGTCCATTGCCTCCAAAATAATTGGATATTTCAGATCCTTCATGTTCTTCAGCAAAACACCTGAGCAAGTTCCCAGTTTGCCTATTATTGCACAAGTAGTAGTCCAACCATTGACTTATTTATACAATGCTTAAATAATGCAGGAAGTGGGGCTTTGTGGCTTTTAGACAGGTGATATAACTGACATTGACACTGAAAGATGAATGAGCCACAGTTGCTTATTACAATACAATACAAATTTACATTTGTGTAGCACTTTTTACATCCGGAGGAGGTTCTGAGGCACTTATTCTCAATACTGAACAGAACCTTTCTGAAAAAGGTTTCTTAATATCTGGGCCTCATGGCCCAAACCTGCAAACCTGGAGATTGAAAACTTCTAATTGTGTGTGTTTCTAATTAAAAGTACAGGGCTATATAAACCGTTTGAATTACTAGGCATGAATTCAGAACCTCTACCACTCAGAATCAATTTGAAATTAAATGATATGTAAGGTGCCGGCTGGCATGGTGATGAAGCAGCATTAACAGTCTCTTGGCTTCTGTCCCAAAGCAACTGCGTATCTACATTATTCAAAACAACTTCAATTTGAGATAATTGTGCATCTGTGTTTTTATAACCAGGGGGGAATAGTGCTACACAGAAACTGCCACTTTTAAACCAGAAAGGCTAGTTATAATAATAATCCTTGCATTTGATATAGCGCTTTTCACGTCGGGAGGACGTCCCAAAGCGCTTCACAGAACACACTGTAAAGTGAATTGACTATATTTGTGGGTGAACGCAGCAGCCAATTGCGCACAGCAATGTCCCACAAACAGTCGTAGATTGAAAATGACCAATTTATTATTGTTTTTGGTTTTGGAGGGATTATTATTAGGCGTGTGGAGTAAGGAAACTTGCCCAAGGTTTCGCCCTCTGCCTGGAATTGAACTCAAGTCTCTCACTTGCAAAGCGAGTGCTCTAACCACTGAGCTACAGGACTCCACATCCGTGATTTAATCTGTTTGCAAACTGGTTGGATGGCATCCTTCCTTGTGGAGCAAATAGATTGCCACTGTTATGAAACCCCACTGTTTTCCATTGTACAGCTTCTGCTTCAACTTAACTAAAAGGATCCAGTAAGACTACAGATTGCACTTGTGATAATTGTACGTCTAAGATGCTTGTATTGCCTTTCATATAACTGAATTGGATTATCCTTGCAAATTTGGAATGAAAGCTTCTAAATACAGAGAAAGTAGCCAGCAATAGGGTCCCATTTTCACATGTTCTTTTCATTACTTTAATTCCTGAATGAATAGATGGATCTTGGCATACACTTTGTGTCTTCCTGTACATTCCACGTGTTCTCTGTTTATAAAAGTACCCCACAGTTTTATTTGAACCGCTTTTGTCACGCCATTCTGTTTGATGTTTTCATCAACATGTTGACTTCTTGAAAAAAAACCTTTTTGTAAAATCATTAACTGTTGATTAGTATAATTAGTAACCAATATCTGGAAATTTCATTGCTTTTTAAACCTATTTATGATCTCAATTGCAGAATTTTTTTTTAGAGCAGGATATTGACTTTTACACTGTTCTAGAAATATGCCAAATTACACAGGGCTGATTTTGTTCACACTGGTGTTCTGGACCTGTTTTGTCTTTTAAAGTGTGCTGAGAAGGGAGATTATGTTTTTTTTTAGTTTCTGAATGACCTGACACAGCTTGAAATGTTCTGTGGCAAGAGAGCCACATGCTTTCAAGTCTTGGAGTAACCAAGGTATCAGTCCTTGAAGTCTTAATCTATATAATAGATGGTAATGTCTGGATTATTTGTGTGGGGAAAGGTGGAAAGACCATCTTTTAAAATGAACCACCATAGAAAGAACATACTTTTATATTGAGCTTGCCTTGTTACTAATATTAAAGTGCGGGAGATGTTAATTGCTGACAAGCTCTGTTATAATAATCCTTGCGTTTGCTACAGCGCCTTATCAGATCGTCTCAAAGCGCTTCACAGGATATACTGTAGAGTGGAGGGACTGTATTTTGTAGGCAAAACATTGCAGCCAGGTTGTGCAAAGCCAATTTCCGCAAACAGTCACGGAGTGAGTGACCAATTTTATTTGGGGATTGTTGGCCAGAACAGAGGGAGAGAAAAAGTTGCTTCTCTTTTCAAATAGCGCCATGGGGTCTTTAACGTCCACCTGAACAGGCACGGGATCCCGGTTTAACGTCTTATCCCGAAGCATGGCACCACCGGCTGCAGTGCTCCCCCGACACTGCACCAGAGCATCAGTTTAGACTGATTCGAAGCCCCGACATGGTCTTGACTCAGAGGTGAGAATGTTGCTAGTGAGCCAGACTGACACCCTAAACTATACCAGAGTGGAAATGGTTAAAGGAATTTATTGCACTTACACCCACTTGGAAACAGTTACTGAAAGAATGAGGGTGCAGCTGCTAATATTTCAATACAATTAATTTTTAATACCTCATATTGGGCTCTTGAAGAATAGCTTGCCGTCAACATAAGGAACGATTTTCTAATGGACCAAATTCTGACCTGTTTCCATCTGTCTTATAACCACAACATTTTTAAACGTTGCTGCATTTTGGGCATTTATTTCTGACACATTGAAGTTTGTTTCCTGCTGGAGAAAAGTACTTGGTATTCTGAACATAAAAATATTGAATAATAATAATAATCCTTGCATTTGATATAGCGTCTTATCACGTCTTCGGGACGTCTCAAAGCGCTTCACAGAATATACTGTAAATTGAATTGACTGTATATTTTGTGGGTGAAACGCGGAAGCCAATTGCACGTGGATTGAGTGACCAATTTTTTTTGTATTTTGACGTTTTAATTGACCCTCAGCATACAAAACCAAAAAAAACAAAAACGGATGCAGCATTGTGGAGTGAAACTGAATGAATAGCTCTTCTAGAGAGCTGGCACGCACGCATATGATGGGTCAATTGGCCTCTTTCTATGCTATAAAATTCTATGATATTATAAGCTGTTTTATGCACTTTTTGTAAATGAGCTGTAGTTTCAAGTACAGATATAAAGCAAGTTTAGTGCTCTTTGTACAAGTCCTAAAGTGAAATCTGAATAACAGGAGTATAAAATTTCAGAAGTAGAACATCTGCCTATATCTAGGCCAATAATAACATATGCTGTAATTCCTACCACACTGTAAATTCAGTTCAGAAGAACATCAACTCATTCTGGTGTAAGAAGTGTTCAGCAGTCTTTGATATTTGATTGTGACTAGAACTATTAAAGTATTTGCGTTTTAGCTCTTTTGTGAATTACCCAAGTCTAGTTACATCCGACATTCGGTTCCCATATATCAGTGGTTAGTTGCTTAGTTACAGATTGGTTAATTAAAATACTGTAGTTTATAACTTTTTGAAGTTTACAGAAAATCCATGTACTTTGTTCTGTAAACCAGTTTCACTCAGAGCACCACATTCAGTATTTCCTCAAACTTACTTGTTTTCTGGTGGAGCAGGCAGCACCATTACTGATAAAACTAATCAAATGTATTCATAAATGTTTCATATTTTCCTCTGCTCTCCACCCAGTAGAGAAGTGGAATTAATATAATCACATATAAGCTTCTGCAGTTACTCTTGTTCTTGTAATATGATCTGCAACCACACATTAATGTTGCTTTATGTTGAAATCACTCATTTAATGAAGATAGTGATCCCGTCGAAGCTGTAAGCTAATATCTGTAAGTTAATAGCAATATTTTTAAAAATAACTAGCGGATATTCTTGAACTGTATCCTGTTCAATATAAAAAGTTGATTTTGTGGCAGATGCTGCAGTGTTGCTGAATGGATCAGGCTGGAATCTTGAGGGGCATAGGTTGTATTTTAGTTTTGAAACCCACATTTTCTTACTACTGGCATCCAATCAAGAAGCACTTGGGTCCAGTATTCCCTGTTAGAAATTGCTGTTTTATACCTCTTGCTCTGTTTCATTGCTCTTGTTCATAAACTGCATGCTGCAAAATCACAGCGCCTTGCAAGCTACCAGGTGTTAAACAAGTGCCTCAATACACACAGCAAGATGTTCATATTTAGTCAATGAGGTTTGAGTAATAGTGATCTTTTTAAAATCGGCCTAGTTCTAGAGGGTCATGTTGGAGATGTGCTCACATTACCTTTGAAGTAAGACGAGTCGAGTTCAATTGCTTCTCTGGTCTCTGAGCTGGGGTAGGTTGAAACTGACGTGTGTGACAACACAATAACTTACAGAACTAACTCCTTACCCATTGCTTCCTAGAACTCATACTTGAATAGAAAGCAAGGTGAAGGTCACTGTTCAGGCTCATTTCCTTCTGTTTTTCTGTTGGTACATTGTTGTAAATACTTGTGGTCTTGCTACAGCTCCTCAGTTTGCTCATTCATATATGGTTTATTGTCTCACGTGCAAAATTTCTTCTAATATATATTGTAGTTCCTCTGTGGGGAGCAGATAGTCATGTTTTGTGTGCGAGAGAGAATGTTTTTAAGCTGTTTATCCAAAGTAAACGTGCTGAAACCCCAGATGCCTGGCTTTGATATGTGTAGATATTTGCATTGTAAAAAAGGTGTTTGTTACTTCAGCTTTGCTATAGTTGCCTCCCTGTACATAATGTATAACATATAGCATCTTGCTTGTGGGGCTTTCATCATGAATAAACACTGTACATTGGGATTCAACTATGTGTTTTATTGATTGTGTCATTTTCTTCAACTAATGTTATAGCATCTTTCTCCTCTCCCTACCCTTTCTATTACATTGATGCAAGGCCTTTCCGTACCACATCTGAGTGTTTATATGTGAGTCATCCTGGACAGTAGATGTTAGCATATTTCATCATATTTAAGACACCAACCCATACTTGCAATTTCAAGTGGGGAAAACTTAATTTGTCCATTTGTCCTATTCTTCCCTTTTTTCTCTCTTTCAGTTCTTAGTAATATTTGCACCAAACATTTCCAAAGCTGCTTCATATAATGGATTACTTTGACGTGTGTTAACTTGTGTTTTGTGAATTTGAATAAGGGAGGAATAGTGGCAGGACACCAAGAGAAATCTCAGCTCTTCAAAATACAGTTGGTCAAGAGGATGTATAGTGCCCCCTGGGCCATCAGAATGGACAGACATCAATGTAATACTTCACCTGGAGCACAGCTTCCCCAACAATGCAGTGTCTCCTCAATAGAGGGAGCTACAGTGTCAATCAACCCAGACTACAATCAAATTCTGTTGTGGGGCTCAAACGTATTAATCGTTGACTTCAATTCGGGAGATGGGATTGTGAATTGGACAGATTTTACAGCTCAAACATGTTGGTGATTTCCTTTTTCATAATGGTTTAAAAAATATGGACATACGGCTATTTTCAGAAACCTCTCCATGCCACACTCAAGTAAATGACAAAGAAACTGAATCAAATCTATACCTCCTCATATATTAACTTTAGACAAAAACATTTCTATATTTGAAAACACAATTGAGCCTTTTGGCTCCCATTCATGTACATTCAAATAATTAAACTTTCAAGTCTGTTACTGGTTGAAGATGAAACTATGTAATACTTTAAATTCCTTATCCCCGATTTCTTTTCTCCAGGAGATAATGGCCTGTGTGCTATGGTACAGTTTGACGTACCTTTCTCTCTCCCTCCACCTACTCCAGTGAGAGTGTAAGACTAGGCAGTGTGTCCACATTTATTTGACTGTTCCTATTCAGGCCTCTGAAGCAGTTCTGCACTCCAGAAGTAGACTTTCCTTCATAACATTGGGTAATCAAAGATCCAAGTCTCAGGGGTGACACACTAATGATTTCCAGATTGGTTCAAATTCAAATGATTGTTACAGAAACAGAGGGTTCGGATCAAATGGTTTCCTACTGTCAGCAATAATCAAAATTCCTGTTTCTATCAGAGAATTGTGTTCATAAAGCTGCATATGCACAATATTTTTTAATCTATAAAACGAGTAGTGCAGTCACTTGAGTGAATAAACATACTGTGGTCCTGAGCAATGCAAACCAGAAAGGCCTCTGATTAAAACCCTGGACTGTGCTGAGTCAGTACCCAGCCAGTGCAGCTCTTAGGTCTCAGCCTTGGGTTTGGGGAGAGAGAAAATGAACTTGGCCAGAATTTCAGCTCTTGGTACTAGACCCCTCGCGGAGATGGTGTGATCAGACTACATTGTGCTACTCCCACAGGTCCAAGCTGATATATTAAGATATAAAAAAATGACACCTTCAGCTAGATACTGCCTCCAGCACAAATCAACTCCTTAAGGAAATGTTGGGGAAGAAAACTAAAGAGTAAAAAATCCTAAAACTGGAAGAAACAAATTACATAACAATAAACAAAGCGCACTGAAGAGTATGAGCAAAAAGTTCAGACTGCTGATATTGAGACATCAAGCAGTATGATTTTCTAATTGGGCTTTTTCTTAAAAAAGTTATGAAATTTATTATCATAATTTAACTTTTCAGTGAGATGTATAAAATTAATATGGTTTTCAGATGGTCCATCTTTAAACTTGTCAGCAACAACCTTGCTTTAACAGAACAGAAAACAAACAAGAATGCTGAAATGTGAAGACACAGCTTCACTTTTTCTTCTTCCCTTTATCCTTCCCTTTTCCTTTTCCTTTCCCTTTTCCTTTGTCATCTTTTCCTTTCTTGGCTTTCTTGAGCTTAGTGTTTCCAATCCCTCTCCGGACCATCTCCCCTCGCCACCACGACTGAAGCTGCAAGAGAGAAGGTGAGTGACTAAGTCGGAAGAGAATCAGGCATGTTCTGAGTTCAGATAAACCAGGGTAATTGCACCATTAGACTTTTTTTTACTGCTGTAAGAATTCCAAACCAGGAATTGAATACTTATCCATTAATAGTCATGATCCAGGTGTTAACCCTTGGGTTCTGAAAATACACTACTGCCATTCCTTGGATCTTTTAACCCTTTAAGTTTCTAGTTTGCTTTTGATATTTGGGCAGTGTTCTAATTGGAACTCATTAGTATCTGACCTGGTCATTTCAGAAATGAGACATTTATATTTTGTTTTCATCAGCCATGTGTCTTAACACATGCAGAAAAAAATTGCTTTTTGCATCTCAACCAACAGCTTTAAATACTGAGAAGCACGGATAAAATCATTTGGAGTACACTTACCTTAATAATGGCATTAAGCTCTGTCTCCTCCTGTATTCGCCTCTTCCGCTCATTGTCTCTCTCCTTCCTGTCCTCGATTATTACTTGCTCACTCATCAAGTACTAAAGGGACAGAAAGAAAACATAAAAATTTAGTAATTTCCTAGTGCACTAAGCTGAATAAAAATTGGGCAAAGCAGTGAGGCAACCTGTTTAAATAATTCCTTTCTGTGTTTTCAGCTGTTTTGCAAACTGATGAGACAGTCACAAAACAGACTTGCTTTCTGCAGCACTTGCCCTGCAATATTTCTTTCAAAATATGTTGAAGCATTTCTCTGCTCAATCTCTCATTCTTCCACTTCCTTTCTTACTTAATGTAAGATACAGAAAATTAAAGCTTTCACTGCCTGAGTCACCGACTTCAAAATACAATCACTACATTCGACAGTAAATCCTATGAATTGCTTTGAGATGTCTCAAAGACATGATAAGGTAATATATCAAATACAAGGATTATTATTAAATAGGTCAAAAATAGCATGGAAAGGTGTAAAGAACAATATAAGATCCGAAATATGGGAGAGATGGAACCCGGTTTTCCTTATGTTAAACTGGGATTTCTATATTTTGTAATGAATTTACAGTAATTTCTCTCCTGTACGGGTTGATTCATGCTGAGAATATGGGAGGTAAGTGGGGTTCTCAATGGAGTTGAACTGGAACCAAGGTGACATGTCTGGCAATTGAATGTTGGAATCGAGCCAGTCCTCTGTGGTCTGGGTAGTCTGGTTCCTGAACCAGGCAGGTCCGCAGTATTCTTGGGCACTGTTGACAACACAGCCAGCCTTGGCACATCAGCAGGACCTGAAAGGGCAGACCAGTCACTGGGGAATCATCCCACTCAGCTCCTGTTTAAACCGGCTAACAAAGCCCTAATGGGTAGGATGGTCCTAGTTGGACAAGCAGCAGGGGATGTTGGGAATATGTTTGAGAACAGTCGGTGAGTGCTGAGAATGTTCAAAGGGGTAACATCACCAGCAAAGCTGATCATGTCTGCATCTCAGATCCTGCTGTTTCCATTGGAGAAGTAATGGCCACTTGTTACAGCTCAGACCCATAATACATATAATAATGCTTCACAGGAGTGACTATTACTATTTGTGGTCAATCACAGCAGCCAATTTACACACCGCAATGTTCCAAACTGGGGGTTTGTTGACCAGGACCCCTGAAGAAACTTGTTTTTGAATAGTGTTGTGCAATCTTTAATAGCCACAGACAGACATGACCTTGGTTTAACGTCTTACTTGAAGGAGCACATACCTAAGAAAACAATGCTCCCCAGTGACACTTGATACTGAATTCAAGTGTCAGCCTAGACTGAGCTCAGTCTCAACGTGGAGCTCAAATCTACAATCTTCTGAATCAGGGGTGTCAGTCAACTGAATAACACTGACACTTGATCTAACCAAGAACCTTCCTTATGGATCAGTGCCAATTACTCATTAAATGACCAATTCTTATACTCAACATACACAGAAAAATCACCAAATTGGCGGAGAAGTTTGGCAGAGTGACATGATTCCTGATCTCATGGCAGTGGATCTGGTGATGTTACCTGGGCAGAGAGGTTCTTTAGGCGTTCTACATCATTGGACTTTGTGATTTTTAAAAAGTTAAGTTCCAATTGTTTGGCATCGGTGTCCTTATCATACTTCTCCATCCAGTGCTCCAAGTTTTCCTCCATTTCCTGTTTGGGAAAGAGCGAAGCACAGTCAGGGAAGGGCTTGGAGCAACACTGAACCTCATAATTGAAAGTTGTATTAAGATATGGATATTTCCAAGGTATTTTAAATATTTTGCTCATTGTCTCCCTCTTTATGCACCTAAGGAATGTTTGCTTTTGATATCCAAAAACAAACATTTCTTGCACTTACTGTCTGGTGCTGTTTCAGGAAATTCTCAATCTCCAAATGTACCCGAATCTCTTGATCAGTTTTGTTTTTCAGGCACTGGAGAGAAAAGACAACATTATTAATCCAGAAGATTTGTTTTTTCACCCAAATGAAGTAGTGTTTGAATGTTTGGCCTGTACTGTAAATGGTACATAGTGCACTTCTGTAATGATACCTTGGTGAGAACTCGTACTGTCGTGCCCATCTTATTGGTCCTGCAGATCCCTCCCACCCAAACTGAGACACCAGAGCCTAGCTATCCTGTACATCTTCTGGAACACTGGAATACATGCACGGCTAGCTCAGAATCTAGATTGATTCTCTGAACAGATTGAACTGTTTAAAACTGTTTTCCCATCGCCTCGCGAGCAAGAGGGCCCAGGTTCAATTCCCAGGCGGGATGAGTGGGCAAGTTTCCTTACTCCATATGCCTCTGTTTATCTAGCAGTAAGTAGGAACCCGGTTGGTAGTCGATTATCGGGTCGCTTTCCAGAGGTAATAATTGCTTCAAAAAAATAATAACTTGGTCACTCAATCCACGACTGTTTGTGGGACACTGTTGTACTCAATTGGCTGCCACATTTCACCCACAAAATATAGTCAATTTACTTTACAATATATTCTCCAAATGTACCCGAATCTCTTAATCAGTTTTGTTTTCTGGGAGCTGGAGAGAAAGGGAAACATTATTAATCCAGTAGATATGATTTTTCATCCAGTTTGAAACATCTTGACTAGATAATAAGGCACTACATCATGTGAAAGGATTCTTATTATCATTTCTTCTCCTGACCTCAAACTCGTCCTGCAGCTCTTGTTCATTCTGTGCACATTTCTTCTGTGTTTGGAGGACCTGAAGTTCTGCATTTTTCTTCATGTATTTCCTTTCCATGTTGGTTTTTGCTTTCATCTCTTGTAGTTGGTCTTTTAGATGTGCAATAATCTCATCTTTGCGCTAATCAGAGACAGAAAATACAAGCGCTGACAGTTGAACCTATTTCAGGATGTATACTGCCCTGCCCAGCAGCTATCTGGATTTGCATCAGCTTTAACAATGAGGCTTTACATTTGATCCCTGGAATCTGATGGCAATTTATTTTGTACCTTTTCCCTTGGAAACTAGATTCAAATTGTCTGAACTTTTAGCTGCTCTGTGCTCTCTGTAATTAAAACAAGACAAACTCTGTATTATTGTAGACTGCAAGGTGAGGTATCTCACAGTCAGATTCCATGATGTTTAATTCATTTAAAACAACAATGATTATTCATTTGATTTTTTTCCCCCTCCAAATTTTTGTTCCACCCAACTTGTTCTGCGGCACCTTTACATGTTCCTCACTCATTCTACCTATGAGAGTTTTAATCAGAAATGATACTCAACCATGGAGGGCATCAAACCCAACCCGATCCTGTCCTTACCCAATCTCCACATTGCATGCAGCAGGGGATAAAAACTGTTAGTAGCATTTCTAGTCAAATGCTAAACCAACATCAGATAATTCAACACAGATTAGGAACTGTTTTTGTTTTGGACGGATCTATAGATAACGGAAAGCAACCTTTGGATTTTTTAAAAATACGGTAAAATTTCTGATCTGATGTCTCAGTAGAGGATTACGTGAGAAGTATGTGCAAGACAAAGAGTGAATCACTAACAGTGAAACATTTCCAAACCTGCAACTCAGACTCTTTCTCTTGTCTCATATCTTGCAGGTGTCTTTGCAGAACTGCGATTTTCTTCCTCCCTTCCTCCTCCCTGTGAAACGCAAAGATGCACACGTTAGTGGATGGCCAGTTAGGTGGTGAGGGAGTTAAGCTGGTAGCAGTTACCTGATAATAGTGTTCTGGTTGTCAGCTTTCTTCTCATTCTCAAACCGGACAGCATTGATGAGAGTCAGGAATGTTCCAGAAGTTGTAATCTCATGCAAAGTGTCAGCAATCACATCCATTGCAACCTGCCTGTTATTATAAGAAAACAACCCTTGTTAGACATGCTGAGTTGCAGAGAAGCAGTTCACCCAACATAGCCCTCACCTTCAACAACCATTTCCAGAATTGATGCTGAGGCCAATTGTAGACATCAACTGCTGACATCAGCTAATACATTACCTAAAACAAAAACAGAGACCTGGGAAAACTCAGTAGGTCAGGCAGCATCTATGGAGAAAGGAAAGTGAGTCAACGTTTCGGTTCCATGACCCTTCGTCAGAACCCAAAAGTTGACTCACTTTCCTTTCTCCATTGATGCTGCCTGACCTGAGTTTTCCCAGCTCTGTTTTTGTTTCAGATTCCAGCATCTGAAGTATTTTGTGTTTAATACAGTACCTGTACAGTTTACTGTGAATTAAGCCTGATCTGCTAAGATGGTCATGCGAACTGCTTGACAAAGGTCTGAGTGCAGATTTGATCTGACAAACAACTGAGAGCAAAAGATCGGTGCCAAGCAAGTGTCAGTGCTGAGAGCAATATGCCAGTGACAAGTGCAGTATGTCAGTGCAGAGTGCTGTTTATCATTGCTTACGGTTTATGTATGTCAGTGCCAAGCACTCTGTGCCAGCCTGAAAACAATACTGTATGCATGTACTAAGTGCTGTTTGTCAGAGCTGAGCACAATATCTGAACAGTGTTTCACCTGTCAGCTTGCACTTTTATTAGATTATCAGGGGTCACAGGGCTGTTCTGGAAGGAGTTACTAAAGAGCCAATTGCTTCTCTTTATGTCCCTGGAGGTTTCTTGCAGTTGATCTCCCAGCTCTACCAGTCGCGCTGCATTCAACATTCCAGACATCCTCTCAATGTTCTTCGAAAGCATGATCTCCTCATACTTGTACTCCAAACTTTTTTGACTGAAGACTATCTGGTCAATTTCACTCCCTACAATCTGGAAATTGGAATAAGACATGAGTGAGTGTCAGCAGGATATTTTGTGGTGGGGTATCACAGTTGTTCCCAATCTTGTCCTCCCCAGCCAGACAGGCAATCACATTTTCCAGCAGAAGTTTCATGACAATCATCAAGAGTGAGAAAATCCTGATGTTTCTCTCAATAGTTCCATGGAATGGAATGCAATCCTATTAACTACATTATTGCTGTACTGAGAAGCATAGTTTCCAGTTGAGGATTTCTAAATACTGGTAAAAGAATGGCACATTCTTAGAATGGTTCGATATCCTTAGAATGGTTAAGCTCTGTTCCATCTAATGTTCTCAGATCACACAGAACTAGAATGTAGGTTATATACGGAATGAAACTGACTAGTTTACTAACTCATAGAATCGAAAACTAATTTTACTCACATTCTCCATGTCTGATTTCTCTTCATAGGACACAGGCATGATGTATCCCAAGATGGCTAGCTGATCCAAGCATTCCTTCAGCACAGTGGAGACCTGCAGAATGGTTGTCCTGGAGAGTGGCTCCATCTCTCTTGTTTTTCTAATTAAATGACACAGGCAAATCATATTGTGTGAGTAAGACTCAAAGTGTTAACAGTGCAGCCATTTCAAGTGGAGTTGATCTACACGCTCGGTAAGTATCTGCTCAGCACTGTCTAACCAATGAAGTTGGGCATTTACTCCAAGACACTTCTATTCGAAATTGGCTGCTATATTCACCATCAAAATACACAATCACTACACTTTACTATACCAAATGCAAGGACTATTATTATTATTTTATAGTAATTCTTGTGAAATGCTTTGAGACATCCTCTCAATGTGAAAGGTACAATATCAAATGCAGATAATATGATTCATAATACATCCCCCCCCCCCCCCCCCCCCCCGTAACAGTGTTCTGGGAACAGGTACTTATTGCACATTTATTTTCTGAAGCAGTTGATAAGCACAGCACAATTTCTACGTTCTGCAATGTGAAAGCTATTGGGGTTATTGCTGAAAATCAAAAAGCTCTCACCTGGGGGATCCCTGGTCCTCATTGGGGAAGCCTTGATCTTCAGTGGGTGAGCCTGGTTGCCCAGTGGGTGAGACCTGGAGCTTAGTGAGTGAGCCTGGTTGCCCAGTGGGTGAGACCTGGAGCTTAGTGAGTGAGCCTGGTTGCCCAGTAGGTGAATCCTGGAGCTTAGTGAGTGAGCCTGGTTGCCCAGTGGGTGAGACCTGGAGCTTAGTGAGTGAGCCTGGTTGCCCAGTGGGTGAGACCTGGAGCTTAGTGAGTGAGCCTGGTTGCCCAGTGGGTGAGACCTGGAGCTTAGTGAGTGAGCCTGGTTGCCCAGTGGGTGAGACCTGGAGCTTAGTGAGTGAGCCTGGTTGCCCAGTGGGTGAGACCTGGAGCTTAGTGAGTGAGCCTGGTTGCCCAGTGGGTGAGACCTGGAGCTTAGTGAGTGAGCCTGGTTGCCCAGTGGGTGAGACCTGGAGCTTAGTGAGTGAGCCTGGTTGCCCAGTGGGTGAGACCTGGAGCTTAGTGAGTGAGCCTGGTTGCCCAGTGGGTGAGACCTGGAGCTTAGTGAGTGAGCCTGGTTGCCCAGTGGGTGAGATCTGGAGCTTAGTGAGTGAGCCTGGTTGCCCAGTGGGTGAGATCTGGAGCTTAGTGAGTGAGCCTGGTTGCCCAGTGGGTGAGCCCTGGAGCTCAGTGGGTGAGCCCTGGAGCTCAGTGGGTGAGCCCTGGAGCTCAGTGGGTGAGCCCTGGAGCTCAGTGGGTGAGACCTGTTCCTTGTTGGGGGGCAGCGCTGACCCATTGCTCTGATCCTGACTGAGGGATATTCCAACCCCTGATTCAAGGCTCTGCTTCTGCCCAAGAGGAGGTGACGGCTCAGACATGAGGCTCAGATCCTCTCTCTGGAGGCTGCTGTTGTGGCAGACACTGTTTACACGTTGGCATAGCAACGCCTGGTGACTGACACACACACACACACACACACACACACACAGCCCGAGCTGTCCGCGGGGCTATCAGACACCACAGACATGTACAACCCCCTCCTCCTCCTCATCATCTAACAACGTAAAGACGTACCTCAGCAGCTCAGCGTTTGAAGACATTATAAGTTAAGAGTTTTCCGCCGCAACGGATTTTATTTCGCCCTCAGTTTACGCGCTTCGGGAGGGGGGGGGTCCTGCGCTGGTACCGTTTGTCCGTTGCTTTCGCCTGAACATTTTAATCGCCGTTTTCTTTCCGCGTGTGTTTCTCTTTCTTTCAAATCGAGTTAAAGTTCCCAATTCATTCGATTCTTTAAATCAATGAAGTGGCGGCGCGAGGTTGGTCGGGTCCGTCCCTCCGATTCGGGCTCCGGACAGGACCTCTCCGCGGGCACCTCGCGTCCCAGCGGGCCTTGCGACGCCCTCTTCGTCCATCTTGGATTCGGCTCCAGGTGAGAGGCGGCGAGTGGCGCCGATTAAATCCGCCAAATGGTGTGAAACGTGGCGGTGGCGGACCGTCGTTGTGACCTGAACGGCAGCTCGGAAGTGCGGGGACCCGAGATATGTCCTCCCGGGGCCCGTGCGAGTGCGGATGCTTGTGATATCGAACGGATTGTGCTGCCCGGCCCTGAATGTCGTGTCTCCCCCATTTCTCTTTCCAGGTTCAGCCGCTGCTGGAGACACCTCTCCGCCTCGCACCGTCGCGATGCCTGGAAGGTAAGGACCCGGAGCAGAGAGAATGGTTCCCTGGAGTTTTTTTTAAAAAAAATTACGGGAAGGGGGATGGGGGGGGGAGGGGGGTACGTGTTGGCTTCGCAGGGGTTTGAAGTTTGTTGGCCCGGTTTCAGCCTCTGAGACAGGTTTCGGATAGAAGGCCACAGAGTACCGGTGGATCAGAGCCGCGTCTGGTCGTCGAGCGAAGTTGTGAAGGTGTGATGATCCCATGTTCAAACGGGTTTGAGAGTCCCGTGTGTTTAGGCGCCAGGTATTTCCGACGGCCAAACGTTTCAGGCTTGATCCGGTGCCCATCTGGCTATTGAATCTGGCTTCAGCATGGGGTGGATCACAGCCCCTTCTCACCCAATGGCTACAAATAAGACATGACAGGGACATGAGCAATCAGGTGTAACTGTTGCCGGCCAGGCTGATCTAACTGCAGATACTAATAAAGTTCAATGTGTTGGCTTCGGCCATCCTTACCAGTTGCAATAACCATTTTATGAAGAAATGCAGTTAAAACTTGCTTAAGTCTTTATAAATCGTATAATTGCCGAAGTCGTCCATTCACCCAAGTCCCATTCAGCTTCCTATCAAAGCAACTTAGATTTTGATGCACTTCTCATATTAATATTTATAATGCGGCTCCCCTATTTCTCCATTACTCCCGTCCTTACTCTCTGTATTAAATTGCAGGAAATGATATCCTGGACCGTCAACGTTGGCCCATTTACTGGTCGGTTGCATTTAATCGCGGGAAACTTATCTTGATCCACTGACGCATGAGCAGAACTTAATTTCCTGCGATTCTAATGCTTGTCAGTAAGTGCCATGTGGTGGCGGTTCAAGACTCATTGAGTCGCGGGAAATGTAGGTTTGACTGCATGCGCACTTACCGACTGCATTACCAGCTCAGTGTAGATCATTGATGAAATCTGATTTTCTGCAACTTTATAGTTTGCCTCCAAATCAGACTTTGCGAAAGTTGCATCAACAGCTTGCACTTATATGTGAGTTTTCCTATACTTTGTGCTGCCTTGGTGTGTCTGAAAGTATTGTTCCCGGTTTACTTTCTCTACAGCTACTGTTTGCATTTATATAGTAACTTTCATGTAGGGTAACTTGTTGAAGCACTGTACAGACAGTGTCAGACACCAAACCTTCGGCATCTTACAGACCTTCAAAATTCTGTCTGAGATTTCACAATCATGACCTGTGTCATACTCAACTTGGGTGCAGGATTACATTTATATGCTATTGAGCATCTTAAATCAGTTCTCATAGATCATTACTCTTAACCCTGCCTCTATGTCTTGCTACCTTAAGTTGCGACAACGAGACCTACTGCATGTACAGCCTGACTAGAGCATTGGATAGTTTGAGTGTGACTTTTAAAGATCTAAACTGAGCTGGTATTGTTGTCCAGCATTTTGTTTGCTGCCTCATGCTGAACGTTTTGTGGACCAGTTGACTATCAACGCTACTTTCAATTTCCCTTTGTCAAGTTCTATCTCATTCATCTACCTCAAATGCTTACTATCAATGTGTGGTTTCTTGCAGTTATCTGTATTCAACTTACATTTGTCAGTATTCTGAGCCCTGTCATGGTTTCTTAGTAAGATCTTGGCTTTCTTCTCAGTTCCCACAGTCCTGTTCTCTTTCCATTCTAACACGTATCTTAGTATAACTGCTTCTCATTGAATCTATGATTCCAAGTAATTTGTACTGGGAATGGAGGGTACCTTACTCTTTGCCGTTTTCATCTTTGTATTGCTTTTCATTGTATACCTACAAATAATTTTTTATACAATTCTGCTGATGTAAATGACTGACGTTGTATAAGTAGTGTTGCTGTACAGTGATTCAGTAATTTGTGACAAGCCAAATACACTTACTAGTTGTTTGCAGGTTAAGTTTCAGCTCAGCAGATAAGTGCTCTGCTGTCGTTCCCCCTGCAGAGATTGAATTGTTTCATACTATCCCTGACTGCTTTCCTCCTCCAGCTGGCAGGGACGCTTGGGAACGAACAGTGTTTTAATGCGTTCACCTATAATAGCTACCGATTTGAGATGTCACCCAAAAATATCTGTGATGAACTAAAAACAGCTCCATATCTGTATGTCACATATGCAGGTTTACCTACAAATAAGCAATACATTTTACATTNAAAAAACTTCTTTGAGATGTTTCACTGAAGTGATAAGGCACTATGTCACAGACCCCTGCCTGACCCCCAAAAAGGCACTATATCAAATGCAAGGATTAGTAAACCCCACCTTGCCAGACAGACTCTACCTTACCAGACAGACTCCAGGTATACAAAATTCAACCTAACCAGAACCAGGCCCGAAAGCAAAAGTATTTTTTAAACATTTCCATGGGCGCGCACGTAGATTCCTGCTGACCCAACTCTACGCACGTGCACCAACTGCTAACCCACGTGAGTAACTGCTAACTCTGCTGTCGTTCCCCCTGCAGAGAGTGAATCCATTATGTTAGAAATCCATATGCATTGGTAAAAAGATGCCTTTTTATGTATCTGTTAGTAAGGATGCGTCTAGGGTTAATTGTAGATTATCTTCCTCCCGCAGACTATGGTCCAAAGCTGTGTTCAGCGGCTATAAGCGTGGCCTCCGCAACCAGAGGGAACACACTGCACTCCTGAAGATTGAGGGGGTGTACTCTCGCAATGAAACCGACTTCTACCTGGGCAAGAGGTGTGCTTATGTCTACAAAGCAAAGAAGTGAGTATTTTATCCCAATGCTGTGTTCTCTTTATAGAGATGGAATGTCTTAAATTGTAATGTTTGTAGAATTAGTCTGTGCATCACTGTATTGGGAAAGGAGATAATCATGCTTGCATAAGTGTACCAAAATGTCTAGGGTGAGTTTATCCACCCATGGCTCCGTTCGACTGCAGGTGTGACTATCATGTCAGACAATTGACATGGTCATATCTATGATGTAACACGTCCACCTTTTAGGTTTTCATTGATCAGAAAATCATATTTGAAAAGCTGAAAATCTAGAAACAATTTTTTGCCAGGTAGTATTGTGTAATACTATCAGTAATATCTGCTGATGTAAATGGCTGACTTGCTTTATATAACAACTTGATTTATATAGCGTCCTGGAGTGCTTTGTACTGTAAGTTCTGTTGCTGTATGTACAGTGATGCAATAGTTTGTGACGAGCAGAATACATTTACTAGTCGTTTGCAGGTTAAGTTACAGCTTAGCAGATAAGTGCTCTGTTGTCGTTCCCCCTGCAGAAATTGAATTGTTTCATACTATCCCTGACTGCTTTCCTCCTCCAGCTGGCAGGGACGCTTGGGAACGAACAATGCTTCCAGCAGCCTTTTCTGTGATCTAACTTTAAGACAGCCACAACTCCCTTCTTTTGAGAATATAATCAATAACAGGATAACTAGCAGTTAACTTAATTGAAGGATTTGAGCTGTCTTATATTTAGTATTGTTTCCATTTTCAAAGTAACACCGTCACCCCTGGTGGTAAACCAAACAAGACTCGTGTCATCTGGGGAAAGGTAACACGTGCTCATGGCAACAGCGGAATGGTCCGCGCCAAGTTCAGCAGCAACCTACCCGCAAAGGCCATAGGACACAGAATCCGTGTGGTAAGTGGATTTCAAAGCTTTTCTGTGACAAAAACATTCAAAGGGGGATATTCGCCCTTTTCTCTTTGGGCTAGATTTGGAGGAGGTGCCGTTCTTCCAATTTTCAGTTAGGTGTGTTAATTTATGATGAAGTAAGAGCACCGGTTACTCATTGGAACATCTCTTAAGCAGCTATTTGCTTGCAATGCTATCAAAGAATGTCTTTGAAATGTCTCAAAGTGCTTCACAGAATATACATTAAAGTGAATTGACTGTAAATTTTGTGGGTGAAAAGCGGCAGCCAATTGTGCACAACAGTGTCCCACAAACAGTTATGGACTGAGTGACCAAATTATTTATTTTGAAAGGATTATTACCCTTGCCTTGTAGACAGTAGCTGTACTACTGTTAAGTCCTCGAGGAAGTCTATTGAGCTGGGTGCCGATGAAATCGGGTAAACTGGTTTGGAAGAAGTTACTTGAGTAAAGAATTGCATTGAAATCCTGCTGGTTGTCAGGTGTGCAGTTTATTATAAGTGTTGAGATGAGGGCTGCTGTTGAGGATTCTAGATAAAGAATGGCAGGTTAAGTTACAGCTGAGCTGTTTAGTGCTGTGCTGTCGTTCCCCCTGCAGATATTGAGTTGTTTCATACTATCCCTGACTGCTTTCTTCATCCAGCTGGCAGGGACGCTTGGGCACATACATGATTGCATGCTGAGGGAGTCTTTTCTTTCCAAGGGTTTGTTTGAGATGAAATATTTTATAGATGTTTTGCTTGTCAAAACAACTATAATCCAGTGTCACTCCTTTAGGCTGTGTGATTTCATCTGTGAGGTTGAAATTGCGGTGAGCAGGTTGTCTCTAATCTTCAACTGTCAATATTTATATTGGCATTTGAGTTGAAACAGTTGAGGTCCAATTGATCACTGGGCACAAGAATGCTGCTCCGAAACTGCCCCTGGTAGAGGCCAGGCATGGTTTGTTTTGGCATTTCTGGGTTATGCATTATTCAGGTAGGGTATGTAGTGAGATTGGAATTTTAGGTAATCCATTGAGTAACATCCAAGTAATCTTTATGCCACTCATCATTTCAGGATATTGTTCACCTGGCTTGTGTTTGCACACTGGCCTGGAAATGAGCTCTAGTGTTGCAGGCAAATATAGTTCCCCTGATGTTAGAACTGGCTCTGTTGATTTGAGACTGAATTGCAATTTTTAGTGAAAATATGGAAATGGATAAACTGCAAACCTGAAACAGAAGCTGGAATTGTTCATTGTGTCAATCAGTTTTAGGAAACTGATCAGTGTCAATCCTATGCTCACTCTATAGCCAAGGGGCAGGCAGATCTATAGTACTGCTGATGACAGACCAGCCACCCTGGCTCATTGGCAGCACTTGGAGGGACAGGGCAATGGTTCTTCCCACTTGGCTCCTGTCTACTCTGCAAGCCAAAGCACCAGTGGGTAGTATGGTCCTAGCTGGACAAGCAGTGGGAAGCTTCCCAATCAATGCTTTCAGTGGGAAGCTGTATGGTTTTAGATGGTTAACTCGAGCATTACCGCAAGAGATACTGAGGGATCTGCAAGCAAAATTTATTGCTTGCAGATCAAATTCATGCCATCTGGCGTCTAATAGTTTCTGGAATTAGGTGAGCAGTATGCCTTGGGGATAGCGTTCCATTCAAGGGAATGTCCATGTGTTAGGTGGCATGTGTAGTAGTCTTATCTGGTTTGGATACTCTCAAGCACAGTGATTGGTTTCAGTGCCCGTTAGACACCTGACTGACCCCCAAAAAATCTGATGAAGCATTGCATCCAAAGAATGTTAACCTCTCTCCAAAGCTGTATATTATAATAATAATTTTTGCATTTGATATAGTGCTTTTCATGTCTTCTCGTTGTCTCAAAGTTCTTCACAGAATATACTGTAAAGTGTATATTTTGGGGTGAAAATTTGCTGGTTCTTTCTAGTATCTTCTGTTTTTATTTTGAGGAAAATGAACTTCCTGTATTAGTTTATCTTTTCCCCATCCTGATTGTTGACTTTTATACTTCAAAATCAAGCTTCTTTCCAACTTGTTTTATTAGACCTCGTTTTTAACAAAAAGCAGCTGAGTGGGGAAAATAGGAGGCTTTGACGAGTAGGTCAAACTGCTCCTGGAGTTGAGTCATTCAGTAGAACAAAAGCCCAGGGAGACTGTTCACAGATGGTTGAAACAAATTAGCTTGCTGGTGATTGATGCTCGATGGATTAAGAGTCCAGTGGTTTGACAAATAAATCTTCCAATTCTGAGTTTAGCAACTGCTTAAATCAAATAGTTTTTTTTCTGTCTGGGCAATGCTAAAAGCTTTTAAATCCCTGTTTAAAATGATCCCTTTTTTCTTCTATTCCAGATGCTGTATCCTTCAAGGATTTGAAGCACAGTTGTACATAAGTGATTAATAAATCATCAATAAAAATATTAAATTGTTCAAGTTTCTATGTTTCCTTTATTCAGTACTTTAAAGAATGGGATTCAGGAGTTCCAGAGTCCAATCTGATTGAACCTGAAACCAATTGGATCATTGATGTTAAATACAATATTAAAGGTTCTTCAATAAATTTTGCTTATCAAATGAGTCTTGTCTAATCCAATTAGATTTCTGCAAATCTGTGTTTTGGTTTGTTTTAACACTTTCTGAAGTATTGGGTTCAATTTCCTATTTTAATATTCTATTGTGCTAACGGCTCCCAAATCCTTTTGTCCAGGCTGTGTTGGCCTCGGCTAATGTGACCACGGAACATAGCAACTAAGTAAACCTTAACGGCCATTTTGATTGTTTTATAACTTTCTTACATATTTATGAGCCTTATGCATGTGATCATATAGGTGTAAAGCAGAAGCTGGTATATTACTACATTGAAAATCATTTAGGGTGCCTTTTCTTTAATGAATTGTTATTAACCGACATGAACATTGCTTGAAACGGATTGTAGCCTGCCTCCATCTAGTGGCACGAACAGTTGCCAAACTGCTTGTGCAATTCTTTACAAAGTTAATTTTGAGCTTCTGTACTTCACCCGTTGAGATAAGACATTGAATTTATGGTTGACAGGTTCAGCTAAGTGAGAGACCTGACCTGTTATTTAACATGTTTTCAGACTACGTTCAGAATTTGTATATTGGCTGAATTGAACAAAAACATTTTGATCAGGAACTCTGCTCTGGCTGGGTCTTTGCCAGAGTGGGGCTGGGAAAATACAAACCAGCTTGATCCATTGCCAGATATTTACAAAGGCTCTTTTCTTCCCACTGACTGTGTGATACGTGTGAACAGTGTAGCGTTTTGCTATTTTTGATTTATAGGCAGGAGATCAAGCTTTACCTTCAGAAGCACTTCCTCCTGTAGTGAAAGGTGCTATATAATATGCAGTTTATTGTTGGGTTATGCCTTAAAGGAAGAGAAGCTTTATTGCAAAAAGGGGTCAAATTGTCTTAAGACGTTAAAGCAATAAAGTACAGTGGAAACTCACTGCCCATGTACTATTCTGTATATGGCAAACATTTTAAATTCCGGTCCTGTTATAAGGCTTTTTTATTTTAATTCTTGAGTCAAGTTTGCCAGTTTACATTTCCAAGACCTGGGTCAGGATCGCTTTCCCTCTCTTCTCCCCCCCCCACCCCACATTAAGCTTTTCTTAATGAGAATGTTTAGCTTGATATACCTCCCCATTAGCGCAGAGCATTGTTCTATTATCCTTGTACTGTTTCTTGAACCCTCAATGTCCTTTTGAATGTCATTGCCCAAAAGTTCATACAGCAGTATTTACTCATGTACTCTGGAATTTATACAAGGATTAATTTCTTTCCAACTTGTAGTCGAATTGTAATAATCCTTGCTTTTGATTTCTTCAAGACATCTCAAAGCACTTAATAGAATACACTGTAAAGTGAATTAACTATTTGGGTGAAATGTGGCAGCCAATTGCGCACAGCAGTGTCCCACAAACAGCTGTGGATTGAAGTGACCAATTTATTATTTTTTTTCTTGAGAAATGATCAGGCGTGTGGAGTAATAATAATAAAATAATAATCCTTGCATTTGATACAGCGGTTTTCACAGTCTTCTAGTTGTCCCAAAGCGCTTCACAGAATATTGTAAAGTGAATTGACTGTAAATTTGAGGGCCAAACATGGCAGCCAATTGCGCACAGCAGTGTCCTACAAACACAGTCGTGGATTGAGTAAGGAAACTTGCCCACGGTTTCGTCCTGCTGCGAATCAAACCCAGGTATCTCGCTTGTGAGGTGGGTGAGTGCTCTAACCACTAAGCTACACGACTCGAGTTGGAGGACGTCCTCTTGCAATTGTGGAGGACAAGTTTGCAGGACTATGGGGAGAGAGCAGGGGAGTGAGATTGGTTTGGATACCTCTTTTTGTTGCAAAGAGCCAGCACAGACACGATGGGCTGAATGGCCACCTTCCGTGCTCTATGATTCTATGAAATTCCCTCGGGAATAAGCTGCATATTGTCTCCGCGAGGAGCGAGTAGGTCATACCAGGTGTTAGCACATCCTTGACTCGTTTCTTTCTCGGAGGTTGCAGAAACATGTCAAGATGCCCGTAAGCATTAAAGCTTTCCAGTTTCCTTGGTGGTCCAAGTCTCTTCCTTGTGGCCCTTTGGAGGCGTCTTATCCACTACCATCCCACCCCCTCCCATCCTCTCCCCCCTCCCTCCCATCCTCTCCCCCCTCCCTCCCATCCTCTCCCCCCTCCCTCCCATCCTCTCCCATCCTCTCCCCCCTCCCTCCCATCCTCTCCCCCCTCCCTCCCATCCTCTCCCCCTCCCTCCCATCCTCTCCCCCCTCCCTCCCATCCTCTCCCATCCTCTCCCCCTCCCTCCCATCCTCTCCCCCCTCCCTCCCATCCTCTCCCCCCTCCCTCCCATCCTCTCCCCCCTCCTCCCATCCTCTCCCCCCTCCCTCCCATCCTCTCCCCCCCTCCCTCCCATCCTCTCCCCCCTCCCTCCCATCCTCTCCCCCCTCCCTCCCATCCTCTCCCCCCTCCCTCCCATCCTCTCCCCCCCTCCCTCCCATCCTCTCCCCCCCTCCCTCCCATCCTCTCCCCCCTCCCTCCCATCCTCTCCCCCCCTCCCTCCCATCCTCTCCCTCCCATCCTCTCCCCCCTCCCTCCCATCCTCTCCCCCCTCCCTCCCCTTCCCCACCCCTCTCCCCTTCCCACCCCCTCTCCCCCCACCCCACCTCTCCTCTCCCCACCCGCCGGTGTGAATGTTACTTCAGTTACATGCGGTGACCCTGGGGGCGTGGCTTTGGATTAATGAATGAAAGGGGGCGGGGGCAGAGATGGTTTGTGACGTGTGTCCAGCCCCGCCCGCCCCGGTCCGGCGGCGCAGCTGATTGGCTGCTGGGGTTCCAGGAAGGCGGGGCCCGGGCGGAGGTTCCCCTCTGGGAGTGTGAACGTGACAAATGGAGGACCGCGAGCAGCGACTCCCGGAGCGGCCACTGCCGACCGCGATCAGGGGGCAGCGGGGAGAGAGCCGACTCCCGGAGCGGCCACAGCGGGACCCGGGGCAGCGGGGAGAGAGCCGACTCCCGGAGCGGCCACAGCGGGACCCGGGGCAGCGGGGAGAGAGCCGACTCCCGGAGCGGCCACAGCGGGACCCGGGGCAGCGGGGAGAGAGCCGACTCCCGGAGCGGCCACAGCGGGACCCGGAGCAGCGGCAGCGGATTCAGGCGAAGCAGCAGCAGCAGCAGCGCCCGCGCCAGGGAGAGATCAGGGGGCACCCGCCGGAGCAACGCGGGCAGACCCGAGGGCAGGAGTTGCTCGGAGCGCCGACGCAGCGGCCGGAGGGGAATCGCGGAGCGATCCGGGGACGAGGGGAGCAGCCGCTGGCACCGCCGGACCGGGAGCAACCGGAGCGGACGGACCGCGAGTTCGAGCAGCTGGTGCAGGCGATCGGCGGGCGGGAGCGGATCCTCCTGGTCGGGGAGCTGTGCGAGAGTCGGCAGCTCATGTTCCAGTTCGTCAAGGCGTTGTTTCCCAGACCGGAGGAGGCGGACAAGGAGCCCGAGCCTCGGCGGCTGCTGTCGCCGTGCCCGAGGGTCACCGAGCTGGTGAACGGCAGCCGGGAGCAGCGGCGCCTCCGAGCCCGTCTCCTGCTCTTCCTCTTCCGACAGGAGTTCCTGTGCAGCCGGAGAAACGAGCCGCTGATCCGGGAGCTGCTGCGGGACGTGCGCCAACGGTGCTGCTCCTGGGAGCCGCTACCGGGGCTCGTCGGGGTGGTTCACACCGAGTCCGACACACAGGGGGAAGATCTCAGCGCCGCGGTCCGGTTCATAGAGCACCAACTGCGGACCGTCTTTCACAGACACCCCAGCGACTGCGTCCAGGCGCTGCCCTTCGTCGCTGACCGGGTGGATTCGGTCAGGGAGCTGAAAAAAAGCAGCTGCGACGTGCTCCGAGCCTCGTCGGGGATCACATCAGGTGCGGTGCCTCGGTACCGGGTCGCACACACCCCGGTGCTGTTCTGTGGCAGAGGGCCACACGGTTGTTTTTAAGTCTTACCCATTCGATTCGTGTCTGGGCTGAAAGAGAGGGGGATGGGGGTGGGGGGTGGGTGGGGGGGTTGGGGGTGGGGGGTGGGGGTACTGGGGGGGGATCGGACACCATCCCGTGACCGGTGGCTCACGTTAGGGTACGAGGTGTGTTTGCGTGGATGTTGAGTCCTGTGGCTCAGTGGTTAGAGCACTCGCTTTGCAAGTGAGAGACCTGAGTTCAATCCCAGGCAGAGGGTGAAACCTTGGGCAAGTTTCCTTACTCCACACAGAGCCTAATAATAATCCTCCAAAACCAAAAACAATAATAAAAAAATTGGTCAGTTTCAATCCACGACTGTTTGCGGGACATTGCTGTGCGCAATTGGCTGCCGCGTTCGCCCACAAATGTACAGTCAATTCACTTTACAGTGTGTTCTGCGAAGCGCTTTGGGACATCCTCCCGACGTGAAAAGCGCTATATCAAATGCAAGGATTATTATTATTATTATTATGTTGATGGCGGTGCCTGACCCACGCGGTTGAACATCCTGCAACAGCTACTGTATCCATGACCGCGATACTGTACCGATAACAGCAGAAAGTGACCAAAATTTGAGTGTGTGGGGGAGGAGGAGGAGGAGTGGGGGTCGTGGGGGGGGGATATGCAACACAGATTATTCGGACCCTCTGGTAGAAGAAAGTTTTATTTTCTGAAAGCAGACAAGGGGTTTGGGACAACCCCAGAGTGACCCCCCACCCCCCCCCCCCTCATCTGTATTGATGAGTTCGATCCTCTCACATCAGTGTCACAGATTTATTTTGGGGGATACCCGAGTCAACCAGGAATAAGAGGATTGATCCACAACTGGTGTGAGAATGATGTATTCCTCGTGGGAGTCCTTTCAGTTCTGAGGTGCCTACACCTGTATAGGGTTAAGCAAAAGGAAGAACAGTTGTGGGCAGAGAACCTTCTGTTCGGAACACATGTTAATCAATTCATCCTTGAGTTGCGCTGGAAGTGGTCCACATTGGACCGCTGTGTCCATGGACCCCCCCACCCCGACAGCTCACCCACACCCCCATTTCAAGTGGTCCTTCTTTGCACATTGATCCCGACAGCTCAGCAGAGCCAGATCTGGCCAACACATTTGAGCGTTTTGCTTCCAGCTCTATATGGCCACGTCTTGCATTGACCATTGCCTTCAGTAATTAAGCCCCCAAGGGGGTGGGGGGGATCCTGTAATATTTAATCAGTAAAGGATTTAGGGAGACTTTAAACCGAAATGATCTGCTTACATTTCACAGTGTGTCAATGTATGCACGAGTGAACAGTTGTGGCGCTGAGCGAATAATGTCTTCATTCTATTGTAAAAACATTCAAACCGAGAAACTTGTTTAACCGAGAAGGCGCTAGAATTTGTTTTCAGTAACGGAAAAGGAGATGAAATCTTCTGATCCGAGCGGAGCTTCTTGTCTGGGAATGTTTGGTGGCAGTGCGACGTGTCAATTTACACTTCATAAAAACTGCTGAATGGAACCTTTCATCGTCCTTGTTTCTGGCATCTCCTGGGTTTCCTCCATCAGCTGATCTGTGAGTGGAACAGTGACTGGAGGCAATTACAGTGAGCATGTTCCTTTGCTCTCCAGCCCAGAAAGCTGTTCAGCACCACTCCAGTTTAAATGTGCAACGAATAACTATTTATAATAATTGCGCGGTAACCACATTCAGTCAGTCGCCTCTGGGTCAGAAGGTCGTGGGTTCAAGCCCCAAATACGACTTTAAGCACACAGTCTAAACTGAGACTCCCAGGCAGCACTGCCAGAGTGCGGTCCTTCAGTAGAGATGCTAAACTGAGAGCCCATTTGCCTGTTTTGGTGGATGTTGAAGATTCTTTTGCACTATGCGAAAAGAGAAGGAAGTCTCTCTCGGTGTTCTGGCTTTTAATAATTTAAGACTGCAACAAGTCTTAAATTATCCGGAGAGAAAATGGGCAGGGTATTAGCATAGTGCATTTGGAGCACAGAAGCAACAAAGAGGAAAGTTCAGAGAGCAGTGTCGATGACCGCTGTAGTATCGATTGACATGGAGGGAGACCGAGCGGGTGGAGGTCACAGTTTAGGAAACTTGGAGTTATGTCTGATGTTTAAGAGATTTGAGGGTTGTGGGTCACATTTGACAGGTCAGTCTATTCCATCATAATATAAACACAGAAAAAAGAGCAAACACAAAAGCTCCCAGATTGATCTGAACATTTGCAAAGCTGAAGCGTCTGCTTTTGTTTCGGCACACTCTGACAATTAATCATTAATATTCAGCCAGTGTTGGTCGATGAAAAGAAACAGTAGGCTTAAAAGTATCTGCTTTGAGTTCCATTCACTGTGGTGGTGCAATGGGTCTTGTACTTGTGGTGCCACTGTCCATTATCAGGGCATCTCAAAGAAATGATCTAAACAACATATGTTGATAAACCAAAGAGCTATATCAGAAATACTTGCATTTGATGTAGTGCCTTATCAAGTTATCAAAAAATCTTGAAGCGCAACCCATAACCTGTGTCAAGATGAGAGTGCTACTACCTGAGTCAGGGAAACACTGCATTAACATAGGATTTGGTAATGTGGCTTGTTCAAGCTCTTCCAACCCCTCCACATGTGTGAGACCTGGATACTTCTTTAGATTCTGAGTAATTCAGGTCCTTCATCTGAGCTTGATGGATGAAAGGGCTGATCTATTGACCAGCTATACCTGGGAGGGGTCCAAGTGGGACAAAGTACTATAGACGAAAGAAGGTTAACAGTAAACCTTTAACCTGGACAGAACATGATGAGAAATGTTGACAAAATACTTTGGAAGTGCACAGCTAGTTGATCAACATTCGAAAAAGAATGATTACTACAATAATTGATAAAGGATCACATACAAACCACTAGCTTGTCTTTCTTCTTTGAGATGTTGCTTGACTTGCTGTGCATTTCCAGTCTTCTCAGGGTTATGAAAAGTGCAATTAGATTGAAATGAATGGATTCTACTGTCCTGACGAAATTGTATGTTTAAATGCTTTATTTTATATCCAGATTTAAGCAAGAGAAGGCGTTCGTGTCTTTCCCGATTCCTGTGTTTTCTCCGGAACAGTGCCAGAAGCAGGGAGGACAGACCTCCCAAGAGTGCGTGGAGCGCTACAGGACCAGAGGGTAAATGAAATAGACGATAACCTTGTTCTTACCCAGGGGCAATATCTGAAAAGCGGTCAATTCATTGCAAATGATTTCTTTGAGGGTGTTCCTCCATTTTCTCCTCCTGAAAATATCAACCGTGCTGAGGTGCAGATCCACTGGCTGCCCAAGTAGACCGTGTACACTCGTGTGTGATTGTTGGCTGGGAATCACAAGACAACACGGCTGATCCTGACCACTCTCAACATCCTCAAACCCAAACAATTCTGGTGGAGGGGATGTCGCAGGATCAAAAATGGTGGACTCCAGCTGATTTTCTTAGCCGCCACCCCCCCCCCCCATCATCTCCCCAGCCAAAAGAGCTGAGGTTAATTTTTGCACTTCTTCAGTTCCCCCAGCAGAGATAACAAACAGCACACATCATCTGGTATGGAGTGTCTCTGTGCAACATTGGAGAAGCCTTCACAGGGGTTCAATCATTTGTCTCATAGGTGTAATAACCTTTTAATTAAGGTGACTTTTACCTGGGAAACGATTTATTTCCTAGTCTTCATTTGCCCTTTGGATGATTGGGGTAGAGTCCATGATAGAGCTATTATACATTCCTTTAAGAAGCGCCTTGATGCTGTTATGGGCAGGACAAAAGGGAGCGTATTCTGGATGGATGAGATCAGATGGGCTGAAGAGCCTCCTTCATCCAAACCAATCTTGTGATCATATGAGTGATCTATACAGTAATGCTGTTATCTGGATTTGCTACAGTGTTTAACGGGTAATCTAAATCAAATAAACTTTAACCTTGGCTTCCAAAATAGAGCAAAGAGACGACAAACAGAACATGACATTTCAACACAAAGCTTTACACTGCAACTAAGCTTTAGATTCTCGGGCTTGTAGAACCGTGGACCCGGGCTTGAAACGCTTTTGTTTTTCAGGAATGTCTGCGGAGCGAGAGGGCAACATGTGCTCGCAGCCACTGACAGTGGGACCATCCCTGAACAACAGCACAGTCACACAGATGGACTCCGAGGGGCTGAAGGAACAAGATGTGGAAACTGAAGTGTAAACAAATTGTATAAAGTAACGTTCTCTCAGCATCTGGGCATCATGAAGGAATGCTAATTTTTAATTAAATGCTTGGTTTTCCAGATCTGGCATGTTCCCCCTTTTCCAATAGATGGCGGGATTGCTTGAGGAGGGTTGTTGTCACATTATCTGCAGGAATCCTTGTGTAGATATAGTTTAAATTGCTCAAATAATTTGAGTGCCTGACATGTAAACGCTGTTTCAGTTTTAGAGCTGTCTGTCTCTCAAACTCCACATGTTGCATTGGGCAAGTCGCAAAAGAAGGCCAAGTATTCTATCAGGAGACATCCTGAGATTGTGCAGCTACTCTCTACTTCAGTGCATTGCCACTGACTCGGAGATTAACCTTATGAGTCGATTCCTTATGCCTTGGGTGCCTCAATGAGGAACATTTTTATGCAATAAGACCAGAGGTTTATTCACACAAAATCATATCAGAGTTCACTGAATACCAGCAATATGTTACTGTATACTGTCCCAGATTTTTAAATTGTTATTCCCATTGCACTTCTAGTTGCTGCTCCGCAAGGGGAATACAATGTTGCCATCCTTAATCTAATTTTTTTTTAGAGTTTTTAAGACCATGGGTTTATCTCCTGTTGTACAGCCCAGCAATGCCAATACACACCAGAAATGATTTAAACCAACATAAATACAATGATGCAAACCAACATAAATCTGACCTTCAACTCCATTTCATCAGGAGAAGCCTGACGATTGGATAGCAGAGATTGTAAAGTTAGTGAGATAGAGCTTGATTAAATTATAATCACTGCCTACTATCCAGGGCATTGTAAGTAACATTCTTTTGATAGATCATTGATGGAATCCAACCATTACAGAAATCCTGGTGTAGTTGTAGCAAACAATTTCTTAACGTTTTGTGGGGAAAGATGCAGACATTCCCCTACATCTCTTCCAGTGAAGATTCCATTCCACATGTTAGAGCAGAAATTAGAATGGGACATTTTTATATAACTTCTGAGTAACCTGTTACCCAAGCGACAGAATCACTGGAATGGGTAGTTTTGTCACTTCTTAGATTCAAAAGTGCCTATATTTGAGATCATTCTGAACCAGGAATTCAGACTGAGCAGTTGAACAACCAGCAATTTTCAGACCATGGTTTAATATGGTCAAAACAGAGCTAGTCATTACAGAAAGGGGCATCCTGGCTACAAGCTTACAAAATGAAAAGATTACTCTTTGGAACTCTCCTCGTTTTAAAATGTGTCTGACAGTTTGCGGAGAAATTGGCTGACAAGATGGTTTTTGATCATCTTCACAACCCCCACCGACATCTTCCCAAAATGAAAGATGGAAAAAAAATGTAGATCGTGTTGTGTAGAATGCCAGCGAACTTGCTGAAGCAGCTTTTATTAATGGTTAGTTATATCTAGCCACTATTTCACAGTAAATGCAAGTATTTCTCCTCTTTGTCAGGGAGAGTTTGTAGCCAAGGCATCTTTCAACCCTGTGTCTGAACCAGCCTGTGCCTCATCTACAAATCCACAACAACTCAAAACAGACAGACTGGGTGTTCCTGGTGGCAGACCGTGGACCATTTTCACCACCAATAAGAGAAATCTGGTGGAGAAGTTTGAACCATTGATGAACCCCCATCCTTCACTTCCCCTCCTATGCTACTTCAGTTTTCTTTAGAAATATAAACAGAATATCTAGTTGCAGTAGGCTAGATGGTTCAGTACCCATTTCCTATCTAGTCACCACTGCATGCACTGTTAAGCTCTCTGAGAGGTCTCTGTACATCAATGGTGCTACATAAGTGCAAGTTCCTGTCGGCCAAATAACTGCAATTTGTGTCTGACATAGTTTGAGAGCGAGACTCTTCCTTCAAATGCACTTTCTCCTCTATTTGGCACAGGCAGAATGAGAAGAGCAGATGTTTCTGATTCTCCACACTGCCTTTCTGACACTACATGCTGAGAGCTGTGTATGTAAGAAAGCACGGAGGTCAAGGTGACTCATTCATTGCAGCAGGGCTGTTATGTGGGGAGATGCTTCAGAAATGAGCATCATTACTGTTACATCAACAACCACATGCATTTATAATAGTACCCTTCATGCCAGCTGGCGTCTCAAAGCGCTTAACAGTGGCGGAGCCTGATGCCGATGTTACTGATCAGTGGAGTGAAAATTAAGAAAGTAAAATGTGTAGCAATTTAGTTTTTGAAACTAACATTTTCAAATAAGTGAGAATTTTTTTTAAAAAATACTTAACTTGTGGCTTTAAGCCTCTGAGGTTCAGATGCTTCACTTTGAATTTCAATGTGTCCCTGTGCCTTCAGTAAGATATAGTTACTGTGTCAAATAACCTGAGAGTAACAGAAATATAAACGTTTCACACACAATTTTTATGACTATGATACACCCATGGATGGGGTGGGGGGTGGATGTACTGTGTATTCTCAACTCTAATAAACTTCCAGGTCTGTTGTCAGAACAAAGTCTTCAGACTGACATCTCTGATCATTTCAAACCAACTGCCTGAGGGTCATCCTGAGCAAAGCACTGTTCCACATTGGTGGATCACTTTTCCCTGGGTAATAATTCCTTCAAGAAAAGAAAAGACCAATAATTTGGTCACTCAATCTACAACTGTTTGTGGGACACTGCTGTGCGCAATTGGCTGCTGTGTTTCACCCACAAAGTATGCAGTCAATTCACTTTACAATATATTCTGTGAAGCGCTTTGAGATATCTCAACGATGTGATAAGGCGCTACATCAAATGCAAGGGTTATTATCAGATTTAAAAATGTAAATGTCTCACCTTGAAGAGTACTGCCTCATAGTATAATGAAATACAATGGCTTTGTTGTATAATCCTCAACAGGATGACTGCACTGTAAACTTAATCTCTGTCTAATAACTTCCCATCTGTCAAATTGGAAAAGAAAAAATAAAGTAAGCTCCTGATATCTTGGCACTCCAAAGGAAATGGCTTAAGAGACGACTTATTAGGGGTGGTGAATTAGGCATATCTATAAATACAAAATAATTGCTGCCAGGATATTGACAGCATGATGACTTAATTGGTAGTGACAAGTTAAGACAGGGTCTTTACAATTCTTTGTGAGCCTGAAGATTTAGTAACCAGGGAAATTACAGGCTAGCCTGGTTCTGTCCTTATCTGGCATTCAATGCACATACAACACACAGGTCACTCATCATATTGTCAAGAATAGGAATCTTGGTACAACTATTTACTTCTGAGCACAAGGATATTACCACCAAAGAATAGTTAAATTACCTTCCAGACCTGTGTAGTTCAGTAGTACTGCACTAGAACGTCCATACACAATGCCCACTGAGCTAAAAGGGTTTTATGGGATCATCTGCATTGATGGTTTTGTGGAGAAGAGTTTCAGTTCATTCAAGGATTTGTATCTCACCAGTGCCAGTAACTCATTCACATGGTGCTCGCAGTTTTGGTCCTGTAAAATTTACCAGAGCTGTTGCAATGAATATTTTTGGTGACTTGAGTTGTGAGCTAAAGTCTGCATGTAGACATCTTGTGATTTGGAGCATTGTCGACAACACTGAGGAAATGTTAGTCCTTTTGATTTCTAACCAACAGGAGCACAGATTGCAAACACACGATCCCAACTACTCGGCTAAATCGTGCCCTCTGGTGTTGGTAACCATCAATATACTGAACTGTTTGTCCAGATTAATCTTGTCAAAATACAGTCACTCTGCTTGTTCACATTGGACGCTAAAGATCCCCTGGCACTGTTCGAAAAGAGAAGAGAGTTTCTGCCAGTGTCCGGGCCAACAATCCCCCCACCCCCCCCAAACAAAACTGGTCCCTCGCTCCATGGCTGTGTGTGTGGACTTTGCTGTGTGCGAGTTTGCCGACAAAGTACACAGCCAATCAATCCACTTTCCGGTATGGTCCTGTGCAGCGCTTTTGAGACGTCTCGACGACGTGATAAGGAGCTGTAGCAAATGCAAGGATTATTATGATCATTATTATCATCATCACCACCATCATCATCACCACCATCATCATCATCACCATCATCATCCGAAGAGGACAAGACCGCCCAACGCCTGGCTGCCACCTGTCCTCGCGCGTTTCTTGAGATGCGGTGTTATCTTGAGCACCTTTTAAAGGGCCATGAGGAAGAGTTTGCCTTCCTGAGCTCCAAATTGGTCACATTCCCCCCCCACCCCCCACCTTCTCCCCTTCCCCCCTCCACACGAAATAATCATCACTACTCCTTGCGCTCTGCAGTCAGCGCCGGGTCCTCCGCGCCGCCAGGGGGCGTCCGAGGGAGAGCGGTACCTCCACCGCACAGTCAGGACCCCGGTGTGTGTGTGTGTGGTTGCGGGGCGGCGGGAGGGGGAGGGGGAGCCTCTGTCAGGGAAAAGCCTGAGTCACACACACACACAGAGAGAGACGGACGGGAGCGCGGGGCCTGGACACGCACGTACAGCGGCACACACAGCCACCACACCCCGGGGGCTGGGCAGGGCAGGGCGGCCGGCAGGATGATCACCTCGGCGGGTGAGTGAGGGAGGGGAGGCCGGGGATGAGGGAGAGGCGCTCCGGGGCCTGTGCTTGTGTGTGAGTGTGTGTGTGTGGGAGGGGAGGAGGGAGGGTGCGAGCAGCGGCCGCCAGGGCCGAGCCGCGGGGCCGCTTCCCCTCACCGGCTCTCGCAGTCAGTCAGACCGGGGCTCCCGGGGCTCAATTCGTTGGCCGGAGTTGGTCGGGGAAGAACCTCTTAACCTCTGTCTTGTCGGCGGGGACACCGCGAGGCTGAGGCTCGGGGCAGGACAGCCAGCGAGAGGCCTCGGGGGGTGGGGGGGGGGCTGGAGCCGCAGCCGCCGAGTCCTGGCCCTCAGGCTGCGCGGGGAAGAGGATGAGAGCCACTGTGGTTGGTGTCAGCTTCTGAGCCCCTCTCACTCCCACCCCCTCACTCCCCAGTCCCCGCCGTCACCCCGAGAGCAACACGGAAACGCTGAGCACAAGGAGGAGGAGGAGGAGGAGATGGATGGGATGGGATGTGATGGATGGATGTGACCCTTCAGACTGTTTGATCCATTCACAATCCCCCCATTGAACTCATGAGTCAGTCGAGTGTCGGGGGCTCTGGACCACCTTTTTTTTAAAAAAAAACTGGTGGCCCCCGTTTCAGCTGTTTATTAACCCCTCGGTGTGTGTTTGTGTGTGTGTTTGTGTGTGTGTTTTTTTTTCCCCCAAAAAAATACTACTACCACTACTACTCACTGGCAGTAATTCTGCAATACTCCTCCCCCAACCCAGAAACTCTGTGTGGGATCTCTCCCTGGTGTTTCCCTGACATATTTCGAATTGTTGTTCCCGGTCTACTTTCCCTTTGACGGCTTACATTTTGTCGTTTGCGGTTGCCTTGCAGTTCCAGTTCAGAGTTGCCCGACAACTCCAGTTTATCGCGTTGTCCATTCTAGTTTATCCCTTGAACACTGGGGATCAGTGTTGTTGCTGTTACCTGCCTCGAAAGCCAAGCCCCCCCTCCCCCAGCTCTTTAGGGGCTATGGCTTGACCGGAGAGAGCGCTGTACAGTTTGAGCACGAAATGTAATTGACTTGGCAAAGTTGCCCGGCATCCGGCAGTTAGTTTTGTTCATTGCTGACTCACACTCATTAGGTATTGATAAGCAATGAGTTAAATAACATCCTTTGGCCTATTTCAACCCCTGCCCTAAACGCCTCCCTATTTTTGCTTCCTGTACCCGGATTTTATCTGCAATAAATATGATTTCAGCTTGGGCGCATATTCTGTCAAGTTCTCTTTGTAGATCTTGGGAGTTTCTGTGCTTTCACACTTCTCCGTAACTTAGGTGTCGGCCTGGCTCAGTTGGTAGAACTCTCGCCTCTTGAGTCAGAAGGTTCTGGGTTCAAGCCCCACTTCGGGACTTTGAACTCACATAGTTTAGGTTGACGCTCCAATGCAGTGCTGCGGGTATGTTGCAAATTGACAGAGTTGCCATCCTTTGGATGAGAAGTTATTATTAAAACAGCAGACAAGAACTATGTACAAGAGCAACAAGAATTTGCATTTATATAACACCCTTCACGGGGGTGGCATCTCGGTGGTGCTTCAAATTTATTTTTCTCACTTTGTTGCAGCTGGGATTATTTCTCTTCTGGATGAAAAAGAGCCACAGCTCAAGGTAAGAGATTCACATCAGACGAATAATAATGTGTTTGAAATGGAAGCTAAAATCTTAACTGTCGTCTCCCTTCTCAAATATCCCCATCCCTCCACTCTTAATTTGTAGTTGCGTTTCCCCTCAATGTATTTTGTTAAATTCTGGTATGACTAATGTAGGTGTGACTAGTGATTGTAATTGAGTACCAAGTATCTGTCCTGGACAGTGGATCAAAATTATTTCTTGAAGTTTGAACTCTGTTCTCCTTTCCGCAGTTATATTTTTAAAAAGTGTGAATCTGTAATGTACTTCTTTGTATCCCATATTCTGTGTGCCATCTTCAAATCTGTTCTTCTGCCTCTGCTCCATACTTGGAGCACTCTAACTAAGATCAACTGTGTCCTCTCCCGCATCAGACTCCGTGACTCTATCACCCACATCCTCGTCCGACTCCACTGGCTTCCCATCACACAGAGGATACAGTTCAAGATCCTGGTTCTCCTTTCCCCTCTCCACAGCACTCCCTGACCCCCAGCTTGGGTCCGAAACATTGATTGTCCTGCATCTTGGGACGTCCTGCATCTTGGGACATCAAGGCTGAGACTGATAGATGTTTAAAAAACAGAGGGATTAGGGGATATGGGGATAGGGCAGGTAATTAGAGTTAGGTCTGAAGATCAGCCATGATCTTATCGTATGGCGGCGCAGGCTCGAGGGGCTGAATGGCCTACTTCTGCTCCTAATTCTTATGTTCTTATGTCCTCCTGACCTGAAAGGCACTATACAAATGTAATTTTGTTATTGTTGTAGGCTTTTAAATCATAGCCTAAAATAATAATTTTATTCTCTATTTCCAGGAGTTTGCTCTGCACAAGCTGAACTCTGTAGTTAATGACTTCTGGGCTGAAATTTCAGAATCTGTGGTTAAAATGTAAGTTGTTTCTTTTGTTCTGACATTTTCTTCAAGCACATCGCTTTAGCTACTTTTGTATCTGCTGGTTATTGTCCACTATTTGGTACTGAGATAGCGCTTCAAGCCATGTATAAATCACGTTGACAGTCCATGCAGTGTTCACTCAAGTGTTCCTGAACCTGGTGAGTTTGTGTTACTCCAGGGCACAACAGGAAGCTTCCAGGCTGTGTTTTCAATGGGAAGCGATGCAATTTTAGCTAGTTAAATTCTAGCAGCACTCAAGAACACAAGTTTGTCTGAACTTCCCAAGCCTTGGCTTTTGCCAACCTGTGCCTAATATTCTCCTGAATTAAGTTAGCAGGATGCATCTCATAGGGGAAAGGGTGCACATTCCATTTCTAAACACGGAAATTTTTATGTGGTGTTAGACATATGAAAGTCTTTGGTATGGTTTAGATATGCTTAAGCGTGTTATTGTATTTCTGTGTGTGTCGGTCACTCGGCAGAAAATAAAATAACGTAACTTTATGAAACAAAGGGTACATAGCAATTGGTGGATGTATTAAATTACATCAGTGATGATTCCACATTTGCTTATCTGAGTTTTTTGTGTGTGGTAAATTTCACATAATTTAGTAACACTGCAACAAAGTTAGAAACCAATGTGTAATAATTATTTAACAAAGATAGTTATAACCAAGGTTTACAGCAGGTGTTGGATGTAATGCAATCCTGGGATGTTTGAAACTCGTCAGCCTCTTGGTTCTTTCAACAAATGCTTGTCTTGGAAATCCTCATTGGGTCTAACTTGTACGTAAATGGTTTCTGGCTGATCTGTTCTCATTGCGGATGTTATCACGTGTTTATACAAAACAACTTGAGTGTCCTGGTAACCTTCCATGCGTCCATCAGTTCATTAATTGGTGCTTTGTTGATCAATGGACACATCCTTACATTATGATTGTGTGGGAAAGATGATGGGTGCACAGGTTTTAATTGTGAAATTCTATTCAGTGAGGAGCTGTATGAGGATGAAACGTTCCGGAGTCGGGAGTTTGCTGCTTTAGTGGCTTCCAAAGTCTTCTACCACCTTGGTGCCTTTGAGGAATCATTGAACTATGCACTGGGAGCTGGCGATCTCTTCAATGTGAATGATGAGTCTGAATATGTGGAGACAATTATAGGTTAGTATTTACCAGTTTCTGTACTGCACATTTTTCTCAGGACAAGGGGCTGGAAATTATTCCTGAACGAAGTGCTATAATGTAATTTTTATTCCGAGAGCTATAGTTTACCCTTGAAGATACTCTAACTACGTTTCTACTGTTTTTATCTTTGACTTCTTGAAACATGGTTAAGCTTCTATCCCTCCCCAGCTTTGTAACTCCCTCCCTGAGGAGGTTATTTAATATAAGTGAGGTTGCTACAGTAAGTTGAACTCACAGACATTTTGAGTGGTGCTTTGTGTGGAGATTGATTTACTAATATGTGCCCTTTTAATTTTTTTTCCAATTTGGTACTATGTCAAATGGTTTCAATGTTGAGAGGCAATACTAAATATCTCGGAACATTTGGCTATTTAAAAATTTTAATTCTCGTAGTCGAAGATGCAGTGATGGATGGCTGATGGGGGGGATAGTTGTGGACAGTTGTTGAGATGAGATGTTCAACCTCTCCCTGCATAGATGAATGTTAAAGATCCTGTTAAAGAATGTTAAAGATGGAGTTTCTCCCGGTGTCCTGGCCAATCAATCCCCCAAATAAAGTTGGTCATCCAATTTTTATTGATTGTGGGGAATATTCTCATGTGTAAATTGACTGCCGGTTTCACCTCATGTACATAGTCACTACGTACACTTTACAGTAAATCCTATGAATCTCTTTAATATGCCCTCCCATTGTGAGAGGCACTACATCGAATGCAAGGATTATTATTTTCAGTCAGTGCCTTCTGAAGAATTGGAGGAGAAAAAATATATGGGTAGGAAACCCAGCATCCCCCAGGACATTGAAATTAACAGAACATTAAGGTTTTAGACACTGGAGGGCAGTATTTTACTGAGTTTGTCAGCCATCATGAGTTGCCTGTAGGAATAGAGTAGCTACAGATTTTAAGTTAAGTTTCCTTTTGTGTTGGGAATGGGCAGTGACTGAACATTCGTGTGGTATTTCTGTCACTTCATTTTAGCCAAATGCATCGACCATTACACTAAACTTCGCGTTGAAAATGGGGAGCTCCCTGACGCTGAGGAGAAGCTGATTGACCCACGTCTGGAAGGTATCGTCAACAAGATGTTCCAGCGGTGCTTTGATGATCACAAGTACAAGCAGGCAATCGGCATCGCCCTGGAGACCAGGCGGCTCGATGTCTTTGAAAAAGTGGTTCTAGAGTCGGTGAGTGTTTCTTTATACATAATCCTCAAACAAAATCAGTTGAAGGGTAGGGTTCACCTTTAATTCCAGTTATATAGTTCAGGTTGCAACTCAGTTTAATGAAGTTATATCCTGTATGCCTTTTGGCAGTTTCCTGTTTGAATGGACTATCTGTTTCAGACTGTGCGCAGTGCAATAACAACATGCATTATATAGAATCCTTCACGTAGGAGAGTATCTTGGAGCGCAGTCCAGGCTGGTGGTTACCTGGTAATGCTCAATGAGGGCTGGCACGGGATGCTGGATTAGCATCCTTTTTTTGTATTAGATGGTCTTGCTTTCACGTGAAACGACTAGGGATCTGATTTGCTGCAGCTGAGAATTGTCTTAATTGAACTTTTGTCTTCACAGAACGATATTTCTGGGATGCTTGCATACAGCGTGAAAGTCTGCATGTCACTAATGCAGAATAAACAATTCAGAAATGAAGTGCTACGGGTCCTAGTCAAACTCTACATGAATCTTGATAAACCAGACTTCATTAATGTTTGTCAGGTAAATAATAATAACATTCCTTTGCATTTGATATAGCGTGTTACCACGTCATTCAGACATCTCAAAGCGCTTCACAGGATATACTGTAAAGTGAAACAAAAGCAGAAGTCGCTGGGAACACTCAGCAGGTCAGGCAGCATCTATGGAGAAAGAAAAGTGAATCAATGTTTCGGGTCCATGACCCTTCGTCAGAACTCATTCCCTGAAGAAATTTTGACTCGATTTCTATTCTATTTCCAATATAGTTGCAAGGATGTCCGTATAAGGAGGTATGCAAGTGGTCTTATCCTACTGTGTGTGTATCTGCAAGGAATAATGACTCAGTCTGAGGACACATTTAGAGAATTATGTGCACTTGCTACATCAGGCCTCTGTGATTGTTTGTTTTCTTGAACAGATGATCTGTACCTCCATCCCTGTGAATAGGAGGTGCATTGCGATGTCAAGATCTGCTTTACAGCAATGAGAGCTCCACTTGTCATTTTGTTTTTTCTCTCTGACCCTGTCTGCTATGTTTTAGTAAATCTTCCAACAGGACAATAAAAAGGGTTAATGTCTCTCATTCTAATTCTATGCATGTGGACTTTAGTTTATTCAATGTAGAAAAGTTGTAGTAAACATGTTACTTTATGAGGTTTTAAGCACTTAAGAGAGATTGGATTAAGAGAACAGAGCATTATTTCATGTTCTCCTTGTACAGTTTTATTATTCTGTAAAGTATGAGTAATAGGTTAATTGTTTGACGGTTATATAGCACCAAATATGAGTGTTTGAAACACCAGTAGGTGGCAGATGTATGTTTGTTGATGTTTTGTTAAACTTTCAGTTAAGTTACCGAAACATGGGATCTTACCGATGGGTCTGATTTTTTTGTTTCTGCAGTGCCTCATTTTCCTGGATGACCCCCAGGCAGTGAGTGATATCTTGGAGAAGCTGGTAAAGGACGGCAACTTGCTGATGGCCTATCAAATCTGCTTTGACCTATATGAGAGCGCCAGCCAACAGTTCCTTTCCAGTGTCATCCAAAACCTGAAGACTGTAGGCACTCCTATTGCAGTGGTGCCAGGATCCACCAACACTGGCACTGTGCCAGCAACTGAGAAAGACAGGTAAAGCCATGGCGGACCCTCAGAAATGCCATGAATCCTAAAACTGACACTGCAGTTTTCTATTTATGAACTGTGGATTCGCCTTACACCTGAGGTGATTGGTGGCATTCTAGCTGAATTGTAATAGACATTTTATGGCATCTTGCTCGGTGGCCAAAGAGAGTCATGAAAGGGAAGAGAAGGGATTGGTCTGCTAAAAGCTGGATAATATGAAATGGTATGTTCCCAACAGCTTCAGCTTTGATTAATTATCTTGTCACTAATTGTACTCTACTAGTTACAATGATCAATCATTGTGTTTCTGAATATTACAACAACAACAACAACTTGGGTTTATATTGCGTCCATCACCCAGAGCGCTTGACAGTGGCGGAGCACGACACCGAGCTGGGGGGAGTGGGGAGGTGGTCGAACAGTGAGGTCTTAAGGCGCAATCTGAAGATGGGGAAGGGAGGGATAGAGGAAGAGCACAAACAATAGGTTTATAACTGGTGCAATGGCCTCAGTGCTGAGGTTATAAACTTCAGTGTTGGCTTTGAGTGCAGTCCAGAGTGTGAATGAGCTATGCAGCAGTTTGTTTTATACCCAGGATTCAAGGGAGTGAAGAGAGCGAGTCCAGTCCCACCCTGAAACTGAAAATCGGACAACTGAAATGTGTTCAGTGGTCCGTGGCTCCACAACCTAGTAAACTGCAGGGTTTAGACTAGAGCAACCTGTGGTGAATTATAAGTTCAGTACTATAATTACAATAAACATTTATCAATGTGTTTACAGTTAGTTTTATGATGGATGATACCGTTGGGTAAATTAATCGCTGAGATCTAGTAATGGGCTTTTTGGCTTCAACATATTACTCCCAAAGTAGATTGATGTGACTTTCCATAAACTACTTTTTCATTTGCTTCTTTGTTGTCTGAATCTCTTTCATGCTTGTAAACGTGTACTGAAATACTCAGCCGGCCTGTTTAAGGAAAACCCTTTAAATGCATCAAACTCAGGCCCATGTTGGGTAAGGTGTTGGATGATACTGAGCCTGGAAGATAGAATCCCAGTCCATGCAGAAGTAGCTAATCTCAGCTGGGGTTCATAAAGCCCAGTGTCTCCGGGTTAGGGAGTGGGGATAAGACCAACAACAACAAATTCATAACATAACATGTGGAGCAGGAGTAGGCCATTCAGCCCTTCGAGCCTGCCCCGCCATTCAATCATGGCTGATCTTCTAATCTAGAAAATCTAGAAATAAATTCCATTTATATTGCGTCCTTAACGTCAGGAGTCTGAATTCCTGCTTCTGATTAATATCCAATGTTTACTGTTCCTACTGGAAACTCACTTACCCACCCGTACGACTCAATTTACCTGTGAAGGTGATTACTTAATATGAAGCTTATGGATTCAAACCCCATCTCAAGATTTGAGCTAGGTCTAGGTTGACATTCAAGTGCTTTATGGGGGAGGGAAGTACTGTCAACGTTTCTGCCTTTTCGATAAGGCACAAAAATGGGGCCTGTTCTGGTGTTCAGGTGTATGTCAAAGATCCTGTGACACAATTTGAAAACAAAATGAGGCTTCTCCCAGTGTCCTGGTGAATTGCTTATTCACCTCATGCAACCTTCTTCTGTTCTGTAGTGAAAAAAGAATAATAAGCAATATTTTGAATTCTATCTTCAGTGAAGTCATGGAGACAGATGAAAAGTCGGGAAGTGCCTCGCCAGCATCTACAAAAACTACAGAAATGGTAAGAGATTTGTAGCTGTTTATTGAGGAATTTATGTAGAAAAAAAATAGAGCGTACCAAGTATGTATGTATTGGGGTGGCAAGGAAAGGTTCCATCTCACTCATATGTTGAAGATGCAAGGTCAGAATCCAGGCCAGATAATGAGGATTTCTGAGCTGTATGACTAAGAAAACAAAACGTCTATAGGATAGAACAAGCATAATGCCATCCAATATAAAGTTGCTTGATTAACACTCGTATCAAGACTCACTTCCTCTCTTCCCAAAAATAAGTACTGTGGCCGCAGTATATACTTCAACACCAACAAATTGCATTTATATAACATCTTTTTCACGTTGGGAGAATGTAGCAGCAACTTTTGTTCGATAGTATCTCCTGGCCCAGTGACCTCCACCATCCCAGAGAACACTACCAGCTTCTCTAAATTTCTCACTGTCCTAATTTGGACATATATCATCCTTCCCTCATAGTCATTGGGTTAAAAAATCCTAGAACTCTTGACCCAACATCATTGTGGATTACCATTACAAGGATACAGTTTAGAGAGAAGGCTTTGGTATCACCTTCTCAGGGCAACTAGGAATGGACATTAAATGCTATAGTGTAGCCACATCCCTATTGCAGTACCTGGGGACTGCTCAGTTGTCAGATAAGAAGTTAACCAAGGTTCCATCTCACTCATATGTTGAAGATCCAAAATAGGCTATTTAAAACGAGAAGAAAGTTTCTACAAGTCTCCAGATTAGTTGGTTATTGCTTTTGTGGTCACTTGTGGAGCCTTGCTGGTACAGTGGCTTCCATGTTTGCCTGTCAATACAGTCACTGACCATAATTATCTGTTAAGTGCTTTGAGACTTTTCGAATTGATAAATGTTATAAGAGTGAGGTACAATAGTTTAACGGATTTTTTAAAATGTTTTCAGAGCCCAGAGTCCAAGGCTTTGCAAGATCAAAACACAAAGATGATCAAGATTCTGAGTGGAGAGATGTCGATTGAGTTACATTTACAGTTTTTAATACGAAATAATAATACCGATCTTATGATACTAAAGAACACAAAGGTAAGCGACCCATCTGAATTTCAGTTCGCTCTGTGTCTCGATCATGTTGATTCCTTCTAACTCAAGAATTTTGATATATTTCTTAGGATGCCGTAAGAAATTCTGTTTGTCACACAGCGACAGTGATAGCAAACTCTTTCATGCATTGTGGAACCACAAGCGACCAGTTTCTCAGGTAAAATAACAGGTTTGACTGTATTAAATACATTAGAAAAATGAAAAAAAATGCGATTTTCAAATGAAACTAATCCAGAATTGACAGTATATGCGGTCATTTTTGTTGCTGGTGAGATTGACTTTTGCATGTTTCTACAGAGAGAATCTGGAATGGTTGGCAAGAGCCACGAACTGGGCTAAGTTTACAGCAACAGCCAGTTTAGGAGTTATTCACAAGGTAATTAATTACTTAGAATGATGTTGAAGTACTTAGAACATTATTGAATAATAATAATCCTTGCTTTTGATGTAGCGTCTTATCATATCTTCGACACATCTCAAAGCGATCCACTGTAAAGTGAATTAACTGTTTATTTTGTGGGCGAAACATGGTAGCCAATTGCACACAGCAGTGTCCCACAAATAGTCATGGATTGAGTGATCAAATTATTACAAGGAACTCCCTTACCCTGTTAAGTGACATCCATATTTCTCAACGGAGGTTATGCGCATGTCTCTGGCTGACCTTTTCCAGCTCCTGCAAGTGTTAAGAGTTCACATGGCACAGCTGGATCTTATCAGTTCAATCTGCACAGAATAGGAATCGAGCCTGGAACTTTCTGGGCTCTATGGTTCAATACTACATGCCGAATGCATTTACTCTGAGCCCAAGGACCACATCTGGACATAATTAGACTGAAAACACAATTGTTGTTGAAGAGATTTCATGTTTGATAAATATAATAAATATATTAAATACATATTGCATGCATAGGTACTTACAGAAATCTGAAGCAATTTGGTGTAAAATGTGTGTTCACAGGGTCATGAAAAGGAAGCGCTGCAGCTGATGGCCACATATTTACCCAAGGACTCTTCACCCGGCTCAGCTTACCAGGAGGGAGGAGGTCTGTACGCACTGGGACTCATCCACGCAAATCACGGTGGGGACATTATAGACTATCTACTGAACCAGCTGAAGAATGCAAGCAATGATGTAAGTGATGATGGCTTAAACTTGATCGAGTGAGAAATGCAAGTTGCCATTTTCATCGTCTCTGTGGGCAGCCCTCTTAGAAGAGAAGTAGTGTTTAAAGGAATGATAAAATCTGATGAGAATATGTAACTCTACAGTACCTGTGAATACACGACTGTATCTCTAGCTGCCTGTGCCCAGGTATGGACAGTGTGTAACAAAGATTAGGTAACCTGGTGCTGTACTGTGATCAATAGGTAGAGAACAAGATCTTCAGTTGACCTTCCCTCAACATGTTACATATAAAAGTGGCAGTAATTGATAATTAGGATCTCTTTATTGAAGGAGGAGGAAAAATTGATAAAATGGAAATAAATGTCACCAAGACTTGACTCATAAATTAGGTTTATAGTGCAAAATATATTACTTTCTCTTCGTGCACTATACACTTGTATATAATTGCAACAGTCTTTTTGTCTAGATTTGGGCAATTGCCCCATTCAATGCTTTTCCTTATTCTTTTCGACATCTGCATTAGTTTACTTTAAGCTGCTTGATTGCATAAATTTGGTTATGTATCAATCAGAGTAAAACCATGTGCTTCTAGTGTCACTGAAAGTATAAAAAAACTCCAGAAAGCTATCCTGCCCAAAGAGCACTATAATGAATGCAAGTTGTTATTGTTTTAGATTCCATCTCCCTGAGCACTTTGTTTTTCCTATAGATTGTGCGCCATGGTGGATGTCTCGGACTTGGTCTGGCTTCGCTGGGTACTGCGCGGCAGGATGTCTATGACCTGCTCAAAACAAACCTGTATCAGGATGATGCAGTAACTGGTAAGGAAGGAGAAATCTTGTTCGTTGATTGCCGGTTGTTACATGTTTTGAACCAAGAGATGCTTTATCTCCTGAGATAGAACACTTTGCTGTGAAGCACGCTGCTCCAAGCCTACCTTTATAAAAGAAAATTGTCAGTTGTGATCAGTAGACTCCTGACTCTAGTCCTCCTGATTGGGGAAATGGGGAATTGTGAATATTTTCTATGTTTCGCCTTGCTGCCATTGTAGTCGGATGATTTACTGTGTGGGACCTGTTAATGCTCATTTTCTTGCCCTCTGCAGGTGAGGCGGCTGGCTTGGCTCTAGGACTTGTCATGTTGGGCTCTAAGTCTGCACAAGCAATTGAGGATATGGTGGGCTATGCCCAAGAAACACAGCATGAGAAGATTCTTCGTGGCCTGGCTGTGGGCATAGCTATGGTGATGTATGGCAGAATGGAGGAGGCAGATGCATTGATCGAGAGCCTCTGTCGGGATAAGGTAAAGGCACAAGGATTCTTGACATTGTAGAAGTTGAAAGCTGTAAAGGGCTCAATGAGTGAACTCAGTTGTCTGTAGATACTTACTTGAATCATCTCTGAAATACTGTTTGAGCAATACTTGAGGAGAATTCTCAAATCACTGAAAATATAAAAAAATCTCCAGAAGGAGTGAAATTGATCTGAAGTATTTATTTGTTCATAAATAGAAGGTATTTCAAATGAAAAACTCAATTCCCAGATATGTCTGCCCTGTCAATATATTCAGTGATAGATTGTGCTTCTGCGCTTTATAAGTTTTATAATTTCTCTGTACAGGATCCCATTCTCAGACGTTCCGGGATGTACACGGTTGCAATGGCTTATTGCGGTTCTGGGAATAATAAGGCGATACGAAGACTGCTGCACGTTGCGGTAAGTAAGAACATCAGTAGCAAGGAAAAACAAAAGGATTTTATTTTTTTCTCTTAAAAAAATTAAATGCACTGCATGTAATGTTCTATATTATAAATTAATATGAATTATTTATACATTTTATATACTTTGCTGTGATAATATTATCAAGTTAAACTAGAATAGTCCTAAAAGTTTAAATATGATGAACAGTTACATTATATACAAGGAAGAACTACTACAGCAGGGATAACTGCTATAATTTGGTTTGTTATCTATGGGATCGCAAACTTTCAACAAAGTTGAGGGAGAGTGAGAGAGGAACTATGACTTTAATCCTGGCCAGAAACATCTTAAATTCAAGTTGATTAAATAATTACTGCATTTTCCAACTGCATGATTGGTATTTTCAGTCACTTTACAAAATCTCCTTTTTAAAATTAAAACCCCAGTTAGTGTTATTTGCTTCAAATGCGCGAGATAAACTGCTTAAGAGACCAGGTGCCAAATTGGCAGTACTGGGGAATATAGGGAGGAATCAAGGCAAAAGATTATTTAACACTGAGTAGAGAAAATAAACAAGATAATTCAGGCAGTTTTAGTGATTTTATTTTTCTAAATTATGGCGAATGGCTTTTTTAAATTCCAGATTGGATCATGAGCAAAATCCTTCCATGTTAAAATTGGAAATGCAGAATACAAGCTGCAGAGTAATAATAATAATAATAATAATCCTTGCATTTGATATAGCGCTTTTCACGTCGGGAGGACGTCCCAAAGCGCTTCACAGAACACACTGTAAAGTGAATTGACTGTATATTTGTGGGCAAACGCGGCAGCCAATTGCGCACAGCAATGTCCCACAAACAGTCGTAGATTGAAAATGACCAATTTATTATTGTTTTTGGTTTTTGGAGGGATTATTATTAGGCTCTGTGTGGAGTAAGGAAACTTGCCCAAGGTTTCGCCCTCTGCCTGGAATTGAACTCAGGTCTCTCGCTTGCAAAGCGAGTGCTCTAACCACTGAGCTACAGGACTCCACAGAGTAGCTCAGAGAACCAACATGTACCTTTGCCCAAAATGCGTACACAAATTTGTAATTAGCTGTTTAAAACCGGATTCTTTTAGTTTTTTTTTGCCTGTTCTACTTTGTGTTGAATGATTTCTGTGGCTGACTCTGGGCATTTCTCGAATATTACTTGCAATGAGTATATGAGGAGCTGTCTCCACACTGAGGGTGTTGCTTTGATCTTTTAGGTGAGTGATGTGAACGATGATGTCAGACGAGCTGCAGTGGAATCCCTTGGATTTATTCTATTCAGGTACAATTCAATTATTTCTAGATAAAATTGGGTGTTGCGTGTTGGGTTTTGCCATTTCCGTCTACTACCACATGGTGTCCCCAGTTTGCACGTATCTGCATGGGAGCTATGAAAATCACATCACCACCGATAGGAAAGTATTTTCCTGATTAGAAGCAATCCCTCTCTGTATACACAAGGAAATTCCTTTCAGTCTATTTAATCTTTCCACTTCTCCACCAGACATTCTATCGCCGATTGCTTCCCTGAGCATTACACAGTCTGGTTTGGCCGAGCCTTCAGCTCCCCTCTCGACTCTCTTCCCCCTCCTCGCTCCCTCCCTTCCCTCCCCTCACCCTGACCATTTCCCCCCTCCTCGCTCCCTCCCTTCCCTCCCCCTGACCATTTCCCCCTGCTCGGGTCCTGACCCAACTGTGCAGCGCCTTGGGACGTCCTCCTGACGTGAAAGGCGCTTTATAAATGGAATCTTGTTGTTGTGGTTCCTTGTTGTCAGTTGCGACTGAAGTGAGACTCAAGTGTCATTTTAGACTAGTGAAAATACACAAGTATTGGCTTCCTTCTGCCAGGACAAAAATGCTCTCCTCCCCTTGAAAATACGTGTCTGGGTGAGATTAAAGTTCGGTTTCCATTTAGAAAATTGTATTTAATCAGTTGAAAATAAAATATAATTGGATACGTTCCTTGTTGAATATAAAAATACTGAATTACTTTGTGATTGTGCCAGATCTGAATTTATAGGCCATGTGTGCTGATTATTAGGAGACCCAAGTTCAAACTCTGAATTGATTTACTTTGGACTCAGTTACTTTTTGGTCAATTCCACATCATCTGAGGGAAGAAAGGAAGAGAAAACTGCTGGGGAGGATGTTCTTTCCCATGCGATCTGATGCTTCTCCTGGTGGCCTGACCCAGGAGTAATATTACTAAGAAGCAAATATTATCACTTGCCTTTGGCAATGCACCTATTGTATCGAAATACTGTACCTCAAAAAAGCACCCTTCGAAAAAATGAAGTACTTTGAAGGGTGGATTTTATAGTCATAAATGGAAGTAAATCTGTTCCAATAATGGCCCACAAATAGCAATAAGACTATTGAACACTTTTAATCTTTCTTGTAAATTTAGTTGAGGGAGGCCAGGACACTGGGAAGGTCTGCTGTTCTCTTCTAAATGATATGCCAGGATTTGTTATCTTAGCTTGAACCAGCTGGTTTCTCGGTTTATCATCTCATTTGGAGGGTGGCACTTACCACTTAGTTGCTCACTATCATCACTTTGCAGAAAAAAAATGCTTTGAGGTATTTTGATGATGTAATAAGACACATTAATTATTAGTTTTATCACAGGTGTTTAGCAATTTGTCATATTTACAATATTGCACTAAATTGGTACTGGACTGAGACGATTAGATCAAGGGATCAATCAGCACAAAATGGTTGTTGCGCTCTTTTGAAACTTTTGTTTCTATTCTATGGGGATAAAATATCAGAAGTTTATTCAATGAATGGTATTATCCTATCTTTATTTTCATTATTTAATTTAATCGCTCTAAGACGCTACACTGCACAAAGAGTGCTCTAAATGCAAGTTATTATTATACTGCCTATAAGTTTTAGAGCATGATGAAGAATCTTTGGACATGCTTATTCAATTACAAAAATTCTTGTTGGTTATTTTTGACGTAGCTAAATAAAATGGTTAATTGTGCGGAGGAACATTCTGGTGTGGCCATGTCTTCAAATGTTTGTAACATTAGACTCCATCTTTCAGAACTTTAAGTTATGAGCTGTGATAATTTGTTTAATGATAGTTTACATTCCTGCCTGCCTAAATTTCCTTGGAGGGAATAAAGGTGACGTCTGATCAGAGTTGTTATTACTTGTTGAGCCAGGAATGATAGACCACCTGAGCACAATAACAAATGTTGGAGAATTCCAGGACCGAAGCCAGATGATTTGTTCAACCATTGTTTTTGTGAAAAAGAGCTGAGATTGACTCGCTACAATTTTCTCTATATTTATTCTCCAAGGCAATTAAAATGATTGCTCAGCATTTAGTCATCCTCGTTAAATCTCTTCACTTCCCAGAAAAATACCCAAGGGGTAGGACAGATAGAGATCAGTGACATTATGATGTTGGGTTAATTAAAAGCCTTTTGACAAAATTCAATTTGAATCTTCTAAGAATGAATTTCAACAAAGTCACGTGATTCTTTGAGCATAAGACAAGCAAAATTGGGTAATAATAGGAAACGAGAATGGCAAAGTTAGGAAGAGTTGAGTGAATGCCACAAGGGCCAGTGCTTAGACTTTTATTGTTTCTGATTTCCATGAATTGCAAGGAAACTGAAACATACTATAAACTCATGGCTATCTGTGGAACATTGCTATACCCAAATTGGCTACCGTGTTCTCTTACGTAATGTATGGTCACGACACTTTGCAGTATAGCCTGAGAAGTTAATTATTATTATAATAAGTTCCTTGAAACATATTTCTGATGTGAAAGGCATTAGATCAAATGCAATAATATTATCATTAATAATTGGATAACCTTGGCACAAGAACAGGAATGGTAGGGATGGAAGATGCAGAAACATATTTGCAAAAAAGATTTTGATTGGTTGTGCAATGGAGAGAAATGTGCCAACTGAAAAGTAACACTGAAAAATGTAAAGCATTATACAGAGCTTGAAAAATGTGGGATGTAAGTACACAATGAATGTGGCTGATTTACAGTTGGGGAAACTTGGAAAGGGACCTAGGAGTAATAGTAAGTATGGCTCTTTCAATGTCTAGATAATTGCTGACACAATTGAAGAAACAAATAAAATACTGAGGAATCTACAGATGTTAAAGCTGTGTAAGGCCACATCTAGAATACTATGTTCAGTTTTAGGCACTGCATTGTGTGAACAACAACAATAAAAGAATGCTCCTAAGTATAAAGTAGGATTAGAGAAACCTAAACCAAGAAAGTAGGACCAGAAAAACTGCATGGAAATTAGTGAGCAGAAAAACTAGATTAAAGATATTAAAATTTTAAGGTGGACAGATTCCCCCACCCGTTCCTAAAATATTTTGTGTGTCCTACCTACAAAAGGGAGGTACTTATTGATCTGATAGGCTTGTCTGTCTTAAATACACTATCCCATATTGTATCCAAGGCATCCACTAATTTAGAAGAGTTAATAACAGTAGAACAGAGGACCCCACCAAAAATGGAAATTTAATAGCTTTTAATTTAAAAATTTAATTTAAAAGCATAAACACACAAATATTTTGCATATGTTTATCAGTAATGAATGACAATACAGCAGCAGATCCCATTGATTGCCAAGTATAGCAAATGGAATTCAAATACAGGCATCTTCCAGACTAAAATTTAAAATGGACTTGTTCACGTTGTGCTGGCTGATTGGGCAGAGGCTTCCCCTTGCAGTGCCTTTGTCTCACTCAATCTAGGATTGGCAGACATCAGCTGCTTTGCCCAATAAAACAGAAGAAAAAGTCTGTTTGCAGATTAGTCACAGTGATACTATCTGGTATAGAAGCTCCAGGGAAGAGTTGGTAGATGGACTTCTTAGTTGGTGCGCAATGTGAAAAATGTAGCAAAAGAGAAATGAGCCTCGGATATATTTCTGCTGTGGAACCAGTTTAAACCCAGAGTGAGTAAAACAGCCGACTGGGTTAAATGACTGCGTGACAGCAATACTCGATCCATGAAAGACATTCCACATAATTAATTAATCTGGGTTTGCCAGATTTTTCCTTCAGTTCTGAAAGGAGGACTGTTCGTATTATAAACTCAATATACTTGGAGGAATACTTACAAATGGCAGACACCTGAAATAGACTCTCTCCATGGCATTGCAAATGAAAACTATACTGATGAATTCACACCCTGTGTGAAAGCTAAGCAAAGAGAATTTAAAAATAACAAGGAATGAAACTACAATCTTAACTGATTATACCTGAGGGCATAATTTCAGAATATAAAATTCTTTGGCCCTTCAATTTCTCCCTTTTCCTGTTCTCGATAATGTTTAACTTGGGATGTGGAAAATAATAGAACAGCTTTTTCTGTCCACCCACCCCTGAATCAGTCCTATCGTGGATTGCAATCCAATTGAAGGATGATTTTAAAAATGAAGCCATAACTGTATAATGACTCCATACAGTCAGTTGGTAGAGACATTCAGAAATTATGTTTTTTTTGTTTCAACAAAGACTGAGGCGCAGCTTGACGAACAAATGGGAAACAAGAGCCCAATAGGCCAAAAGCCTAAATGTCCCAAAGGTGGACAGTTCCTTTGGGAAAGTCGATTGCTATACTTTGGAAAAATAGTTCCCCCAAAAAATGAAACCGGTATTTTAATTTTATAAGAAATCTGCTTTGATCAAGACATGCTGACGTAAAGCAGCTTTGAAACACGGGAATGTGCAAGAGTAGAAGCAACCATTGCGGTCCGTCTGGTTAGTTCTGGTTTCTAAATACCGTTCCTCATTATCTTGTTTGCCCCATTCTCCCCCGCAATCAAATCTATTAATTCCTTCTTGATATTATCAACGCTATCCGCCTCCACCAGCTTCCTGGGCAATCTGTTCCACATCTTTGCTACCCTCTTAAAGTACTCATTTCAATTACCTCCCATTGATAACATTATTTTCCTGACTCACTGGTGTATTGTAGCTATGAGCCATTCGGTGCGTGAAGTACAATTTCTGAATGATGCTGAGTTCTTCGAGCTGTGTTACAGATATGACAGCAGGCTACAGCGCACCCCTCCTCAATATAGCATAATGTGTTGAAATTATTTACAGGAGACATTTGATGGTAAAATATTGCATTTGATCTGACTGATTATCCTGTAACTTTATTTGTGGTTGGAATTATCACCCTGCTTCGAGTTTCACGTCGGAAATGATGATTTTGTACCACCCATGTTGGATTGCGTCTTGTCATGAAGTAGTGCTTGTCCAAGAAATCTCTGGACTGCCTGTTCAGTAGATTTGTAGCCAAATTCAGAAACTGTGCAGATGATCTGTGACTGGATAAACAAAGTGATTAAATCAGTTACTAAAAAGTTTACATTTTGTAAATTGGAAAGGTTGATATGCGTGGTGTTTATATCCTGTGGGACAGCTTCCTGCCAGCATTCCTTTTCATCTTTTGCGCAGTGCCATTTATCTCACTGCCTTTATCTCAAAAGCAGTTTGTATCGAGAGAATGATGTGTAGAAAGTAGCTTTTTAAACCCTTCCGCAGCAGTGGCAGGAGCTCATTAGTATACCAATCGCGTTAATAGCACTCCTCCGTAATGGTGACCTTCATAGTGCTTGTTCTCAGCCCACTCTTAGTGTTTTTTATTGCATTCTTGTAGTTATTCCCTCTTTTATCTTTCTTACTCTATGTTGTATAAATTGACATCGTTGCTGATTTCATTTGTTATGGAATATTGGTTATAGAATAGCATATTACCCCGTACTGGGATTGAAGGTATTAAAGCAATTGCAACCTATTCAGGGTCTGGTTGTTGTGGTGTCGAGCAGCGAGTTGCCCGGCGTTGAGCAAATTAATGTTGATAGCTTCTAAACTTCTTTTTCATCAAGAATGGTGGAATTTTCAGAAATAAAAGTTAAGTGATATACGGAGTCATCAGTTGGTTAGCGATGTGGGTTACTGTCTGCAAAAAGGTAAATGGATTGTTCCTCAAAGCTTTGTTTTAAATATGGATTAAAATGTGCTCGCTGTTGGGCAGAGGTTTCATTCATTAGTTTTGTGAGCAAATCTGACATGTCCATTCTGCTGTCTTTGATCATGGTGATCTGATTATTTATTTTAAAAGTTCCTGTTTAAGAGGATAAGGTCTGGCAGATTACTAAGTGGAATGAGTGTTAACTGTGTGTTGTTTTTCAATTTCTGGTTAGCAATTTCTGCAGGTCAGACATGGAGCAAAATTTAGTACTTTACCTCCACTGCAAACGTTATTACTGTTATTTGAACAAGTACAAGGTAGATAATAAATTGTTTAATATGAAGCTTTGTGCAGCAATTGATGGTTTTAGTTGATAATATAAGAAAACTGTGAGCAGGAGCAATCCATTTGGCCTTTTGAGCCTGTTCGTACCATCAACTTTGTTTACTACACTCTTATGGCCCCTCCCCAACCTCTTTCATTTCCCTAGGAGCACTTTCTCCTTTCTTCTCAGAAGATAAATTGAAATGCACTCTGATAAATCTTGCAGCTTAGTTGGACGATAATGGTCTCTTGTTCTGTACATTCCTATGTTCCTATGACGTGGAATTTCCATAGTCCCAGTGGCTCGAGGCATTATGTTCCATACAGCATTCCATCATATCTCTTATGTACTTATCCGTGGAGTTCTAAATCTGTTCCCAACCAGATATTTACCCCTTCTTTAGGAAAGGAAAATGATTGACATAACATTAACTGTTGTAGACAGATCCATTGGAAGAAAACAGTATAAATACAGTACTACACTTCAGGTTTGCTTGAAGCTAGTTTCCCCCTGTTGATTCCAACCCTAGCTAGGGTACAAACCCTTCACTGTGCCTTGGGACATTATTCCAATGTGGAATGCATTATATAAATGCAATTTGTAGTTGTTGTTTCTGTTTGTTTGATATGGATTGTGCATTTCCCTAACCCAAAGGTGCTTAACCTAACCTTGGAGAGTTTAGGTATAGGCTGATAAGAGCCAAGACTTGAGGATTCCAGTGAGATTTTGCTGGAGTTTAATCAGCTGAAAGAAACCGCACAGTTTACCACTGAGAACACTGACAAACTTGTCCAGCTAAATCCATCCTCCTGTTAGGGCTTTGCCTTTCAAGTTAACAAGAGCTGAGTTGGAAAAATCCCAGCCCTTAGTTATGGGCCAGGATGCAATCCATTTACAAGCCAAGCTGGTCAGTCATCAACAGTGCTGTGGAATACTACAGACCTGCCTGGCTCAGGAACTGGACTACTGAGACAATCACAGATCAACTGGCTTCCGATATTTTATTGCCAGGTATGTCATCTTGATCTCAGATTGACCACAAGAGTTATCTCCGCACCCCTTTCCATGGTAGTGCATGTTATAAGTAAGTAAAGAGTGTCAGAACATACTGTCAAGTTTACTACAGCTCGTGTACAATTTAGTGCTCGGAGTAACTGGCAGAACACTCATTGATGTAGTATTGTCATGGAAGTCAGTATGATAGAAGTATCAGTGCTTCAGTGTATGTAGATCTATTTGCATACTCAAGGTGTACTCTGCAAGAGATATGCTGCAGCCTGCACTGCAACACATTTATTTTTATTTGCCTTACCATTTTTGGCATTCTGCTTCCAACCAATGAATTAAATCCTGCTTTCAATTTGTGGACTTTCTCCACTGGACTGCAATAATACCATTTAAATCTGGCACACTGATAAAAGCGAGTTAACAACTCCTCTTCCCCCTGAAATTGTCACTGTTACATCTATTTTAATACAGATCAGGAGGAGCTCACGGGTTTGAACTTTATCTCCAATCAGATAGCCAATTTGAGTTGGAATTTTAGCGTTGTAATTAATCCCAGCATCCTGGTGCTGGAGAGACTCCTGTCCTCTATCCAGCTTTGGCATCCCCCCCTCAATATACACAAACATGCACACACACACTGCTAGCTGTGACCATGATAGGTGGATTTGGTTCACTACCCCTATGAATGAATGGATTGCTTACACTCACTGTCAGTGTTCATAAACCAAGATTAACATCTTGCTGAGATATCAGACGAATTAGGTCTATGGACCTGTACCCCAGTACGAGTCATTGCCTTTGACGCAGATGGATACATAAAGGGAAATATTCTTGAATTTAGTGGCTGTTTTGTTGACACACATGAAGCTTCGGGGAGGCACTTCTGCAATAGGATGCATATAGAGTGGCCAGAACAACCCAGCTCATGGTGCCACAAGTGGAACCAGCAGTGTTGATGCTACTCTTGGGGACTGTAACATGGAGCTCACTTAACACTTGCTTCGACAAACTCACGTCCTGTAGTGTTTTTGAAACAAGGGGAATAGAAAATGTAACCATGGAATTGACTTATCTGTCCATAATTTTACATAATTGTATAGTAATTTGCCTTTGTTACTATAATTAAATGTACATGAATAGGGATTTCACCTCCAAGGGATGCAACAGTTCACATTAGTATTCAATTATTAGAGCTTTTGCTTTACAGTTTGAGTCGAAATAGATTTTAAAAAATCAGTCCTGAAGCATGTATACAATATTTCATCTTTTTAATTGTTGCAATGGAATCTCTTCAACTCCCAAAGGTCGAGTTCCTTTGCCAGACCAAGTTCACCTTGAGGAAGTCTGTGGCATTTTCTGTCCTAGCAAAACATTTGTTCTATCACCTCCAGTAGACTGTTGAGTTGTCAGTTGTAAATAGCAGTATCAAAGATAGGAGTCCTCTTCTCTTCACTGCAGTGTAATATCACACCATGTCTTTGCACATTTTTTATACTGTAGTATGTAAATCTAAACATGGATAGACATGGCTCATAAAATAACTGTTTGAAATGCAGAACAAAATTGTTCAGGATTCCATGGCTTTGTACTTCATTTTATAAATTACATCAATGTTAATGTTTCTAATAGGATAAGCCGTCTATGGCATGTCACATGGGATTTTACAGGAGTCCAAGTGCATTCAATTCAACCCCCTAAATAATGGCATCCAAAACCTATTCAGCCTGGGATGATGTACTGTAAACAACTATTAAAGTAACGTACCACAAAGATTATTATGCAATCTTCAAACATTTACCGGGTAAAGCTTTGATCCACGAGCTCGATCCCTGCACGCTGCAGATTTTAAATTGTTGGTATTGTTTCCCTCCCCACCACATACCCCCTTTTATACATAGCTCACGGCCTCTTCCGCTTTCTCCATTTCATTCTCAGCAAGCAGCAATGTGTCTAACATTACTGATGATGTGGTTTGGATAGGAGCAGACCTCAGCCGCAGAGGACTTGGATACATTGGGTTCAGCCCATTGTGTCTCATGAAGAACCTGGAATTCTCATTCATGGAAGTTCGAAATGAGATTCGACTGGAGCATTTTCTAAGCATTTTCACCGGTTTATTTCTTGCATAGTTGCATGTAATGTAATGCTGGAAAGCCTGGCGGAAGGTCTTATTGAAAAGAGTGTAGACAAGAGGATTAACCCCTGAGGAGACATAACCTACCCAGACAAAGATTTCCATCAGGGTTCCGATGAGTTCTGGGTCACAGCTCTTGCAGAGCACAGAAGTGACGTTTGTTACAAAAAAGGGGCACCACATCACCAAAAACAGGAGGAATACAATTCCTAGAACTTTGGATGCTCGCTGCTCATTGCTGATGCTCTGCATAGACTTTTTACCCAAGGTGGAGAGTCTTCTGATAGGCATGTCGTCAGTGGAGAGGGAAAGTGTCCTGTCCTTGTGGGAGCCATTTAGCATTGCCACCTTCTCTGGCGACGTGTTGGATTGAAAGACCGTTGAGACAGTGGCCCAGTTGAAGTGTTGGGGTGGCTTTGCTTTAATCAGATAGGCTTTCTTCCTCAGCACTTGAATTGTCAGGAAGTAAATAACGATCATGATAGCAAGGGGAATGAAAAATGCAGCCATTGATCCATAGATGATGAAATCTTTGAATTTATCAATTTTGAGGATGCAGGACTTGTTCATGAAGGTGTTTGTTTTATCTTGCAGACCTTTGATGGGAATTGAAACAGCAATGCCTGAATAAGACAATTATTTGGAATATGTTAATTGTTTATAAGCTGTTTTAAACGATTATTGATGCTGATCATGTAAGCAATACATTTGCTACGTAACACTTCTAAACTGGAGGTTATCAGTCTGTTAATTAAAAAATAAAAAATCAGTCACTCAATCCACGACTGTTTGTGGGACACTGCTGTACACAATTGGCTGCCATGTTTCGCCCACAAAATATAGTCAATTAACTTTACAGTATATTCTGTGAAGCACGTTGAGACTCTTGAAGACGTGATAAGGTGCTATATCAAATGAAGGATTATTATTATTACAAATTAGGTGGGAGTTTGCCTGTATGGTACCTGAATAAAACCTCTTTGAGTGTAAACTGTGTGCAGTCAGTAACTGAGAGCTAAAAGGAACTAAAAAAGGTTCCAGGCTAAATGTGTTGCATTTAGACCACATTTATGAAATTATATTTGGAAAGTCTCTCAATCACTGAAAACTTCTTCACCCTCCACCACAACCCCCCCCCATGATTTGCCCACTTCTAAACGCTCTCTGTGAGTCTGATGATTTGCATGCCTGGTATTGGTTTAATGATTTTCTTTCAAAAATCTAAATAATGTATTGCTATGGTATATATTGTATTTGTTTTAGGATTGTTGTCGTGCGCATATAAGTTTGGGCTCTGTTGCTGAGATACACATTCAGAGGCATGAATCCAGTACTTGCCAATTGAGATGAGCCACACCACAGTGATCTTAATGAGAACCTTGGCCCTAGAGTTGAAGCGACTGTGATGAATAGGCTTTTTAATAGCAATGTAACGGTCCAGCGAGATTGCACACAGGTGCATGATGGAGGCTGTGGATAGAAGGATATCCAGGAAGATCCAGATAGGGCACAGCTCAGAGGGTAAAACCCATTCGGAATCTGAAAGGCAGATTAATTGGTTAATACGCATGGTGATGTTAGTGAAGATTACAATAATACTCTTTGCAATACAATGATTACAATAATACCATAACATTTGCTTTTCGTTCAGTTTGAGCTGTTTTTCTCTTGCCATTGCTTCTAAGGCACTATTCTGTTGTCAAAATGAGATCATCCCAGTTGCTAAATACTAAATTCTCATTGTGTTTCCATGTGGTATAAAATTTATATCCTGTATAACTTATTTCCTGTTTTAAACTGTTTCAAACTGCGTTTAGAATTGACCTTTGCTTGGTTCTGCCAATCGATAGTAATCAGTGAGCACTAGCCGGTGTATTCTCTCTTTCCTTGGCAACGCTCCATTTGTAAGGTTATCAAACAAATACACTGTAGTCCTGTCATGGGAAATTGACTGATTGATGAGTGTGTTTTTAAAATGCTTCCTTAACCTTCCACTGACTAAAGTAGATTAAGAAGTCAGCTCTACTGCAGCAATAAACACTATGGCAGATGGAGATTTGCTATGTAATATAAGCCAGATGTTTTCCTTTAAATTTTAACCCACTGAGCCACATGGTCAAAATTATCACAAACTTACTTCCTCAGACGAACAAAAATGTTGCAAATAGGGCTTTCAAGAGGTGTGTGCAGAGTTGACTTTGAGACAGTGGAGATGAGGAAATATAGCAAAAATGAAGCTGATCAATAAAGTGCTCAACTCCCAATACAATCATTTGAGCAATGGTTAATTCCACAGGCAGAGATCAAAATTAAATTTCAACACCAGATTAGTGATTTTACCATGTCCAATTTACAGTTAGTTCTGGTCGGTGCTCAAGCTAAATGAGACATGCACTGTTTTCTGAAGCATGACCCTGTCTTTAATATGCTACAAGTTAGTGAAATGCAGCCCTTATTCAGATATTGATATTCTTTGGCTACTTTATAAGAAGCTCTGGGAATACAATACAAAATTACATTTGTATAGAGCCTTTCGCATCGGGAGGACATCCCAAGGCGATTATCTATCAGAGTGGAAGCTGGACTGTTTTACTTCCTTGCTATGCTCATCTGAAATCCAGTTGAAATTTTGCCGAGTAGTGTGCCTTGAATCCAGAACAAAAATGTAAGCAAGACTTTTATTTCAAGTTTCAAATTAAACTTGAAACAGTTAATGTGTGTGTAAATAAATGTTGGGAATAAACTTCCAGTGTTGCTGGTCATTCATGGATTGAAAGAGTCACATTTATTGCTTGAAAAAATATAATTCAAGCTTTGCAGCTGCAATTAGGTTAGTCGTTTTTTTCTATTATTTTCCAAATATTTTAAAAAGGATTTGTCTATTTAAAATAGAATAATTTGTATCACTGCTGACCCAAACCCCAGTCATTCAGTGGAATTAAACACAGGCTTTGGGTGTCTTTTTAAAATAAATTAACAGTGAAATCAAATTTGAAACCCTTATTGCTTGAATATTTGATTCCCTCAGTAATCAATCATTGTAGTTGCCCTGGTCATTTTAAGTAGTTGAAGTCTTGAGTTCTGTAATTTAGTGGTTCATCTGGTAATTTACTTTATTTTATAGATCGTATGGGGGTCATTGTTGGGTTATCTGTGATGTCCACATATCCCAAGTGACTTTCAAGCTGGTCCTAACCAATAGTATGGATGCACATTAAATATACATATATATAAAATTACAATCATACAGAATAATATCAACTGCTGAATAAGGAAATAATCCTCATCAGTAATGATTCATGTATGTTAATCCGAAGTGGAATAAGATGGATATTCTTCTTTCGCTCTGTGTGTTGCTTATGCAGGAGTAGTAAAATCTTTGTTTTTGTATAACTGGTATTCTGGTTTCTGGGTGGGTTACTACCACCAGGAAAGATGTTTGTTTTGCCAATTTAGTTGTAGACTCACTCTTTCCACCCTGTTGGAAATTGTCTGAGGGATTGTAAAAGACCTTAAACTCCACTTTCATGACATTCATGAAGTTAGAAGTATTAATCTTTGTAACAGAGTTCCAAAACAAATAGAGGCAGAATTTGTTAGTTGTTTTATGGAAGCATATGCTGCCATTGTCTCATACAGTGAGTTGTAAAGATGGTGCTGAATATTAGTTATATCAGCACTTAGGGAGTGAGATGTTTGAACAGCAAGATAGTTTGTACTGCACTAGAATGTGTTAAATTCTGGTTAAGGAAATAAAATGACAGTTGTTTAAATCAAAGTGCTTGAATTACTTCTGAGGTGAGAGATTTTAATTATGGTATGTTTCCATTGGGTACTATATGATTTCTTTTTTAAAAAAAGACTACAATGTGCACATTGCAAGTACATTTCTGATCTTTACTAAACCCATTTGACCTGGGTTTCTCTGCTAAAGGAACATTGTGGTTTTATTTTATGAAATGTGCAGGCTTTATTAAGCCAAAGGAGTTGAAGATCAACATTTGGCTTCAGCTATTTATAAAATTGACGGAGCGTTTTTGGTTTGTATGAATAGGTTCCCTTTCCTGATTGGGTTTGAAAGAAATTCGGGACAGTAATAATTTGTGAACACTAACTTATTTTAAAGATACAAGCACTTGCATTTATTATTAACTTGTTCCTTTATACATGTTTATGTCTCTGTGGGTTGACTGGCTCTGCAAATTTTCAGCTTGTGCAATGCGATGCTGAAGAACAACTAATCTTACAAATATATGGTTAGAACAATGACTTGAAATACTTTACAAAAACAATTCCAGACATGGAGGGGGAAAGTGATCATAATGACTGATGAGGAAGTAGGTTTTCAGGTAGTTTTCAGCATGGAAGGAGTTCTAGAAGGTAGGATCATAATAACTGAAGATTTGACAATCATCTGGCGGAGGGATTGGGCAGGAGTTTGGCAAACGAAGGGGACAAACAGTAGAATGAACCTCGAGAAGATCACAAAAATAGGGAGATGCAAGGGTATGAAGGAATTTGTACATGGGGATGAGCATCTTGAAGTCTCCTGTACAATAACGTATGTAATTTTGTAAACTTGTTTTACATAGTAAAACAATTCTTACTATCTCATGTGTAAGTACACTTGATATTTTAAAAACAAAATTAGAAAATGCACTATTTTTGAAGCCTTCTACTACTCCCTTTTCTTAAAATGTTAAAGAAATCAACAACTGATTTCACATGAATTACAGCATCCAGTATGCCACCCATTATCATCCCATTATCAAGCCCTTGAAGTCCTGTAGCTCAATGGTTAGAGCACTCGCTTTGCAAGCGAGAGACCTGAGTTCAATTCCAGGCAGAGGGCGAAACCTTGGGCAAGTTTCCTTGCTCCACACAGAGCCTAATAATAATCCCTCCAAAAACCAAAAACAATAATAAATTGGTCATTTTCATTCTACGACTGTTTGTGGGACATTGCTGTGCGCAATTGGCTGCCGCGTTCGCCCACAAATATACAGTTAATTCACTTTACAGTGTGTTCTGTGAAGCGCTTTGGGACGTCCTCCCGACGTGAAAAGCGCTATATCAAATGCAAGGATTATTATTATTATTGAACAGTCTGAACTGAATGTTAACATTTGCTTGTGTGACATATTCACTCCATTCAGCCTGTGATTACATGTAATTTCCATATCATTTGGCGTGTTACAAATATAACTAATGACTATTCATATTGTGTTCTTTTGAAAGATTTCTAGAAATATGTTGGCTCACGGTAAGCAAAAATGTATCTTGAGTTTATTCCAAAAAAGCCTTACATTTGATGCAGTGTTGCATTCATTATTCTTAGGAACGTATCAAGTATCCACTGAAATCTGTACTCCCGAATTAACTATTAACTATATTGGTGACACTGTCAGCAATGTGTTCAGACGAGGGATGATATAACCAATGGTTTCTGCTAGCAACAGGGAATTGCTGGACGTGAGCTATGATGGGCAAGAGTGGTGTCTTTTTTGAGTCCTAATAATAATCCTTACGCGCTTCACAGAATATACTGTAAAGTGAATTGACTGTATATTTTGTGTATGAAACACGGCAGCCAATTGCGCAAAGCAGTGTCCCACAAGCAGTCGTGGAATGAGTGACCAAATTATTATTTATAATTTTTTAAATATTGTTTAAAGGAATTATTACCCCTGGAAAGCGATCTGCCAATCAACTAACAACTGAGTTCCTAATTAACTAAATAATTTCTAATTAGCAGGAAACAGAAATACAGATTGGTGGACTGCTACATAGACTGGCTGAAGAGAGTATTTTGATTTACTGGTCTCATAATCATTTTCGTTTTGAGTTTTGTATCACCAAACATGCCTCTGTTTTAATGTGCTGCTATAGACCATGCAGCAACCTGCTTGTGGGATGGGGGCCATTGTGAGGTGGATATAGTGGAAGCCCAAACCGTGGTACTTCCCGCTTAGGCTGCGCTCTTTCTGACTCCGAAGGCACGCTAAATATGCCATGAAATGAATACCGCATCATTCAGGACGGTTGGTACAAGGGAAATGGACATTTTGAAACCAGTAGAGAATTTCCCACATAGCACTAAAGACTGATGAGAGCAAAGACCAGGGTAGCACACCATTCCAACTGTGTGTTTTCTTGTACTGGGTGTTTATGAAGGGCTAGGTATTTGTTTTGAAGGTATTATGAGCTGCTTCCTAGAAATAAAGTGTTTTTATGACTGTTTGAAGCAATGCTACCTGGGTGGTAGCTTGTTTTCAAGGTAATGTGAATCCATGTTCGCTCAGTTTTATTGAATAACAATTTTTTTCAGTTCTGTGTCCAACTGTTAGCTTTAAGGTAAATTATTAGAGCAAAGTAAAGGGAAGGGTTAGTGTTCAAATGGCATTAAATGATGTGGGATGGGGCTACTCCTGTTTTTTAAGGTTGGGTCATTAAACAGTTCTTTGAGATGGAGAAAAGTGTTCAAGGCCACTGCAGTAAAAAGCTAGATTTATTCACATTACTCAATCCAAATGTGTGGGAATGCTGATAAACAAACTAGTGGTTCCAAGACTTGCCCTGCTTGAAGGGCACTACATAAATACTAGTTGTTGTTTTAAAGTAAATGTTGTTAATCAGTTTTAGCTTCGTAAGTCGTAACCTGAATGACAAGTTCTGTCATTATATGTTCTACATTATTACTGGTTTTCAGTACTGGGGGATGCAAATCTGTTCATATTTACCAGTGTTGTCTATGGCTAGCCTATGGTGACCCTTCTCATTGAAGTTGAATGAGTTGATAGCACTCCTGCCTCTGAATAGGAAAGTTTTAAGTTCAAGCCCTACATTGGCCTTTGAACCCAGTCTAGGCTGACACTCCAATCCAGTGGGGTGTATTTTGTATGTATTGTCAAATGTGCTGTCCTTTGGATGAAATGTTAAACCACGGTTCTGTCTCCTTGCTCAAATGGATTGTAAAGATCCCATGGCACTACTTAACAAGAAAAAAGAGTTTCTCCTGATGTTCTGGCCAAGAATCCTCCACATAAAATTGGCTATTCACCTTATGAGACATTGCTTGTATGCAAATTGCAAACACCTATAAATTACGATCACTACAGTTTATAGTAAATCCTGTGAACTGCTTTGAGACATCCTCCCAGCATGATCAGTGCCATATCCAATACAAGAATTATTATTATTAATTTTACTTGAACTTGAAGCCCTCATGTCACAAGCACCATACGGAGCGGACCAAATGCTCAGATATTGCCTGCACCCTTCAAGCTAATTAGTAACCTGAATGACAACTTTCTTGCTTTTCAAAGTGACTTTCCTGTGTATTTGAAATGTTCATTAGGGTTGGACACAGTTGCTAAGAATAGATGGTTAAAGGCTACTTGCTCATCAGGGCTTGCTCTCATTAAACCAGAGGCTGATTAACTATTAGCTTTATGTTTGTTTCTAATAAGTCACACTGGCTACGCAGATTCTGTTCTGAGTGCTGGAACGCTGTCTCCTTTGTGATACCCTACACCTAGTTATGCATGTGTGATAACAGCAACTTTATTTCCAAATTTTCCAACAATGAGACTTATTTCATACTTCTTTCTTTTGCCTCCCTACTGAGCTCTGCCTCCTCTCACTTCACTTCTCCATCCCAACCAGTAATTTCAAGGGTCAGAGGTTGAGTTTTGATGTGGTATAGACCTAGATGAATCTGCTGTGCAGAGAAATTACTTGCTGTAATGCGATGTCACTTTGAGTTTAGTGCCTTTAACCGAGATGCTGTCCTTAGTGTCTTACCCTGAAACTCAGGCTGACCTTAGGGATGCTAGAGATGATGCAAGTTATGTGGCTGTGGGCAGATCTTGAGGATATCTTAATGAATGTAAGAACAACTTAAAAGGTCATTTGTTATAAAAAGTTTATAAGAATTGGTTTTACAGATTTAACACTATGTTGGATTCTTCTGTAAGTTGTCCTTTCAGAATCGATGGGTTTTATAATTTGAGTACCAATTAATTTTGACGACTAATTCAAGCTTGCTTCAACACCAGTTGTCAGCCACTTTGCCCTTGGTTTCTGGAATTCTCTCTCCAAATTCCTCCAAGACCAGAGTCCCACTCCGTCTCTGTGTACTTACCTCTGTAATGCAGCTTAATGATAATAATAATCCTTGCATTTGATATAGACCTTATCACTTCTTAGAGACATCTCATAGCACTTCACAGAATATATTGTAAAGTGGAATGAAAGTATGTTGTGGGCGAAACATTTTCAGACATTCCTATCTGAAGACCATCAGGTAAGTACAGTTTGATCATCCACAAGATTTCTATCAAATATGTTTCTATGGACTGAGCTCAATTTGCTCCTGCCAGTCACTGAAGATTTTTTTTATTTTCGTTTGGACATGAATTTATTTCTGTATTAGCTTCGTAGCAGTTTTTAAAATGTGGGCATTCAGCCTCCTTTCTCTCTCTTGCTTTGCCTCTCTTATTTGTAAGTGCAAAATTCCTGATTCTGGAACAGATGTGTGACAGTCCAATACCTGAACAAGATTAATTGGTTAACTATTTCTGATTAGGCATTGTGGATATTTTCTACCTGAGAGAACAGCATTTTCTATTTGTTAATAATAATAATAATCCTTGCATTTGATACAGCGCTTTTCACGTCTTCTAGACGTCTCAAAGCGCTTCACAAAATATACTGTAAAGTGAATTCACTGTATATTTGTGGGTGAAACCGGCAGCCAATTGCGCACAGCAGTGTCCCACAAACAGTCGTGGATTGAGTGACCAAATTACTATTTATTTATTGAATTTTATTGAGGGATTATTATCAGGCATGTGGAGTAAGGAAACTTGCCCAAGGTTTCGCCCTGCTGGGAGTTAAACCCACGTCTCTCGCTTGCGAGGCAACTGCTCTCACCACTGAGCTACAGGACTCCATGTCATGACCCGAATGCAGACCCACTGAGTATTTAAGAAGCCTAAGCTTGTGCTATCTTTGGGAATATTCACCTTTTAAACTGCCCATTTGTAGGCTCTTGTACTGTGATCACAAATAAAATATAACTAAATTGCTTCCCTCCCAAAGACAAGTTTTTTTTAAATCTGAGAAAGGGAAAATTAGCTGCATAGCACAATTGATGTGTATTGATGTGCCCTTCTAGGAGACTGGTTTCACCAAACGGGAGGATTTACAGATCAAACTGTTTGCCTACAAATCTAAAGTCACTGCCATTCATCGGAAATCCTGTAAAGCGCTTTGAGACATTTCAACAAGATGATGAGGTGCTATATGAATTGCAATGGCTATTACAAACTTGAAGGCAGATTAAGATGGAGTAATTTTAATATAATGAAAACTTGGAATCCAGTAAATTGCAGAGTTTAATGACTCTTTCCATAGCAGGACAGCACCTTTATCTAATAAAATTAGCAACTTAACAGCTAATATGGTAATTAGGTCTGACACTGGAGTATGAAGCTGTCCAAGTGTATTCTGTTGGGGGTTTATGCTGAATGGCAGTTAAACATTGTTTTGGTGTTTTTCTCTATTAGCTGGCCTGGAGTATGTATTGTATGACCCCGCATTTGCAATAATAGAAAACTGCTGTGAAGTTTTCTTTCTGGAAGAGACGAGTAGAAATATAGGAAGAGATGCTGAATATGGTGCCTCTTGTTTTGCATCACACCTGCTGAAGAACCTTAGAAAGTGACTACAGAATAGGAGGCCATTCGGCCCATCGTGCCTTTGCTGCCTCTGAAAGAGCTACCTTTTTAGTCCCATTCTCCTGCCTATTTCCTGTATCTCTCTATATTTCTGCTTTTCATATATTCATCTAATTCTTTCTTAAAAGCTAATATGGCTTGTACCTCAATGACTGTTCCAGGTTGGGCATTCCACATAATAATCCTTGCATTTGATATAGCGCTTTTCACGTCGAGAGGACGTCCCAAAGCGCTTCACAGAACACACTGTAAAATGAATTGACTGTATATTTGTGGGCGAACGCGGCAGCCAATTGCGCACAGCAATGTCCCACAAACAGTCGTAGATTGAAACTGACCAATTTATTATTGTTTTTGGTTTTGGAGGGATTATTATTAGGCTCTGTGTGGAGTAAGGAAACTTGCCCAAGGTTTCGCCCTCTGCCTGGAATTGACCTCAGGTCTCTCGCTTGCAAAACGAGTGCTATAACCACTGAGCTACAGGACTCCACAATCCCAACAATCCTCAGTGTAACAACATTTCTCCAACCTCTCTTGTTTTGCTCGTTTGATAATGTATCTCAAATCTATGCCCTCTAGCTATTAACTTAATAAACAGAAAAAAAATTCTTTCCTATTTATGTTGTCAAAATCTTTCATAATCTTAAATCTGTGGTAACAATTTTGAAACTACTTTAGAAGAAAAAAATCAGATATAGAATTTGATAAAAGATGGATGAGCAGTTCTATTGGGAAGGACACGTGAGTGATTTTAAGTAGTTTAAATCAGCAACTCCTGAACAAGAAAATCATTACTCAAATTGCCTGAATACAATGCTTTATATTCTTATTCCAAAGGTTTATTCACCTAGACAGGTTGTGTTTCATATAAAGGACTTGGTATATGATTGAAACACAATTTGGGATTTGTGACTCAATTAGTACGTGGGTTGCATTGCGATACTGACTCCAGCTTGCAATCCTATCGTGTTTAATAAAGTAATATTGAATGAGACTTACTGAACAGAATGTTTAGAAGAGCGACCGGCATCACCAGCAGTCCAACCAACATGTCCGCTGCCGCGAGTGACATGAGAAAGTAGTTAGTGGCGTTCTGGAGTTTCTTCTCCAGAGACACTGCTAAAATAACAAGTATATTCCCTCCGATTGTTGGTATGATGATCATTAGAATCAGAAGCGCTGCCCACTGCAGCCCATTCTTGTGCAACTGCTCGCCTTTTAAAAATCCTGAGTCCAGAAGTGAAGGGAATTTGGACTCTTCCGTGATTGTCAGATATAAGGTTGTGTTGATTCCAGAGGTGTTGAAGGGCTGGATTAGAGACTCCTGCATCCTGTCGATGGCCAGCATGCTGGTGGAGTCTGGTGGGTTGGACAAGATGTTACCGGCTGAACCAGACATTGTATTCTGAAGGCTGATACTTGTCCCTCTTGTTGGTTTTGGAGACTCGAGAGGATCAGGCAGCATGGTCTAAAAACTGAGCTCACGGACTGCTGCCTCTACGCATTTGTCGGAATGCCATGTCTACTCCGGGATCCTTAATTTAAAGCTTGCCCCCTGGCTTTTGGCAGTGCTGCAGTGGTGAATATTAATTTCTCACTTTACATCTTACGTTCACTCCTTGCATCTCAGAAGGACTGTTGTATCTTTATTGTACTTGTCGGGCAGAACAAAAATGTTCCCAGCTAGTTTATGAGAAGAACCAGGAGTTTCTCGTCAGCACTCTGCTAGCAGCTTCTCTGAATTTCTCTGCTCTCGACATTTCCCATTAAGACATGCAGGTTTCTAATTAAATATACTGCACGCTGCTGCAGGCTCTGCGATTCCTCTTACCTCGGTCAGTCTGGCACTTTTCAAACATTCTCCAGAATGGTTATCGTAAATCCAGTCATCAGTCAGCAAAATGAGTAGGTGTTTGCGTTGCTGTGTCAGGAAATCATCTTGGCTGCTGCTTCTTTTTCTCTCTCTCTCCCCAGCTTGACAGACTTTGAGCCAATTGGTGTGCTGCTGTCCAGTTGCTCCTGCTGTCTCTGCTCTTTCTGGCTGCATTACATCTCTGTTACTCACTGCTTGCTGTTGGACACTTCTCTCTTCTGTTCACTGCCCTTTTATGCCTCAATTGTGTAGAGTACTGTCACATCAGAGTTCTGTGACTTCATTCTCCTTCTGATTCCCTCTCACAGCCTGTAGCGCTGGGTTTATCCCTGTGCTGGACAATGCGGAGATCTCTCACACTACTGGTTTCCTCTAATGCAGAGTGCTGCTATTTGCAATGTTGCTCTCAGGGCACTATCAGCCTCGAATGCAAGAAAACGAATGTATGTTTTTACTATTGGAAAAAAGCCAGTGGGCTGAAAGGTAATCTCCTGAATGACTGGAGCAGAAATTGAATGTCCTCCTTTATGGACAAATCTATACTCCAAATTTTGTACTGTGAAAGAGCATTCTCAATTTTATCATTGTATCTTGTTTTCCCCGATAAATTAAACCTAACTCCTGTCTTACCACGTCCTCTTCCTTGCACTGCTGCGTCTTACTTAACCCTTTACTTCTGAGGCATCAAAGCTTTAAAACTGGAAGCAATTAACTGCCTTTGCTCTGGTTTGTAGGGAAAGGGTTAATTGACATGAGAATTTAAACTGGTCTGTCCATTGTTTACTCTCTTTCATAGAGCTTGTGAAAACCATATGGCATAAATGCTTTTGATTCTGTAAGAATGTCAGCCGGATAAACTCCTGCGGGTCTGTGCTGTATAAGTACCAGAAGGATGAAGCAAGACCCTTAATAGAGTCATCATTGCAGATTTACTTAGCTGTCAAATTCAATAAATCGTTCATTGTGGCATTATTGTATATCTTGTTGAGTGGACAGATGATCCCGGATGCTTAGATTCAGAGATTCATCACGTGTTGGAATTTCCGACATAAAGACAGTTTGCCGTTTCTCCTGAGGCACTGGCTTTTGCTGGGCATTCAGCCATCTGCTAGCAATGGGGTGCTACAGTGATCCCCAGTTTGGGGAGATTCTTGCTTTCAGATTTTATAGATCTGGGGTGAGGACAGTCTTGTGTTCCTGGTGCTTATAACCTTGAAAATTCCTTGTGGTGCAACATGTTGCTGTGAGGTGAGGGACAGGCTTAGCTATGATTACATTGTAATAGACAGCCTGTTCCCATTTACCATCTGCGATCATCGATAACCTCTGTTAGTCATGGATTGATAGCCCAGCACAAAGAAAAAACACTTGTCGAAGGGACCACCTTTTATATAATATATATTATATATGAAATCCTTCAAAAATCCATGCACTGAATAATTGACATCCTCAATCTCAAGCCAGTAATGAAACCAATGTGGTTGGCTTTCAGAAATGTTCAGCTTTTCTTATCATCATGGAAGGAGATGGAGTGAGACCAGTGCTGCAGAAATGGGAATAGGAGCGTTAATGAATGTTTGAACATTACCAGAACAGTTAAGCCAAATGAACGAAGCATCAAGGTTTTCCTGTGCTGCTGTGATAGTGAATGGAAGTCTAGTTTGGTGCCTTGTTGAACCTGGAGCAGTATAGTTATTCTCCTATAAATAATTCCTGGTCCTTTTTTTTAAACTGCTCACTAGGGACATTACATTCAATTTTAAGCTGTGATAAGGAAAGGTAGTTTGGCTCTTGATTGAAGAGATTGGTATCAGAAGAGCATACAAAATAGAATTCAGAAATGTTACTAACACTTGCATATGTGATATTTCTCCCTCCCCCTCTTGTTCTGTAAATATCAATAATAATAATTTTAGTACTTCAATTCTTGTGGATTTACTTTCTGGAAGTTTTAAAAATATCCGGGAATTACAATTTAATGCTCTACATAAGTGTGCAATATCCCTGGATATTTTTTTAAACTTGAAATGCAACTATGGTAAATAAAAATCCTTACATTTGGTATAGCGCCTTTCATGTCATAAGGATATCCCAAAGCCCTTCACAGGTATATTGTAAAGTGGGGTAACTGTGTGTTTTGTGGGCAAATAGGGTAGTCAATTTGCGTACAGCAGTGTCCCGTAAACAGCCAGTGGATGATCATTTTTATTTGGGGCAATTGTTGGCCAGGACACCAGGAGAAAGTCTTTCTCTCATTCTGAGTAGTACCATAGAATTTTTAATGTTTGTCTTGACATACAGTCAGGACCTCAGATTAACATCTCATCCAAAGGACAGCATGTCCAACAATTAGCACAGCCCCAACGCTGCTTTGGAGCAGCAGCTTAGACTGTGTGAATTCCAAGACCCGACGTGCGATTTGATCACAACCTTCTGACTCAGATCACTCAACACCTGAAAGAGAAAACTAGTTTAATGATCTGGAAGAATCTTACTAAGATTTCTCTAAGATTTGCAGTATTTGGAATGGATGTTTAGATCTTGGAGCGAATACGACATGCTGACTATGAACATTTTCTTATAATAAGTGAACTTTAATGTGAACTGCCTGTAGCAATTGCACTCCACTGAAATAATAATAAATGTACAGTAGTTGAACCCTTAATGCACAATCATTTAATATTTGTCTTGTCATCTGCTATGAAATATAGTTTATAAAAAGCCGCATTTTATAGAGATTACATGAGACTTTGAGCTCAAAGTCTAGGCTGATGCTCAGTGCTCAACTTTGACATTGAACACTGCAATGTCAAAGTTGTGCTCCAGATGAGATGTTACAATTTACATTTTTATAGCACCTTTCACAGTGCTTGAACAATAGCACCGTGTGTATTCGCAAGACATTGTGCCTTTACTTACCAAATCATTTTGAGATTGCCAGTGATGGCTTGTTTAAAAAATGTTGTTAGCAGCTGAAAATGTGGCTTGAACTTTACTGGTTTGCTAAATTCTGAGTAAACTGAAAAATATGCAGTGATGAAACATTATACCTGGAAAGTCATTGACCATTATATTTACAAGTTCAAATAGTGTAGCGAGCTTCTCCATTCCGTACTTCCCGTGGAGGAAAATTTCTAAGATAAAATTGTCTGTGTTTGCATGCGGTAACAACATTGATTCAGCTTCTGTTTTGCTGTGAATTATGGCGTTTCATTTGTGATGCATCTTCCGTTAAAGGAAGTTTCCAGTTTTAAGCCCTGTAGCAATATAGTGGAGTTAATGTTTGAAGTCTAAGCATATCTTCTTGCTTGATCGGCCAACCTCTGGGTTGTCAGGTTCCCACTTATGTCCTTTTCTGCTATGTGTATGTGAAGTGACATCAGTGAGAACCTAATATCTTAGAAGTTGACCACTGTGGTGCAAAAGTTGGTAAACGCACAGGAGGTGAGTGAGCAGGCCGGCTGCACACATGCAAAGTGAATGGGGTTCATAGTGCAAACACATTATAACCAAATTCACATCATATATGAGTGCATTATAGTGGGGGGGGGGGGGGGGCGCATTTTTTTTTCTCTCTCTCTAATGGGAGAAACAATCATAATTCTTCGAGCTTGAGTAGAAGACTAATGCAATAGAAAATTACATTTGTAAAGCGCCTTTCAACAACAACGACAAGATTCCATTTATAGAGCGCCTTTCACATCAGGAGGACGTCCCAAGGCGCTGTACAGTTGGGTCAGGACCCGAGCAGGGGGGAAACGGTCAGGGTGAGGGGAGGGAAGGGAGGGAGCGAGGAGGGGGTAGAGAGTCGAGAGGGGAGCCGAAGGCACGGTCAAAGAGAAAGGTCTTGAGACCGGTCTTGAAGGAGGAAAGGGAGGAGGCGGCGAAGGCACTGGGGAATAGAGTTCCAAAGCCTACAAAGTTCACGTCAGGAGGATGTCCCAAGGCGCTGAGAGAAAGGATTGATAGAAAAATGATACAAAAATCATTTTTATTAAGGCAGTGTTGTATAATTAGTGAGCGCTTTAAAAAGAAAGAATAGAAGGAAAACCGTGGAGTTTGAAGATAAAATGAGTCTTAATTCCCATAAAAAACAGTGTTGCTGTTGTGTGGGCTGACAAGTAGATTATGAATCTTTTTCTTTCTCCATAAGTGTAGCTCAAGATTGATTCCTCCGCAGGACAAAGCCTTAGTTTGTATTGTAAATGTCAGTTAGAAATTTCATTTTCCCAGAAGCTTTTTGTGAAAACGATGGAATAAAACCAGCCTTTGATTTTTATGAGCGATGCTGGTCAGGGTAAAACAGTTGCTGCTGTCATTCTTATCTGTAATAAAAAGATGTCCACTTTGCACACACATGACGGTGCCTTATTTCTCATTCATTTGACCTATTGCCTTGATGCCCTAATTACCACCAGTGGTGCCTACGTTCAGCTTAGCAAAATGACTTTTGTATCCCCCGCATCTACCTGCTGGTTATCCTGCTGCGATCATTTTTTCAAACTCAAGTTATTTCCATGAAAAACCTTAAAGCTTCCATTACCTAAAGAAGAGCATCTTCAGCTTGAGGTTGGAACACAGGAAAATAAGTGTGATTAAAGCACACATTGTTAAGTGAAAATAATATGCGTTCCATTTTTATAAGCACAGCACTTTGGGGTTGCGTTCTTCCATCTTCCTTAGAGATTCAAAACAGAAACAGAAAATAACTTGGCAAGCACCCAGTGGTATCTACTATTCATGAACCATCTTCTCATTTTAAAAGAGAGGGAGTTTTTTTTTCTGGTTTCCTGCCCAACAATTCTCCAAATAAAAATTTGACCACTCATTTCATTATCTGGAACAATGTGGGACATTGTTAAGCACAAATTAGCTGCCATGTTTGGCTGCCATGTTTGCCTACAAAAACACAGTACTTCAGAGTAAAATCCTGTGAAGCACTTTAAGATGTTTTGATGACATGATAAAGCATTCTATCAAATGCAAGGCTTATTATTATGAATGTTATTGCATTATTTTTTCAAAAATGTCATTGCTTGTACTTTGGGAATTAATAATTTACTTCAGATTTTCCATTACACTTGTGTTCAAATCCATTCACTCCCTGGCACCTCCCTACCTCTCCGACCTCCTCACTCCCTAATCCATAGCTCGACTGGCACCAGCCTCCTGCTCATCGCTCACATCCACCATGGGAGGTCGCGCTTTCAGACACTACGCCCCAAAACTCTGGAACACTCTCCCTCAATCCCTCCACCTTGCCCCTCTCCCCCCTTTTTCAAGTCCCGCCTGAAAACCTCCTCTTCGATCGTGCTGACGGCCACCTCCCCCTCTGAGAAGCTACCCTGCGTTAAGGGCACTATATACATGCAAGATGTTGTTGTTGCTGTACACTTACTGATGTCTTTGGAGGACATTTGCTGCAGTTTTAGAAATGCATTTTATTAGACATTACTGAAGATAAAACTGTCCAGAATTATAAGCCGGTGTGTTTTGCTTTTCCCACAGAACTCCTGAACAGTGCCCGAGTGTGGTGTCCCTGCTTTCTGAAAGCTACAATCCTCATGTTCGATATGGTGCTGCTCTGGCTCTGGGAATATGCTGCGCTGGAACTGGCAACAAGGTGAGTGTCTTGCATTGCTGCTGCAAAACAATATTCTTAATTGTTGTGCTGATTCTGTAAAACTGGTGCTGTACTGCACTGGTTGCCCAGATTTGGGACATCATCTTCAATCACACTACTCAATGACATTACTTTTCAGTCAAAATGCTCCCTATTAATCTGTAGCTTACAATGACCACACAGGGAGGTAGCATCACATTACAATTTTATAAACCTTTAGGGTCTTGTTACAAGTATTACAGTGACAAGGAGCACCAGTAACTGGTGTTGGATTGAAAAGTGGGCAATGCATGTGAATCAAGTGGCTAAAGAGCGTGTGCTCAGGCTAGGAATTCTATTAAACTTAATAGAATACTGCGCGCTCCTTGTCTTCAGTTTTATCCTCTGCTCACAGCTCATACATAACAAGTGCTTATTTAGGTTGCAGGTCCATTAGTGTCTTAAACTAGACTGTCAGCTTCCCAACCTTGATATCTGTGAAGCAGATAGTGCGCAATTGTTTCATAGTGCTGCTTATAATTAATACACCACTTTAAATTGGTACAAATTAGTGGTTATTGGTTCAGCATTAATGGTTTTGTATAATCATGTATTAATTGACATATTTCAACTTTCAAAACCCATTAGTATGGAATATAAATCAGTTCATTTTCATCAAATAGGAAAAATTATTTATGCTATCATTTTTGAGTACCTTTTTTACATATTATGCCTTTTAGTGCGTAATGTGGCCTTATTTCCTTGTCTTTGAAATAATCTTTTAAAATAATAAACACTAGATAGCCTTGTATATATATATTTGAAGCTATCTTGTTTGTTTGTATTGTGTAGTGACTCGGCTATAGAGTTAGGCTTGAATGAAGATGGATTGTGGTGGCTACATTTACCTGATATTGTGCTGTGAAGCTGTCAGTTTTAAGAATCTGAATTCCCTTAATAGAAGTTTCTGTGTTTCCATCCCATTATAAATGAGTATGTAATATAAATTCTGACGTTTCAAAAAAATTGTAAAACTTTCACATCTCCTATAAACATTTTAGTTAAATTTTGGAATGAAATCCATTAGCAATGGATAACATAACCACGCATTCCGTCAGCCTGATGGGATTTAGATTATCAGCACAAATCCCCTATTATAACATTTTAAAGTACGTGTAAATGCTGCTGGGAGTCGTCAAGTAGTAGTGTTGAAGGCTGCATGACTGATGCAGTGTTGGAGAAGCAGAATGACTGAGTTAATTTCCCTTCAGTGCAGTCATTTTGTAGGGAGATAGATAAGTGAGAACTGGTGACCACAGCTAAACTAATTGATTCAAGTTTGACATTGAATCTGTGTTCGGAAACTAGCTAGTAGGAAAGATGGCCATGGTGTAAGCTGGGTAAGTGATATTAAAATCTGATGTGTTAATACAAGGCTGGACTGGCCTCTTCGTCATCCAGCTAAAAATAACTGCTAGTGTCCTAAGGGGCTTCTCTTTCACACTGCATGGGAAAATAGGGTTGCCTTTTGCTACTTTTCCCCAATGGCTAGGGTTGGGTTTAGTGGTTGTTAAGTGGTTCTTAAGTAATCTTTTATAAGAGCTATACATGAAGGTTTATGGCTGGTTTCAATATGATGGTCAGGAAAAGCTTAACACTCACACATCTCACTCTAACTGGAGTTTCTAATCGGAACATATTTTGGAAAATTGGTCTGAGTTGGAACGGAAAGACAATTCCCAGCATGCGACGACAGTAAATGCAGTGGATATGAAAGGAAACTACTGTTCAACAGCTGCCTTGCTTGCTGTTCAAAATCCTGAAAATGACAATGTGTTAATTATAATTTCTTTAATTTTGGTCAGCCTACTGCAGGATTCAACATTGTTTAGTATTTGAAAAGGAGTCCAATTTTTAATATCCCTAAAGCAAGCTTCAGTCTTGTATATGTCTGCCAGTGCTCCTGTGGTGTTGCAAGATGGTGCCCAGGAATAATCTTGCTCATGTGGAGTATAAATACGAGGTTGGGCCAAATGGCCTGATTCTGTGCTGTATCATTCTGTAACTATGGAATTCGTATTCAATACCAATGTGTGACCAACTGTTTCATTTTGTTACTTGTACAGGAAGCCATTAACCTTTTAGAGCCAATGACCAATGACCCAGTGAACTATGTGCGTCAGGGGGCTCTGATTGCCTCTGCCCTCCTTCTAATCCAACAGACAGAGATTACTTGTCCAAAGGTAAGGCTGAGTATTTTATTCACTGACGAATGCGGAAATCCATCACCATATTTAAGAGTATTCAAACTAAACTGAGAGTTCCATGTATCCCACCTATACATGGAAATTCCAGAGATGTTGGAATGGAATGTGCATTCTCTACCTGGAGAGGCACATCCTACTTACCTAATTCCAGGAAGTTTTTGACACAGGTTGGTAACAGCCACAGATTGCGGACTCCAGAGTATGTGTTGGGATACTGCTGAAGTCTTAACTAGCTAAAACTGCATAACGTGCAATTGAGAGCACTGTCTGGCAAGCTTTCCGGCTACTTATCAAGCTTGGACCATCTTACCTGTTAGGGCTTTGGCTTGCAGGGTTCACAGGAGCTGAGTGGGAAGAGTCCCTGCCCCAGTGACTGGCCTGCCATCTAAGTCCTATCCATGAGACAGGCTAGCTGTGCTGTCATCACCAGTGCCCTAGTGTATATCAAACTCACCTGGCTCAGGAACTGGATTATCGAGACTGTCCCAGAGGGTGAGTTCAATTCCAACATTCCATTGCCAGGGCACCTTGGAGCCAGTTCACCCCTCATTGTCCAGCACCTTGGGACGTCCTCCCGACGTGAAAGGTGCTATGTAAATGCAATTTGTTCTTGATTTATACTTTACAGGCTTCAAGATCTTGCTCTGCACGTGAATAAATTAGAATCATAGAATCATACAGCACAGGAGGCCGCCATTCGGCCCATCGTGTCTGTGCCGGCTCTTTGAAAAGGTTATCCTATTCAACTCCGCTCCCCCACGCTCTCCCCATAGCCCTGCAAATTTGTCCTCCCCAAATAATTATCTTCTCTCTTAAAAGCTGCTATCGAATCGGCTTCCACCACCCTTTCAGGCAATGCATTCCAGATCCGAACAAGTCGCTGTGTAAAAGGATTTCTCCTCACCTCCCTCTGTTTCTTTTTAACAACTATTTTAAAATCGGTGTCCTTGGGTTACTGAACCACCCGCCAATGGAAATAGTTTTTCCTTGTTCACCCTATCGAATCCCCTCATTAATTTGAAAACTTCCATTAAGTCTCCTCTTAACCTTCTCTGCTCCGAGGAGAATAATTCTAGTTTCTCTCGCCTCTCCTGATAACTGAAGTCCTTCATCCCTGGTACCATCCTGGTAAATCTCCTTTGCACCCTCTCCAGTGCCTTGACATCCTTCCTAAAGTGCGGTGTCCAGAACTGAACACAGTCTCTCACTGAGGCCTAACCAGTGTTTTATAAAGGTTCATCATAACTTCCTGACATTTGTATTCTATGCCCCTATTTATAAAGCCTAGTATTCCATATGCTTTTTCAACAGCTTTATCTACTTGTCCTGCCATCTTCAAAGATTTACTTATATGAACCCCCGGGTCTCTCTGTTCCTTCACCCCTTTTAAGATTGTACCATCAGCTTATATTGTCTCTCCTCATTCTTCCTCCCAAAATGCATCAATCTGCATTTCTCCACATTAAAATTCATCTGCCACATGTCTGCCCATTTTACCACTCTGTCTTATGTCCAAGAAAGGGGAGCTCATCCTGTCACAATCCCTGCAATATGTGTTGTGAAGTAAGAAAGCTTGCAAGTTAGTGCTCTCAATGGCAAGCTATGCAGTTTTACATTACATTAGGGAATTTAACATGGAGGCAACTAAAAATGCCATGTTGGTGCAGCCTCCCAGTCTGGAAAACAGTCACATTTAAGTGAGCTTCCCAGGCTTCCTTAAACCAAGCTATATAATAATAATAATAATAATCCTTGCATTTGATATAGCGCTTTTCACGTTGGGAGGACGTCCCAAAGCGCTTCACAGAACACACTGTAAAGTGAATTGACTGTATATTTGTGGGCGAACGCGGCAGCCAATTGCGCACAGCAATGTCCCACAAACAGTCGTAGATTGAAAATGACCAATTTATTATTGTTTTGGGTTTTGGAGGGATTATTATTAGGCTCTGTGTGGAGTAAGGAAACTTGCCCAAGGTTTCGCCCTCTGCCTGGAATTGAACTCAGGTCTCTCGCTTGCAAAGCGAGTGCTCTAACCACTGAGCTACAGGACTCCACAAGCATTCGAATTGTATTAACATTGGGTAGAAACCAGCTTGTGTAATGCAGAACCCAACTGAAGACAATGTTTTTTACAGTCATGTGCAGCAGATTGGTTGGGAGTTAGCTATCTATTACTTTGCAGCTGCAGTAGTTTGGGGACCACAGTCCTCTCTCATTTAGTGCCTGATCACTGTGACTTTTGTAACTGATCGCTGCTTCTTGCACTGAAGTTTTTGGCTTGGTCTCTTATCCTTCAGATTATTTAAACAAACCCTTTCAGGAGAAGATAAATCACTACAGTCCATTGGGATTAGCTGCTGAACTGACAGAAACCCATTTATTTATATTAAGGTGTTTGGAAATATCGGCCTTAACTGCGAGTATTTTCAGGTTGAAATCACTTCCAGAAGGGAACCCTGTTGCATAGTTAGTTTAACCGTATTTGTACAAACATTCCCCTCTCCCTTCCAGAGATCAGAACTTTTCTGTTTCAGTTCTTGGGTGGTAGTTGAATTATAGATGTGAATTGGACTATTGTACATGTGAATCGAGTGATTGTATGTATGAGTTGGACTACCATACATGTAAATAGTGTTCAACACTTATGTTGTGTTTTTCAAATGGAAATTTATAAATGAGAGCATGTGTGGAAAACACTCACTTCCAGGAGAACACAAGTTTATTATTCACCTGGGTCACAACTCTTGTAAAGTTTAGAGCGTACATGCACAGCAGCAGTCCAGATGGAAGAGGGCAAGAGTAATCTCCTGTGGTAGATTGGTGTGAAGAAGCAGTATTCCTAAAAAGATTGGAAACATGACTGTGATCAATCACAACTATGTCTTTTTCCTCTGTCCCCTTCTGCTAATGGATATACAAGTGAACCCTGACAAACCACTTTGACAATTGAGCCCCCCACCCTCTCCATGAATCAAGAAATATTTGATCAAGAAAAACCTGGTAACAGATTACCCCAAACATAGATTTATTTAGACTAGAATATTTGGGGGGCTGCTTCATGACGGCCCAGTGGCTCGGAACAGACCCACAGGCCGTAGTTTGGCCAGCATTGGTCTATGCTAATCTGCGTGTACAATTCATTGCCCTTCTGCTGAACTGGTCCAAAACTTGTGTGCTTCTTTTTAATCGTCCATTTTTATTTTTCCACATAGCTTGGTATCATCAGCAAAAAATTATATTACAAGAAGTGCTTTCCTCTAAATCATTTATTAATAGTACAAGGAGTAGACAAAAAGGAACAGACTAAGGTTCACTATATGGATCCTGCCAGTTTGTATTCTTACTTTTACATTGGGCAGTGATTATTCTCGCTGATAAATCAGGGAGGCACTAGATCTTTTTAAACTTCTATTTAATCAGATGTTTAAATGAGATTGTAAATGGTCTGTCAATAAAGAGGATTAAACACTAAATGAAAACCTATGATCCATACTGAAGTTAATCAAATGGAAATTAATTTTCACTCTGCTGTTTCATGATCCGAATCCATCTTGAGCGACAGTGAAGAAGTTTTAGTGAGCATTTGAATGTTTTACTCTTTCATAAATGTTTAATGTATAAAATTTCGAAGCCTTTATAAAAGTAGGTTAAAGTTATTCTTCAATTTGAAATAGATTATACCTTTTGTGATGGAGCTTGAACATCATATCTTTCTTCAGGTCATCAGGTTTTCTTCCCAGCCTTTCTGCACCAGGCATTAATTTACCAATTTCCTGTAAGCTGTTCTGTTTTAGATTGTACTTCAGATTATTCTATTGTATGAACAGCAATTTCACTGCCAAAAAGAATAATAATTTACATGTGTGAAATATGAAGATTCTGGTTCTGAAAGATCTAAATCAGAAAAAGTGAAAGTGTGACAGTCACTGCATCCAATTGAATCCTTCACGCCAGACTAGGCTCCTCATTGACGTGCAAACAGCATGTGCCCCAGAAATGAAGGTTAATTGTCTGAGAAAAAATTCAATAGCATCCATGTGGGTGTTTATAGCTTCTGAATGTGTTTCTCAGATCATGCTGAGTATTTCCAGATCTAACCAAATGTGGACAAATTGTTAATTTAACTGTAGCTGCTATCAGCTCTGTTCCTTTGAAGTGTGTGTATAATTTTTATATTTTACTCAAAGGGATGGATTTTATGCTGAATTCTATTGTGTGAACATCTATCTTGAATTGTTTGAATAATTTTTTATGTATTCATCTTTAGATGGTCCCAAATTTAAACCCGAGTGTGAATGTATACAATCCTGTGTTTGAGTTGGTCTGTTTTGACGTGTTTACAAGTTCCTCACTGACTTCTGCCCTACGTTTCCTAAATTAGGTTACACAGTTCCGACAGTTGTATGCAAAGGTCATCAATGACAAGCACGATGACGTCATGGCCAAGTTTGGCGCAATCCTGGCTCAGGGCATTCTTGATGCAGGTATGTCATAGCTATGGAAGTCAGTGTGTTCTTAATACATACCGATCTAGCTGTCTTTGTAAGTCCTTTTGAAAAAATTACTTAAAAGTGCGTAGCTGAGATTGACTCAGCCAAGAATGGAAGATCTGCAGATGTTTATACATCTGTAAACATGTGATGCTCACATCTGTTTTGTTGAATGGTGACCCTATCTGAATGTGGAACTGCTTTGGAAGAATGAGTAAGACAATATCTGTGATAGATGAACCAAAAAACATTTTGTAACTGACTTTGTAACGTGATTGGTCACTCGATCAACGACTGTTTGGGGGACACTGCTCTGGCAATTGGCTGCCTCATTTCACCCACAAAATACACAGTCAATCCATTTTACAATATACTTTGTGAAGCGCTTTGAGACATCTCAATGACGTGATAAGGTGTTATGTCAAATGCAAGGATCATTATTATAATATTCACCCAACTGAATGAACATCGCAATGCATGTATTTCAAAACCTAGCCACTTACTCTGTAATAATCCACTACCTTTATCCATAGACTAATCCATAAAATGCTTAAAAAGGTTTGCAAAATAGTAAACAAAACGCAAATTGAATTAATATCAATCAACTGAAAACATCTTTAGCCAGAGATTTGTTATACAGTAACTATAATATGTACTTTGCTGAGCTGTTCAGCCCTGATACTTCAAGTAATGTTTAACCTTTCAATACCCTCCGTCTTTGAGCCCATGGATTTGGAGCAATGAGCCTGAGAAAAAAGGATACTAATAAGATTTGGAGCTAAAGAATCTGTTTGAGGGCAGTTTTACTTTTGAAGTCTGAGGAGATACTTAATTACATTTTACAACATCTTTGAACTGCACTGAAGACATTTTGAAGTACTAATGAGGAGGGATACTACTTTAGTACTATCCTGAGAGCATTATCCGTCATTCCAGACTCTGATAAATGCACTGAGAGATTGTCAATACTGTCAAAAATGGCTTGCTGATTTAATCTTAAACTTGCAACTGACATTCAAACTGCAGCTGCCAACACTGGCAATATCTCAGCTTTCAGCTCAGTGTGAGAGTACTGCACTACATACCCACAGTAGAATCAATTGGAGCATTTAGAAAAGAATTGGACAAGCACAAACAGAAGAACTGTATTAGTGCATATGGAGAAAGAACACGAAATTGAGGTTTAGGTGGGTGACTTCATGAAGCAAACACCAACACAAAAAATCGACTGAATGGCCTCCGATTGTATCATACATACCTGTGGTTTTAGCAGCGTCCAATTTGTTGGTTGACATTGAATAGGATAGATGGCAGCTGGAGGAAAACCGCAATGTAGACCAGCATCACTGACATTTAATTAGGGACCTTGATACTAAGCAGTTTCTTGTGCAAGGCTTGTTTTCGGGAACTTAACCCTCTGTACATAGACAGATGGATGCGATTCTGCACCCACGAATCCCACACACTGATTTCAATCTTTGTACATAGTTTTTTTTCTTGGTTAGGACATTTCTATTGGAACATTTTTACTTGATTCTTTCGGATAGAATAAGCCCCCCTCCTTGGACAGCAGGTGAGTGGTCATGGGGCTGAATCCCATCTCTTACTGGCCGTGAATGGACCAAGACATACACAGTTTAGTAGGTCTGTCAAGGGCTATAGATTATCAAATTTTGTCTTAAGAATGCTTAGACTATTATGAATAGTGGCAGACACAGAATATGAAGCATGACATTCCAATACAATGCTGGGAGTGTTCTATATTATCGGAGGTGCCATACTTTGAATGAGCCATTAAACTGATGTCCTATCTATCTACTTGTTCAGGTGGACATTAAAGATACCATGACACAATTCGAAAAGTGAAGGGAGATAAAATTGGTCACTCACTTCACAGCTGCTTGTGGGAAATGATTGCAAAAATTGGCTGTCACGTTTGCCTACAAAATACACAGTTGCTGCACCGTATATCCTGTGAAGTCCTTTGAGATGTCCTTCTGACATGAAAAGCGCCGTATCGAATGAAATCAATATTACTGTTATTGCTGCTTTACCCAACTGTCACAATTAAAGAAGAAAAAGCAAGTGTGGTGAAATTATAATAAAGAAATCTACAAATAAAGAAAACCTACAAGTCTGCAAAAATATATCAGAAAGTAGGAACAACTATTTTGAAACAAATTTGTTTGATTTAAAGTAGACTTTTTTAAGCAAATAATGCTCAACATAGAGAATAATACAATTTATATTTCTATAGCACCTTTTTGTCTTAAAAAGCGCCTCACACTGCTGGATATGCACCTGAGCTGGGGGTGGGGAGGGGAAGGGTGATCAAAAGCACGGTCAAAGAGGTAGGTCTTGAGTTGGGCCTTTGAAGATGGGGAGGAAGGGGACAAGTCAGAGGGACAGAGTTCCAGAGAGCATGGGTAGAGTGGCTAATATTGGAAAATTTAATTGGAATACCTAAAGAAAAATACAGGTTGTTTTTATCTACTTTGTCTAGTGAATTAAAGTAAAGGCTACATCCCTATCTCCTACACATATCGCATGCCTGAACCTAAGTTGTCTCAAGGGCTCATGTCTCTTTGAAGAAGTTTCCCCCATCGAAACGGTATTCATTTCCTACTCTACCATTCTGTGGGAAAAGGTTTCTTTCATTTTCTTGCCAACAGTGACTTTTCTCAGGTTGTTTTCCTTGCATGTTGGTAAATGACCATTTTTTAAAAAAAGGTCTTGAAAAACATCAGTATAGATTTTATGATTGATAGTCACAGTCAAAACCTCACGTATCTGTCCCACAACCATGATGTGTTGTACTTAGAGTAAGATTGTCATTAGGTGGAAAGATAGCTCTATTGCCATTTAATATTGCATACTATTCAATGGGTTCCGCGACATAATAATAATAATCCTTGCATTTGATATAGCGCTTTTCACGTCGGGAGGACGTCCCAAAGCGCTTCACAGAACACACTGTAAAGTGAATTGACTGTATATTTGTGGGCGAACGCGGCAGCCAATTGCGCACAGCAATGTCCCACAAACAGTCGTAGATTGAAAATGACCAATTTATTATTGTTTTGTTTTTTTGGAGGGATTATTATTAGGCTCTGTGTGGAGTAAGGAAACTTGCCCAAGGTTTCGCCCTCTGCCTGGAATTGAACTCAGGTCTCTCACTTGCAAAGCGAGTGCTCTAACCACTGAGCTACAGGACATCCTTCTGTTGTGATCATAAAACTTGCACTCCTCTTTGTTCTATAAAGCTCCTTTCCTTTACAATTGGAATCCATTTTGTTGCACTTTTCTGCACCTTTTCGAATACAAATGTATCCTTTTGGGGGGCATAAAACAAAAAATGATCAGTTCTACATGTCATATGGCCACTGCATTGAAAATTCTGTAGATTTATACGCTACTGCTCTGGCTTTAGATTCCAGCATTTTATTAGCTTTAGTTTGTTTCAGCACATTGTCCCAATATTGAAGTTGAAATATCTACTGTACTATCACAAGTAATATACTGTAATATCACAAGTACTTTGTTTCCTGTTCTTTCTTATGCGGTCTGATGTTCTAGCTCCACATTCCCATTTTAGGTTATTCAGATGTCTTTGATGAGATGTTATCAAAAATGTTCTGGAGGTCGTGTACTTTATCTGCAATACCATCAAAGATGTTTGTGATTTGTCAGTTGTGATTTTTGCCTTCTAAATCCAAATTGGCGGTGTTTTATCGCAGTAGTTCTGTCCTTGTACTCCTACAGCCTATAAGCAATGCAAGATTTTATTGGACTAATTAAACTAGTTTCACATTTTGGTTAGCAGTACTGAGTGTCAGCTCAGTGGCTTGAAGCTGCCAGTATCTAACCAGTTCAATGGTTTTAGATGTCAAAACAATTTCCCCCAAAAGAAAGCCTTAACTTTCAAACTTATTGTTGTTGTAGATACTTCCTTTGCTTCCAGCTGTGAATTTAATGACTTCATCTAAATAAAATAGTACCTTTATCATAAAAATGGGAATGCTATTTTTAGCCATAACTACCATCTTACATTTGACTTCTTATCGTGTAAAACAGTGGCGCTCTCTGAAATGTCAGAGTGTTGAATAGTAACTAATTATTTTTCTCTGGTAAAGATTTGTTGCAGTTTAATGTGCTTTCTGAAATAACTGCCCTGATGCCTTCAGAGGAGCAGCTGTGAGGTCTTCAGTGACAAGCTAACTATTTCATAAACCTTATATTTTCTCATTTATAGCCTCAATTGCTTCCACCTTATGGATCAATTGAGTTTTAAGTTTCGAGACTTTTCAGGGTAGGCTTCATGTAAATGCAAGATTTTTAAGCCTCAAATGTTCACTCTATTCCTTTGGACTCTGCTGAATTTCAGCTTGTTTCAGTCACAGAAAGTTTAGTATGCATATAATGAAGAGGTCAGCCACCAGTGCAGCTCAGGGTTCTGTTGCTTTGAAATGTCAGCAAGTGTTGAATGCTGTCAGTTACCATTCCATTACCATTACCATTCCAAACTAATAGCTCTGCTATACCAGAAACTTGTTCTCACCTGTGTTCACAGTATGGAAATACTGACCATTGTCTGTTATCTTAGATGCACTAATTATGTGGAAAATATCTGGTAGCTGAGTCGTCTTGGGGCCCTAACATTCTGTTTTATATCCCTTTAGTTGGTTTTATATCGGGAGTCATGCGAAATCATCCCTGAGATGAGTCCAGGTTTATCAACAGTGTTAGAGTGGATTAGGGTCAATTTTAGAGGTGTTTGACTTCCAATTTACAGGAGAAATATGATCATGTAAAATATTCCTTGCAGTTGACATCTTTCACATTGCGAGCATGTCTTGCAGTGCTTCACAGGATTTACTGTAAAATGTTGTGACTGTATTTTGTAGGCTAACAAAGAAATGCAGCACATATAGATGGCAAGGCTTCAAATAACTTGAGTTCAGCCCGTAAGCACAATGTTAATCTGGGTATCATCTGTTTTCCATTTGGCGTGTAGATGTTTACATCCATACCATTCTCTCTCTCTCTCTCTCTGTACTATTCTGAACCTATTAACAGGATTCCTTTTGGCTCCAGTTGGTGTGTCAGAATAAGGTGCGCATTTTGTGGCCAATTTTTGAATGTCTCGAGATCTGGATTTTCAAGGTGCATGGGATTTTGTTGCCTGTTTTAGGAGAAGAGAAAATACTGTTAAAAATGATCCAGTTCCTTGACCCTGAATCTTGACTTTTGACCTTCCACCCCTACTGATCCCACCACCAGCTTGGGTGAGAATCCCTGACTATCCAGCGCCTTGGGACGTCCTCTTGATGTGAAAGGCGCTACACAAATGTAAGTTGTTGGTCGTAGTGGGTCTGATCTTGTGACTGCTGACTTTCCCTTTTTTTTTTTGCAGGTGGGCGTAACATGACTATTTCTCTGCAGTCACGGACGGGGCATACCCACATGCCGTCAGTGGTCGGGGTTCTGGTGTTTACCCAGTTTTGGTTCTGGTTCCCTCATTCACATTTCCTGTCCTTGGCTTTTACTCCAACTGCTGTCATTGGGCTTAACAAGGACCTGAAGGCAAGTGTTCGTTATTTCCTTCTGGGACTACTTCAGGCAGAAATTTTGTTTAAAATAGATTTGAAAACTGGTAAGCTTATACAGATAAACTTACTTACTAGCCAGTTGATTTTTTTAAAAAAATCTGCATTGTCTAGAGGTGAACATTGATCAAGTTCACTGGCGATGTACTTTTTCAATACTAGTTTTGATGAGCTGTCCTTTCCCCACATACTCCAGGGGATTGCACAGGAGACGTACTTACTGTGGAATCTTGATGGCTTCAACATTTGGTTTATTACCCCCAGCAAATGTGCCTTGAGCAGACCACCAAAAAACGAATGAAACTTCTCTGTGAGCAGAATGTGGTACTTGTCACTTTGATTCAGAGCTGTCAGTGCTGAGTAATTGAAAAACAATTCTGCAATAAATATTGAAGTCGGTTCTGATGGTGCTGTGGCACCAGAGGCAGTCTACTCTCTGATGAAATAAGTGAACCAAGCTGCACCTGAACCTCGATGTGTAAATGGGGTTCTCACACACACACACACACACACACACAAGCTGTCATCAGGGATTGAATATAACACGAGTGAAAGCTCAGCAGTGTGAGCGGTAAATCACACTCTCTCTCAGCACAGCCTCTCAAGATTTCAGTTGTTAATAATTTGATTCACACAAAACATTAAATATTAGCGAGATTGACCCTTACCTGTGTGTATGGCCTCTGTGTTGTGTAATTAAATGTCCATTTAAATCAAATAATTAAGCAAAATGCTCATGTAGATCTGGATTTCAACTTGAGACTGTTTGATCTCTGAACCACGGCAAAGTGTTTGACATGTTTAATATTCACCTTGTGTTGTAGATGCCTAAAGTTCAGTACCGATCAAACTGCAAGGCATCAACATTCGCCTACCCTCCTGCCCTGGAGGTGCCAAAAGAAAGAGAGAAAGAGAAGGTCTGTATCATGTGGCATTTTTGTTTGTTACAAATTGTCATCCCCAGTTTTACTTGAAGCTCAGCTCCCCATAGAATAAACGTCCTGCCACCCTTTCGATCTGTGTGACTCTGTGCCACTACAACACATAAATTTATTCACTCAGCAAAAAAGATTTTTTTAAAAAAGCTATTTTATCAGATTGGAAGGATTAAATACTTTGTTCTTATCATGCTTTGAAATCTTAATAGTAATAGATTTATATGTGGGGAAAAGCAAATCATAAATTAGTTAATGGAGATGCTGTTGTTAAGCGGTGCTTTTGAATTTCTTGTTTAATTACTCTAAATAAATATCTTCTTTGCATTGTACACATTTGAGATAAACAGGGAAGCTTGTATCTGCTGTTCCAGCCCAGTATCTTGTCTACAAAGCAACCCTGTGTCATTTTAAGAGAAGTGAGAGCTGATGATCCGTAGTACGAAGTGACGTCTCTACTCAATGGGATGCAGGATTAATTAATTATTTCTTCAGTTTTATTGTGTTCCCGTTCAGATTGGAGTGGATTTGTTCTCTGTAAAATAGTGGAATTAATTTGACTCCATGAAAGAGCAAGCCAAACCACATGGATTACTGCAAAACCAGCATCCTACAACTGGAACCCACGAGCACCCATCAACCACTTGTGTCCTACAGCAGCAGATAAATGTTGCAGAGTTTCATTCTACAACAATGAGGATGAAATGCTTCAGTTCCCAAAATGCTGTTCAGTACAGTGTTTCATATAGATTTCTCCAGTGTTTACTTGTATGCTCCTCTCAGGTCTTTGGAAACCATTTATGAGCAGTGTGTGAAGGAAGGAAATAGAAACTGCCCTTTCTCAATTAATGCTGTTGCGGGAGAGAAGTTGGGGGACAGTGAGGGGGGAATTAAATGGATAGATAATTGTAATGTCCTTCAATTACTTTTCGACTGCTTTTCATACTATAAGGTTTAGTTTTCTGGATCCTACATTGTACCCTGGATTTCATTGCTTTGTACTGTTAATTGCACTAAAGCTGTTCATTCCCTTATTTATGTTCGTAGTTTAGATCTGACGTGAGATATTTGATTCTTAACCTGCAGGTTTCCACAGCTGTCCTGTCGATCACTGCCAAAGCAAAGAAGAAGGAGAAAGAAAAGGAGAAAGAGAAGGGAAAAGATAAAGATAAGGAGGAGGAGAAAATGGATGTTGTAAGTATAAGCCAACTCTTATCTTGTATTTCTAAACATGATACAAGAAAAGGCTAGATAATCTGCTAGGAGATCTTTGACTCCTTTAGTACCCAATCTGTCACTTCATAAACTTCTGACCTCCATTTTAGCATTTGACAAATATAGCCAATTTGTCAAAGTTGTCACTGAACTTTGTCTCTTCCAAAATCTAAATACATCCACCTTGCACCTTCACTGCGTTGAAATCAAAAATCATCGTCTCCTAACTTATTTCTTGCTAGCAACTCTGTCTAGAATCCATTATATCTTCTCTTTCTTTTGAAATGTAAACTTGGATTTTTCGTTTTCTCTCCCTTTTTAGAACCCTCATAGAAATTTTTTGGCTCAAACTGCCTGAGGTTAAAAGCAATGTTTTGCTGCTTTATACTGTTACTTACTGGCAGTTCTGTCAATGTAACGTAAAGTTCACCTGTTGCACATTTATGCAGCTGCTTTTTAAAATGTCTTTAGGAAGAGAAGGAAGAGAAGAAGGATGACGAAAAAGAGAAGGAGAAGAAAAAAGAGCCAGAGCCAAATTTCCAACTGTTGGAAAACCCTGCTCGAGTCATGCCTGCACAGCTTAAAGTCCTGACCATGCCAGAGGGGTGCAGATACCTGCCCTTCAAACAGGTGAATATGCTCTTTATAAGCATTGAGGCCAGCAGATATTCTAAATAAAATTGCTGATTAAAATTTACTGTACATAGAAGCACATCATTTATATTTCTGTAGTGCCTTTTGCATCAGGAAGATGTCATTTTTATATACCACACAAAGACCTTGGTTATGAATGTACAAGTAGACGCGGTAATTGCCAGAATTATATCATGGGATGCGTTTCAAGATTCACACTAAGATTTCATGTATCCACCAAGATGAAATTGTATGTTATGATTTGTTTTAACAGTTGGAAAATTTTTGTTTCAAAAATGCTTATTTATATACTTGTCAGATTTGTAACTTTGTATGTAAATATTTTAACTAACTAACGTTTGCCTCTGATACGACGGGAAACAAATGAGTGATTCTGGAATGGTCTGATTTTCAGGGGGAGGAGGGAGTAAGTTTGTTTACAGCTTCCACATTACTTGCAGCACGAGTCATTTATAGCTGCTAGTGACAAACTATGGAACAAACAACAATCTTTTAATAATCAGAATGACTAGCAGCTTGAGGGATTCAACGGTCAGAGCAAGAGGCTCATGACAGAGATGTTAAGCCGTTGTTCCCAAGCAAGTGTGAAAGAAGCAGTGCCATTTGAACTGGACTGGGATCCAAAATAATTAAACTGAGGATAGTGATTACAACCGAATAATCCTATCCAACAGCGTAGCAATTTAAAAATGCTCACTCAGCAATCTTGCAGGCTGGGGAGAGCGTTTTATTGGAAATGTTTTTCAAGTTTGTTATTCAAAGCACACAATAACTTCACGTGGTTCAGAGATATTACAGTAAAATACAGGATCAAAACAACCACAGATATATTAGCACTTGGCTAAACTCATAAATTGTGAGTTGCTATAACAGAGAGCTGTTTAGAATAGGTTGTTAGGCCTCTTCTCCAATCCACAACAAGAGTTAATGCAAAGGAGTTTTTATTTTACTCCTAATGGGGCTCTAACCTATTAACTGATGCTGAGCTGTTAACGTATGATGCCATTTGTTCACCTTCAGCGTCGACTGAACCCTAGAGTCCAGCCACTTGATCAGGATTGAGGGCTGGAAATGGGTTGTTTGACACATCAGGTCTCAATCTAAAACAGTCGAATAAAACTCCTTTTCTCCCCAACTTTAAACAAGTTTGCAAAAGAAGAGTGCTAAATGATGTTTTTACTCCTTTAAAAAATTCTTTTAAACTCCAGCCATTTTAATAATAAGAATCATCTGTGCATTTGATATAGCACATGATCACTTCTTCGAGAAGTCTCAAAGCGCTTCACAGAATATACTCTTAAAGTGAATTGACTGTATATTTTGTGGGCAAAGCAATATTTTCATTCAAAGTGGTGACCTAACCAGGGTGACGTTAGTAAGTTCTTCTTTGTTTTAAGTTTCTTATTAATGATAGAATCACAGTTTTAATGATTCAAGCTCATTTGTTTATCCTCTAAATACATATTGAAGCTTCCTCAAATACTGAGTGCAAGTCACTAGGGTAGTGTTTTCTCAGCAGTGTTTACCTTTCTGTATTTGTTTATCTTATCTTATTAACCAGACATCCTGCTTGGGTGATTCGGGTGAACATTAAGTTCCCCTGGCACTGTTTCAAAGAAGAGCAGGGATTTCCAGTTCTATCCTGGCCATTATTGCTTCTCTAGCTAGCCTCAATTCTCACCAGGCTCCATTCTCTCCAAACAGATCAATTTAATCAATTCTCACCCTCATGTACATATCCCTTCATTCCCTAGGACGTTTCTACCTCTCTGACTTGCTTGTAGCCCACTCCTCTGCCCGGCCTCTTCGCTCAGCTAACGCAGGCATGCTGTGTCTCTCCCAACCCCTCCCTGGCACCGTTGGTGACCGTGCCTTCAGCCGCAATATCAATCCCTGCGCTTCGCCCTCTGTTCATTTTAAGACCCACCTGAAAACCTTCCACCCACCACCCCATCCATTTTAATACCAAATAATCCAATTTGTTGAATTCACATGCATTTGTTTCTTTCAAATACAAATATTTCTTGAGCTGTGTCTATAACTGGCAATCTGCAGACTTACACTTCAGAGTTCTAGCTCTAATTGTGTTTTTTTGACAACATGTTAGTTTCCACCAATACGGTGTTTCTCTACTTGTAGAGAACAATGGATCTGTGTGCACAAATCTTTTGTCAGCACACTTGCATAAATATTCATACAAAATGTATTCTGTATCATTCCAGCTGACACATTGGCACTTACGTGGTTGTGTGTGAATCCAGGCGATGACAAGTGATTAGTGAATGTGTTTAACATCCATCAGTCTGAAGGACAGTGGCGACAGAGCCTGTACAATTTGGTTGAGTTCCTCTTATATTTGGTCCCTGTTAGACATGCTGTACGGTTACCACTGAGACATTGCCTACTTGTACCATGTGTCAGGACAGTGAGTCATTAGTACACAGACTGATGGGGACAGAGATCCAAAATATTAGCAGCACTCACTTTAAATATCGTAATCGGAAACATTGGATGCAGTTCAGCTTGACCTTTCTTTATCATTTGTTCTACCTGATACTATTTCTGACCACCATTTGAAGATATTGACTCCATACTTGGGTTGTCTTAGCTGGGTTCACTAGGTGGATAATTTGGATCAGCTCCAAGAATTGAAATTATAAAAGGTTTAAAATTATTATTCATTATAAGTTACTAAATCACTCACATCGAGGGTAGGAGGAGCTGAAAGCTCTAATAAGCACTGACATCCAGTTATTCCCCATTTATCTATTCTTTCCTTCTCTCTCTCTCTCCTCCCTCTGGCCCCCCCTCCCCCCCACTCCTGCACCACAAAAATATTAACAACACATATTAGTTGCCTGTTTTAAATTCCGAAATCATAAGGGTAGCCAGTCCTATTTGGGACGTAATTGTCAGTGTGTTCTTCGGACATTCATTCGGCTTGTCAGTTATTATGATATCATTAACCCATTGTGCAAATTTATTGGACTGCAGCACAGATTTCAAGTCCCCATGGGATTGGGAGATTTTCATTTATAATCGGTTCACGGTGATCAATCATACTCTGGGGTTCATAAGCCTTACCTATGCAAACCTGAGCTGGGAAGCCAGCCAAATTTCTGCACCCAATCACAGCCATCACTGGTCACATAATTGGTGCCACCAGGATATGGAAGCTCTGAATAGCAATCGCCAAGCATTCTAGGATGTGCTGGGACTTTATAGATTCCCAACTACTGGGTTATAACGGTTCTAATGTGTATGGAGGTATTAAGCACGGTGATAGGTTTGCGGTTATATCCGAAGCGTTGCAAACCCAAAGATTTGAGAGTAATGTCTCTAGTTCGAATGCTAAAGAAACCTTGCTGAATAAGTTTTGTATTATGAAAAACCAAGATAAGCTGTTCTTGTAGCTGTTTAAAAGAAACTTCACGTTTTGATGCCTCAGCTTGTCAAGGTGATATGTTATGATCTCCATATACAGGCAGAGTGAAGCTGCGTTATTCAAAGGCAGTGTGAAACTGTTATTTAGGAGAAGAAGCACTTTGATCAAAATTACAGCTTATAAGCACTTCTACACTTTCAAATCAAATGGCTGTCGGTCACCATTGACTCGCATGCTGCTCTCACTCGTGTAAACTCTGCCTAAATGACAAGTCTCAAAATTCAAGAAAACTTTACAACAGGTAACATATATTCACATTTTTATTTGAAACAATAACTACATTCTAATACATGTTTGCATTTTCTGACTGTGGGTCAGTTTATGGAACCCTTGCATTGTACACACTTGTCTGAGGCAGGACACCATTATAATCTTTCGTACAGTGAGTGACTTGAAGCTATGAGCACTAATGTCACAATGGAGCAATAGGCACTTTGATCTATTCTAATGTGCCAATGTTGCCCCTTTACCGGAGTAGTAGTAGATGCTTACTATAGAGTAACGTATGATATACCACAACCTGTGATCTATTCAGCATTCCTCACTTGTATACAAAGAGAAGCTCTTTTATGACCTGTAGTATTGGGCTTCTGAAAAGAAACGCATCTGTATATTTTTGCTATTCCTATTTAAATTGCGCCAGAGATTGTGGAGAAAAAGGTTCAAGTTTGTTGCTGCCGCAGTTGACCCGAGCTGTTTCTCCAAGACGTTCCCGTTCCCTTCCCTCCACTACTCCCGCTCAACCCTCCTCTCCCTCTGCCTGCACCGACTCCTGTCCCTCCTCGACTCCCCAACGGCCTCCCTCTGCTCCTCCCTTCACATTCTTTGTTGTGCCCACTGTGGTAGACACCGTCGGCTGTCCTGCAGCATCCATCCTGATTGCGTCTTCCCCCACTCTCGTCACAAGGCCCACCGGCCTTCACTCACGGGAGCCAACCTTTCCTCCCTCACTCACATCCCCATCTAATCCGTCTGCCCACCTCTCATCCCCCCCCACACTCCCACCACTAACTGTCCCCTCTGCAGAACGTTCGCTCATTAACCAACAAATCCCTCACAATCCATGACCTGACGTCGAGGAAAAAATATCGACATCCTCAACGAAACCTGGGTCACCCCAGGCGACACCTTCCCACTAGTTGAGGCCACACCTCCGTTACACCTTTCACCAAACCCCACAGCCTAATCGCCATGGCGGTGGTGTGGCTCTCATCTCCCAGTCCCCCCTCGGCCTTTCCCCTTACTCCTCTGGAACCTTCCCCTCCTTTGAACACCTTACCCTCTATCCACCCCTCCAGGCTTTTTCAAAATCCTTCTTGTTTACCGTCCCCCCACCTTCCTCTCGGGCATCTCCACCCTCCTGTCTTAGGTGATTTCAACCTCCACTTCACCCCCTCCTGCTCTAGCTCTACCGACTTCTCCTCCCTCCTCTCTTCCCTTAACCTCTCCCTCCTCATGCATTACCCCACCCATGGCCACCCCCTTGACCTGGTGATCACCCGGGGCCTCACCGTCTCAGACATCACCATCGTCGATAAATCCATCTCGGACTACCACTTTATCTCCCTCAACACCTCAGTACCCCATCCCCTTTCCCAACTCTCCACCATTACATACCATCCATGGAAAAAATTTCCTCCGTCTCCCTCTCCACTGCCCTGGAGTCATCTGAACTCCACCTCTAGCCCTCACTGACCGATCTCCCTTCCTCACTCTCCTTTCTCCACAACTCCCTCTCCTCCATTCTGGAATCCCTTGCCCCCCTCATCTCCCGAACTGCCTCATACTCCCGTAAATCCCCCTGGTACACCAGCCATCTCCGTTCCCTCAAGGCACAAGTGCAAGCTGCCGAACGCGCCTGGACCAAATCCAAACTAACGGTCCATTGGCAGATTTGGTTTCACCACACCTACCAGACCTACCGCTGTGTTCTTGCCTCCGCCAAATCCCCCTTCTACTCCAAGGTTATTTTGGAGGGAAAGGACAACCCCAGGCTTCTCTTTTCCACCACTAACCATCTCCTCCATCCACCTTTCCATGCCTCGCCCATCCTCTCCTCAAACGCCGTGAGGAGATGCTGGACTTCCTCGAATCTAAAATCGAGGGGATACGTTCAACCACTTCAGCCCTGTCCACAGCCACCCCCACATCACCTCTCCCTCATGACCCACCCCCCACCCATCCCCCCCTATACTCTTTCAACCCTGTCTCTCCCTCCTCCCTCACCACGACTCTCCGCAAACTCAAACCCACCACCTGCTCTCTCGATCCCATCCCCACCTCTCTCCTTGTCTCCCAGCTCCACCTTCTGGCTCCTCTCCTGTCTGATGTCATCAACCTCTTCTTATCCACCAGTTCAGTTCCCACCCTCCTAAAAACAGACGTCATTACCCCCATCTTGAAAAACCCTTCCCTGGAACCATCCCTCCTCTCCAGCTACTGCCCCATCTCTAACCTCCCATTCCTCTCCAAGGTCCTGGAATGAGTCGTCGCGTCCCAGCTCCGCTCCTTTCTCTCTTGCCATTCCCTCTTTGAACCCCTCCAATCCGGCTTCCGCGCTGCCCACAGCACGGAAACAGCCCTGCTCAAAGTCACTAATGACATTCTGAACATCTGTGATCAAGGCTCCCTCTGCCTCCTTGTCCTCCTCGACCTCTCTACCGCCTTCAACACTGTCACCGCCTTCAATCTTCGCGGACCTGCCCTTGCCTGGTTCGATTCCTATCTCTCTCACCGTCTCCACTTTGTTGCCTCTAACGGTTTCTCCTCCAGCCCCCGCACTATCACGTCTGTAGTCCCCCAGGGCTCTGTCCTTGGCCCTCTCCTCTTTAACATCTACATGCTCCCCCTTGGTGACATCATCCGCAGACATGGGGTCAATTTCCACATGTATGCGGATGACACCCAACTCTATCTTTCTGCCTCCACCCTCAACTCCAGGACCACTGCTGTCCTGACAGACTATCTGTCGGACATCGTCCTGGATGAGGGGAAATTTCCTTCAGTTGAATGTGAACAAGACTGAGGCCTTCCTGATTGGCTCGCGCCAGCTCCTCAGGCTCTGGCAGCATCAACTTCCATGGTTGCACACTACAACTCACCAAACCAGTCAGGAACCTAGGTGCCTTATTCGACCCTCAACTGTCTTTTCTCCCCAACATTCAAGCCATGACCCGCTCTGTCTTCCCTCACCTCTGTAACATCGCCCGACTCCACTACCTCACCCCTCAGGCCGCTGAAACTCTTGTTCATGCCTTCATCATCTCCAGGCTCAACTATGCAAACGCTCTGCTTGTCAGCCTTCCCAACTCCTCCCTCCACAGGCTGAAGATAATCCAGAACTCTGCAGCCCGTATCCTCTCCCACGCCAAACTCCATGACCCCATCTCCCCCATTCTCGCCCGACTCCATTGGCTCCCTATCCTTCAGAGGATCTAGTTCAAGATCCTGGTCCTCACATACAAAGCCCTCCATGGCCTCGTCCCACCCTACCTCTGCGACCTCGTAACCCCCTACCAATCCACCCATTCACTCCGCTCAGCCAGCTCTGGCCTGTTCCACGTCCCCCAACCTATCCGCTCCACCATTGGTGGGAGAGCCTTCAGCCACTCTGCCCCCAACCTCTGGAATTCCATCCCCCAGTCGCTCTGCCTCGCACCCTCCTTATCCTCCTTCAAGTCCCACCTCAAGACCCTCCTCTTCGACCATGCCATCGGCCACCCCCCTTCCCCTCCCCTCCCTTTCCCCCCACCGACCCCAGCTCGGGTCTGAAATGCTACAGCACCTTGAGACATCCTCCCGATGTGAAAGGTGCTAGACAAATGTAATCTTGTTGTATTTTGCTTAAAAAAAACTTGGAATGAATTTAAATTTTCCCTTATAAATTCTGCCACTTTACTGATTGCATGGTTTTCTTGCAGCTCTCAATTGGTGGGATTATAATTCTGAAGGACACCAGTGAGGACACGGAGGAGCTTGTGGAGCCTGTTGTTGCTCATGGACCCAAGATTGAGGAGGAAGAGGAGGAGCCTGAACCACCAGAACCATTCGAGTACATCGATGAGTAAATTGGTGAGCGTTAATAGTTGGCGGGCGCGCCAGCCTTCAGCCTCTCTGTCACTACCCTCTGGAATTCCATCCCACAGTCCCTCCGCCTCGCCCCCACCCTTGCCTCCTTCAAGACCCTCCTCTTTGACCATGCCTTCGTTCAACCTCCCACCTCTACCCTCCCCGCCCTCTACCCCTTCTGATCCCTGACTGTCCAGCGCTTTGGGACGTCCTCCTGACGTGAAAGGCACTTATACAAATTTAATTTGTTATTGTTGTTGGGTTCCAAACACTGAGTTTTATTAGCAAAGTGCTGATTGTGAGATTGTGACCCTGAGATCCTAGCTCTAGCCTCCTACCAGAACTTCAGCTCCTAACATTAATGCAGTACTGCTTTGTTGATAACACAAAACTTTGAAAGAAATATTAAACCAAGGTTGTTATCATTTTGAATTAAATTACTTAAATAAACGTAACACTGGAATTGCTTCCTAAAGGTTGGAATCCTAGTTCCCATTTACGAAGTTATGGGGAATGTTAATGTAACAGACATCCAGTCAATTTTCCAGTCAATCCAGAAACTGCATCTGTAATGTTAAATTCTTCAATAGGAGCTCCTCCTTAGCTTTTCCATAGTTTCCACATGTTCAAGTGGCAGCAAAAAAGAGAGACCAGAGACCTTCCTATTGTTAATTTACTCTCAGCAATTAATAACAACCACAATTTATATAGCGCCCTCCACGCCGGACGGCATCTCAGAGCGCTTCACAGATTTGATTAACTTTTTAAATTGACTAGAGAAGAAAACTGCACTGATTGCCAGTGTTTGGAAGAATGAACTATAGAGACTGAGAGAATATAAGGGCTTGAAAGGTGGGATAGGAAGAATCGTATGCAGGTATATAAGATTCTTAACTGAATTGGGAAATATAATTACAAAGAGAATCAGATACATTAAACTAATCAAATAGTGACGCAAGCTTAAATATGGTGATCCTGTCTCTATGTTCCATCCCTATATAACAATTAAACTGCTTTACCTTATCAGAGAGCACTTGCTTGTCTGCAGGGTTGTTGATTCCACAAGACTCTAATTTACTGCAAACTTCGAAATGATTGAGTGCATTATTACACTTTTAAAAAATTAAAGTTTTCAGCCAAAGTAAGAAATATTTCGCAGAAAGTTGGTTGTGAAAGCTTCACTCTGGTTATTTTGTTTTTTTCTGTAGGTTGACCCTGTTCTGAGGTGCTACTTTGTTTTGGAGATGCCATTTAAGGCTTGTGATGCACCATGTGCTCCTACAGTGCCAGCAGTTGCTGCAATCACATTCATTCTACTAGTAACTTAGAATAGCTACAAGGCATATTGTATACTGTTAACTTTTACAGAGATTAATAAACCTCTTGTGTTAAACCACTTTTGGTTCTGTTTTTGATTTCATTGTTTGTTCCTCTGCTGCCAGGATAGGATGTGAGTGCAGTGTGTGTGTGTTCATGATCCCACAGACCTAATTTATAAATCAGCCTCTCCAATGTCACTTTATTCTAGTCCACTTTCCAACGTGTAAAAAAAGATCCCTCTTCTTTATATGACTTAAAAAATAATCATGCTGAAAGTTTGGATAGATCATCTTCACACAGAAGCACTTTGTATTTATTGACTTGAATAAGTTATACGTGAGGGGCCTCCACACTCTTGTGCTCTTTTCATCCTGTGACGTGCTCAAACAAACTGCTGTGAGCTGCTTGAAACCTTACCTAGCACAGTGAAACCGTACTTCTGTGCTCTGCAAACCAGATTGCTTAACTTAACCCTTTATGTTTACAAGGCTGATAAAATGAGTAGCATTTCCTTATATTAAGTATGTTTGGTCTCCTTGGGGCTCAACTGGTTCTGAGATGAAGAAAAGGACACAGCAAGCCAGGGCACTGTTCATATTTGACAAGCTCCAAAAACATGGTGGTAGTACAATAAATCTGTTTCTACACTGTCATCTTGATGGCGGTTATAAACATACTGTGAGGTGTGTGGGAGTCTTCCTGGAATTGAATTATCTCTCGAAGAGACAGACTTGCTGAAGGCAAACGATCTGCAATAATTTAAGGACCTGTTATTGGCTGACTATACTACCACTTCCTCAATGAGACTTGGTGCTGCAGACACATCCTCAACCTTATGAGCCAAAGCTCTGCTGCACTGGGCAGTCTTAGTTGGACTAGTACTATGAAGTACAGTTCCAGATATGCCAACAATTCCTGATAAGTAGCTAATCCTCATGTATGAGTCTGGACAGTAAATAGTCTGCTATCACCTGGTGTCAACACACCCACACTCCCAACTAAATAATGATTGACTGCAAAAGATTTTCACATACCAGACTTAAAAAATGGGAGTGATCACAGTACATTAGCCAGTAACGTGACTTGTAGCTGGAAATGTTTCCTACTGATGTTCCGAGGTAAGTGAGGATGCTGCAAAAATATTTACTACTGGGAAATAAATAAGCTCTTGAACCAGCAAAAAACATCTGTTTGAAATTGGAAAGAGCTAACAACCTTATGATCACGTGGAATCCAACTGTGATGTTTCACAACAGTGAGCTGCAGATTCAATTAACTGTTGCTTGAAATGTATCACACAAATTTACATAAACATTACAGCACAGAAACAGGCCATTCAGCCATGCTGGTGTTTATAAAATTGGTCACTCACTTCATGGCTGTTTGTGGGACATTGCTGTGCGCAAATTGGCTGCTGCGTTCGGCCACAAAATCCAGTCACTGCACCTTACAGTATATTCTGTGAAACACTTTGGGTTGATCCTCCTAACGTGAAAGATGCTATAAGAGATCTAAAGATTATGTTATATTCCACATGAGCCTTCAACCCTCTACCCTTTATTAACTTCTCTCTCGTGTGTGCAGCAAATTTCCTCTTAAATATGTTAATGCTTTCTGCTCCTGCAGTGAATTTTACATTCTCATCACCAACTGTGTGAAGAAATTCTTCCATAACACCTATTCTTTATTGTTTGCTACTAGCTATAATATACTTATGTCCCAATTGTTTATCCAATCCTTTCAAAAATTCGTTTCAAAATACCTCTATCTGGTCCACTCTCAATTATCTCATCTACAATCTTTCTTGAAGCCTATGTCCACTCATCCCTGAAACTTGCTTTAAAAATAATAAATATGTTCTCTGTATGATAATAAATAATCCTTTCAGTGCTTTCCAGGGAAGTGCAGTGCAGTAATCCTTCAGTCGGGTTTCCGTGCTGCCTACAGCACGGAAACCGCTCTGGTCAAGGTCACCAATGACATCTTGACCATCTGCGACCAGGGCTCCCTCTGCCTCCTCGCCCTCCTCGACCTATCGGCAGCATTCGATACGGTCGACCATGCTATCCACCGCTTGTCCTCCCACCTCAACCTTCAAGGTCCTGTCCTTGAGTGGTTTAGGTCGTACCTCTACCACCGTCTTCATTTTGTTTCCACAAACGGCTTTTCCTCCGACCCCCGCACTGTCTCGTTCGGTGTCCCTCGGGGCTCTGTCCTCAGTCCCCTCCTCTTCACCCTCTATATGCTCCCCCTTGGTGGCATCATCCGCAGACATGGGGTTAACTTCCACATGTATGCGGATGACATCCAACTCTACCTTTCATCCTCTACACTCAACTCCACGACCACTGATGTCCTGACAGCTGCCTGTCCGACACCGAGTCCTGGACGAGAGAGAACTTTCTGCAGCTCAACGTGCGCAAAACTAAGGCCCTTCTGATTGGCTCACGTCAGCGCCTCCGCACCTCAGGCGCTGACAGCATCAGCATCCAAGGCTGCACTCTCCACCTCTCAAAGCCAGTCGGGAACCTCTGCGTTCTGTTCGACCCTGAGCTGTCCTTTCTTCCTCATATCCGCGCCACAACTGGCACCGCCTTCCATCACTTCCGAAACAGCGCCAGACTACGCATTACCTCACCCCTCACGCTGCTGAAACTCTGGTCCACGCCTTTATCACCTCAAGACTGGACTATGGGAACTCTCTCTTCGCCGGCCTTCCCGGCGCCTCCCTCCACAAGCTGCAGGTCATTCAGAACTCTGCAGCTCATGTACTGTCCCGCACCAGGCTTCGGGACCACGTCACTCCCACCCTCGCTGACCTCCACTGGCTTCCCATTCCCCAGAGGAACGAATTCAAGATCCTCATCCTCACCTACAAGCCTCTCAGCCCCGAGGCTCTGGAACTCCATCCCCCAGTGCCTTCGCCTTGCTTCCTCCCTTTCCTCCTTCAAGGCCGGTCTCAAGACCTTTCTCTTTGACCGTGCCTTCAGCTCCCCTCTCGACTCTCTACCCCCTCCTCGCTCCCTCCCTCCCCTCACCCTGACCATTTACCCCCTGCTCGGGTCCTGACCCAACTGTACAGCACCTTGGGACATCCTCCCGACGTGAAAGGCGCTCTATAAATGGAATCTTATTGTTGTTATTAATTGCAGGCAAATGTTGCCAGTTTTCACACAGCATTAACAAGTTGCCCATCGAGTCTGGATTATCCGTAGGATTTCAAGGTGTGACATGGCTTTAAATCTTCTGAATTAGTTGCTGTCCTAGCTGGACACCCACCACAATATTTGTTTCCTGAAACAAACTTCATTATTACCCAATTTACACCAAGGGGCTTAAAAATGGGGCGGGGGGGGGGGAATTGTGACTTGTTTTTCAATAAAATTGTGCAAAAATCAAGAAAAAAGTACATTTAAAAACAAAAATATCAAATATTCAGAATGACTCATGACTCCAATGATAGGGGAGATTAGATTGCTAACATTTTGCCTACCAATAGAGTTAGCAACACAAGCAAAACTGCTTTTGACAGGTTTCTGCAGCAAGAGATTAGAAGACTTGCATGAATTGTAGTGGGATTGTTAACACACACACCACATTACCAGGAGTTTAATGAAGAAGTAAAGCCCTTTCCACAGTTGATGGCTAAGTGCACCTCATTAGACGTGGCTGGGGTATGTATTGCTGCACGTCTCTGTATAATAATGATCTTAATTTAAAACCTCTGGCATGAGTCACACATAAGTAGACGTGATAAACTACGAAAAGTCTTAATTTCAGTCTTTAAGATGTTTTGATGCTGAGTTTTGAACTTAATTGGATGATTTTGAGTATCTGGAAGATAATTAATGTGGAACGAAGAATACTCCATCCCAGAACCATGGAATTGATCACAAGTGAGACCAGCGCAAAAGAAATCCTGAGTGAGTAAGTTCTGGCCAGTTTCAAATGACAACCTGAGCACCATCAGCCAAGACATACCACATGGAGTAACATGAAGGGAATTGCTAGCCTTTTGGCAGAACTTGTCGGGTCTACATTTCCATGTCTCCATTCATACCTCCACTTTGTGTAATCGCTGAATTTCCCACATTCACAGAATCTCTCTTGTCCACCCCTGTGGTTTTGCTTGTTATTGAAACTCATGAGAAGTTCATAGCTGGCTAGCTGGGCTTCATGGTTAATGGATTTTATTTTAATTTAAAAAGTCAACTTTAATAAGCTGCATTTGCACATCTGAATCATGTTGAATTATGAACCGTTTTCTGCACAGCAGCTGGTGCCTCACCACATGCAGAGCGCACCGTAAAGTCAGTAAGTAGGAAGGGTTCATTAACAAAACTACAGAACAGCTTGAAAAACCCCACCAACTTTGGCTCCTCGACAAATCAAATAATCCCTTTCATTCCTAGGGACCTGAATCGAGCGCAGATTCCAAATACCTTCTCCCACCCAGAACTGTGCATGGTATTAAACTGCAGGCTAATCATTCTGATGGTTCGTCAGCAAAGGTATTAAGTGATCTTTAAATTAACATAATATTAACATTTCCCTGATGTCTTCATAAGTTACCTCAGAGAACCCCATTAAGCATTGGTTTTGTACTAAGTTTCCTCATGAGTGCCAGTTTGGACTATTAATCAATAACTGTCAGAAATCTTAGCCAAACCACTTCCTTTATTCCACATCCCAAAGGTTTTCAAAATAAATTTACTTGTTCCTCATTCTTCTTAATGTACTGTGGGAGAAGTTCATCAACCAGCTGGAGTACTGACTCCATGAGGGTTGTGGATTTGTTCAATCCTATACTCTAAATGTCCTGCCATTGAGCAGGCCTCATTGGGGCTTATTAATGGTTTCTGACCCTCCAGAGCCACCCATTTGCTGGGCTGTGTGTTAACTGATGCTTCTGTTGGAGCTGATACCATTTGGAGCAACAGTTAGTTGGAGAATCCTGCTGCCACTAATGACCTTCTAGGCTTTTGCTGGTTAATAGAGAGAAATTATTTGCACTGTTAGGTGAGTCAATGATTTAAAGGCAAATATTTTAGATAGCTTTCAAATGGGGAGATTAAG